AAATGTATAACACTAGGACCTTTGACAAAAAGAGGCCGTTGGATTATTATTTATAAACATTTACATCAAGATTACAAGGCTTTTTCTACACACACGTGCACGGAAACAGTAAACGGTAATAAAACGTTTCTTTTATCGTTTATTTCGGGGTGTGATTCCCCTCCCTATGCAACGGTGGCGGGCTAGACCAAGTCAGTTGCGCCGCCTGATTGCTCCTTAAAATAAGAAGTAATAAATGTTTATCCATAGTAAACAAACAAAAACGGCTGGTGCCTTACCGGCCTTACCACTGTCCTGACAAGCGCCGGCCGTGCACACTGCACACCGCAGGCACACCGTCAACACAGAATATTTTACACCCGGAACATATATAGGAAACTCTGAGAGTGTTTAAATGAACATACTACTCCAGCGAAATCACTGATTCATCAGTGCACCACGACAAGTATCAAGGGCCGAGGCTGCCCCAGGCTGCACAATGCCTGGCACCTGTGTGGCAGTGTGTGCGCCGTGGCGCAAAAAGTCGTCACCTGTGCGATTCGAACACACGCGGGCAAAGCCCAACCGCTAGCAGCTATAAGTAGCAGGCGATCCCGTTAACCACTCCGGCAAAGTGACCTAGCGTTCGTCGAACTAAAAATAGATTCTGTTTGAGCTGGATGCGCGTTCGGCGCTGGAAGCGCTTGAAGTAGACGCGATCGCTGTTTCTCCGCGTCTCGACCTGCTGCACTCATGCTCGACCATTGCTCAATATCCCACAAGGGTAATCCCATTGTACCTCTATTTCTTTGCACTGGTTCTTATAATGTGTTAGGTGGTGTGATCTTATGGTCCCGCTCTTTCACACCTGCAGCATCTCAGTCAGCGGCCAGCTCCGCTTCGCCAGTTAGCTCGCTCATCCGTGACGCACTCATTGAGGGACGTTCCGCGGAGTCGCAGTTTGAGAAAGATGGCTATGCACTTAAATGGACCTTTGTAAATGACCTTGAGCTCATCTTTGTGGTACGTCTTTTGCGATTGTCCCACCCCGTGGACGCTTATGAGGAAACCAGGTCGCGTACCAGCGCATACTGCAGCTTACTTACGTAGACGATCTCCTAGCAGCTCTCAAGACTCTCTTCGTCAAGGTGTTCCAGCCATTTCTTGCCACGTTTGTTGCGTCACTGCATGCAGCTTCGTCGTCAACCACCCTACTCGGAGCCTCCGGCTCCGGCTCCGAGACCGCTTTCGCTTGGGATTTTACCAGCACATTTGAGAAGTGGGACACGGTTTTCGATAACTTGCTCAAGACTTTTGAAACCAAGGCAGCACAGGTACGACCATAACGTCATACCAGGATAATGCGGCTAAATCTTTATCGCCAGGAGCGGAAGTCTCGTCTGAAGCACATCGATCCGGCCGTGCATACGCCGGTGGAGTCAACTCCTCCTTCTGACGACCAAAGCACTTGTGCGTCTTCTAGTCCGCGATACCTTTTATGTCTCAGCTCCCAACCTTTGGAACGCAGTTCCTTCCCAGTCCAATCCGACGACCGTTGACGAGGAGCAGATCGCACGAAACGTTCAAGCACTCAAGAACCGACTCAAGCCCAAAGGTCCTGGTGGTGCAGCAGGGAGGAAGGGACGACGTGGTGTGGGAGGTGCGGGAAGTGGGCTGGAAAGTGTACCAGGATCCGAGTACGGGCCGTTCAATCACGTATCTAATTGGAAAGTGACTAAACTTGCCTCAGCTCTGATACACCCTCGAAGGCGAAGAAATCCAAGACCAAAGCGCGACGCAAATGGGGCGATGAGGCACCCTCGGAGTCGGACATGGCCTCGCTGGATTTCAGCTACATTCAAGTGGACTCGCCATCGACTAAACAGACGACAATGAGTTTGTCTGCGCTGGTTGACCAAGCCAGTATGGGTACTAGAACAAATGAAGGAATGTACGAGGTCAAAGATTGGGACTTCGATGTTCCACCGACAAGGAACGTGGCAGCGGCTACCGCGGTGGAGAAGCCGGGGACATCACTCGGAGCCCTGGGCTCTCTGTTCTCTAGGATCACGGGGTCGAAGACTTTAACTCAAGCCGATCTTGCGCCTGTTTTAGAGGGCATGAAGCAGCACCTCATGAAGAAGAACGTGGCGAAGGAGATTGCCGAGAAGGTCGTCGAGAGTGTTGGAGAAGACCTCATCGGTCGGCGCATCACTGGCTGGGGTGGCACCAATACTGCGGTTCGGAACGCACTAAGCACTGCTCTCACCAGGATCCTTACTCCGAAAACCTCCACCGATCTCTTGCTCTCCATCCGAACGAAGCTGTCTGAAAGTCAGTCCTCCATGGTTGGTGGTCAGACGGGCAAGAAGGAACCATATAGCATTGTCTTCGTCGGTGTTAACGGTGTTGGCAAGAGTACGAACCTGAGCAAAGTCTGCTTTTGGCTCGTGCAGAACGGAATGCGAGTTCTGATCGCTGCATGCGACACCTTTCGGTGCGTTAATCTTCTGTCTTACTTTCGATCTCCCAGATCTGACGCAAAATACACAGGAGTGGCGCAGTCGAGCAATTGCGGGTCCATGTCCGTAACCTGAGTATGCTTGGTGTAAACGGAGCTACGGATAGCAAAGGCCGAGTCGAGCTCTATGAAAAGGGCTATGGCAAGGATGCTGCTGGCATTGCTAAGGAATCTATCTCGTATGGTGCGTATTCGTCTCCTACGGCTCACGTTCTCAGTTTAAATTGGCGACATACAGCAAAAGACCACGACTTTGACGTGGTTCTCATCGACACTGCGGGTCGAATGCAAGATAACGAGGTGCGTCCTTGACTTACTCACCCATGTTTGTCTCGGCTCATCCACAAACAGCCTCTTATGCGCGCACTCGCGAAGCTAGTCAGCACGAACAGTCCCGACAAAATCATCTTTGTTGGAGAAGCGCTTGTTGGTAACGAAGCCGTAGACCAGCTGACTAAATTTGACCGCGCGTTGCGAGACTTTAGCGCTGCTTCTGGTTATGGTGGTGGAAGTGCGAAGGAGCGAGGCATCGACGGCATGATTGTCACCAAGTGGGACACAGTTGATGACAAGGTGCGTAGATATGTGTCTTAGAGAAGTCTATTACGATACTAATAAGCCATGCAGGTTGGTGCTGCTCTGTCGATGACCTACGTTACTGGTCAGCCGATCATTTTCGTCGGATGCGGACAGGTATATGCCTCAATTTCTGTTCTCAAGTTCGATACTCAACCACCCGCACACAGACATACACAGACTTGCGGCAACTCCGTGTCTCAAATGTCGTCCAAGCGATTTTGGACGACTAGCCCGCATGCGATCCGTATACTCGACAAAATTGTTTTGGGTAGAACAGGATTGTGAGTAACTGTACATGTTGTCTTAAGTAATGAGTGTATACCAAGTGGGAATAGTGTACTTCGATGGTTGTGGTTTCCGGCGGATGTTATACATAGACCATCTTAATTGATCAGACAGAAGCTGATATCTTGTTGGCGGATGTGATATGAGTCTCGCAGGCCGCACTCTACAGCCTGACATCTGATTCCCCCAAGCTGCGAGCGCGGAGGTGGGTGTCAGATTTTCTACCAACGAGACATACTGAGAGCGCTTCCCTACGCCCAGGATCGGCCCTTAGCCTTATGTTTGATACGAGCCCTGACCGCCGTGGTCCGCCTTGGCACATTCGGACAGCTGTCACTGACGAGCCAAGAACTCTTGTCGGCAAATCTTGTGATGGTGTGCGGACTGACGCGGCGAGTGTGTGTTGAAGCGTCTTTCGATGACCATCTTGCTTGCCGTTTCAGGTTTGAGACTTCCGCACAAGTTGCACCGGCCAATCGCGCTGGAACGAACAAAGCATGCACGAGGGCAGATCACCCGCCGAGAAATGCGCCCATACTTTTCTCACTTTCGCCAAGGACATTGCAGACGGCTTGCCCACTGGGCACCGCAATGTGGAGCACCGACGAGCTGCGCGTCTGGCAGGCCGCGAGAGGTATAAAACCGCAAGTTGTGGCCAGCATGTCCCCAGTCTGTTCCTGCGGCTCTCTTCCACCCTCATTTACGGCCCCCTCACAAGATCCGCCCGCAACATGCAGTTCCGTAAATTGTTTGTCTGCCATGTCATCTACTTCTTCACCGCCTTCACGACCGGTACGCTGTCATGGCGTATATTCCAGCGATAACGCTCTTCTAACGTTGTTGAATAGCGTCTGCGTTTACCTACGAAAGGCTCGACAAAAACAACAGTGTTCTGCTCGTAGTCGACCACCAGGAGGGCCTCTACCAGGTGGCCCGGGACATCCCTGCAGTCGAGATGAAGGCGAACATCCTTGCGCACGCTGCGCTCGCCAAGGTGTTCAACTTGCCTACCATCCTGACAACCAGTGCCGACCAAGGTATGTGTCTGTTTTAGATATATCCTGCATCAAGTCTGAGTGCGCTAATCAGGTCCTAACGGCCCTCTGACTGAGGAAATCGTTAAACTGCATCCCGACGCGCCCTTTATTCACCGCCAGGGCGAGGTCAACGCCTGGGACAACGCTGACTTTCGTGCCGCCGTCGAGGCGACCGGCAAGAAACAAGTCATTCTTGCCGGTATCACGACCGATGTATGTGTTGTCTGTGCCTGTGCCTTCCTACTATTAAGCCGGTATAGGTCTGCACGGCGTTCCTCGCGCTCTCTCTGAAGGACGCCGGCTACAGCGTCTTCGCCAATAGCGACGCCTCGGGCACGTTTGACGTCAAGACGGCTCAAGATGCTAACGACCGCATGCGTGCTGCTGGCGTCAATGTCCTCTCCATGTTTGCCGTCGCGCTCGAGCTCATGCGTGACTGGCGCAACACCCCGGGTTCCCCCGAAATGCTGCCCTTCTTCGACCAGTAGGCTCATCTCGGTCATATGCGACGTGGAAATTGACGCTTATGAAATTTGCAGGTATCTGCCCCAGTACGGGTTCCTGGCGAGGAGTCACGATGCGGCCGTGCTCAACGGAACGCTCTCTGCTCTGAACACAACCCTTGATAACCAGTACCCAGTCTAAACAGCGGATGCCACGCGGCTATAAGCTATTCGTTCAGTCTATATTTGCTGCTACTACAGATTCACACGCCGCATGTATTATGTTGGATAGTTTCGAGTTGAGTGAATGTCAAAAGCCCTACAAGCCGAAATAAGCGAGCGATCAAAGACAGCCAACGCCACAAAGACGGCGCTTCCACGACCTGCTGCGGCAGCGCTGGCGTTCACCCTGAAGCTGGTGAAAGCGAAAGACGACCTTGGCTGGGAAAAAGAGCAGCTCATGCCAACGGTGGGCAGCTGTAAAACTATTTGGATAGCTCAAAAATCATAACGCCCTGTTCTGACACATCAAACGCCTGAACACGCCATCGGCATTGCCATCGCAGTTTGCCGGCTTGGATACATGGGCATTTGGATACCGGTGGAACTTAGCTAGTAACCGCCACCTGTAATTTTACGGGAGCGCTACATGAGATAACGGTCGTAGTAGAACAGTATTTCCCGGTCGAAAGACATAGGCCAGGACTGCTATATAGTAGTACAAAATTCACCAACTCGCAGCTGCTGAACATCGACTCCGAATCATTACTGCGAGGCCCAGATAAGTAAGACGTCATAATCAAAAGCAGAGGCATCGATACGGAGATATCTCCGACCTACGGACACGAACGCCCGACGCACGCACCGCCACTGGTCAGATAAATCGTAAGAAACGGATCAAGTCAGTCGGTCGTAGATGCCGGTGAGATGAACAGTGACCTATGAGAGGCGAAACGAGACTATCGCCTGCGGCGCTGGGACACTCTGGTGAGATGCGGAGCCGTGTGTAGCGACCCTCCCAGACGCGTGACAGGAGGAGTCTGTGAAGCCGAAGATTGATGGGATATTAAGAATGAGATGAAGGCGCCGCAGCCTTCGCCTAAAATTAGCCAAGGAATAGCCATTGCCTCCCCCTCCTCCCGGGCCGGCTAACATCACACCACCTTCGAAACCCTTCCCTCCCTTCAGCCATAAAGGCGCCGGCCCCTATGCTGCCCACCCCTTGGTCAATCTGGACGACTCTCCGTGCCCGAAAGTACTGCTTGGCCCAGCAGCAGTTTCGTCCTCTTCGCTGCTGAGTATAGGGGATGTCGCAGGGAAGTCGAACGTGTCCAGCGGATAGCCGGGAGAGTGCTCGAAAGGATTTGGGAGAACGTATGGGTCGTACAAAGACGGTGCATCCGAGTCGTCGTTCCCCCGGCCATTTTGCGTAGGAGGTGAAGCATGCGTCTGAAAGAACATCTCTCGCTGTTGAGCGGCAGATGTTACCTTCTCAATCACGGGATCACGGAATGAACCAGGGGTGAACGGAGGAGGCCGCTCGTCGAAGCCTCCTCCAAGGTCTCGCACAGAAAAGGACGACTTCCCCCTATGATGACTGGAGGTAACAACAGGCGTGGTGCTCAGCCCGGTCAATCGTGATTGACTATGGAAGAGTTGAGAAGAAGTATTAACAAATTCCGCGGACGGAGCGATGCGCTTATTGCGGGCACGTCGGAGGTACCTGGACATTGGTTTGCGAAGAACCAGTAGAACTACCAAGAGTAGCAGGACAACACCACCTAGGACACCACCAGCTATCGCTCCGACATTTGTCGTGCTTCGGATATGAGAGCTGGTGGAAACGAAAGTCTGCGCCACCGACGGTGTAGGGGTATTCGTATCCTTGCTCGAGCTCACGGTGGAAGGGGGAGGATCGGTAGATTGATGATAAGCAGTGCTGCTCACTGAAGTGTCTGGGGGAGAAGTGCTGGGGAACTGAGGCATAGAGGGGTTTCCTGCTCCCGCTGAGCCAATCGCAGGGTCCAAGGAAGTGGCGGGGCGCAGGGACGTGGTAAGGCTCGGTAAAAGGGTGGTTGTGGGCATAGGAACAGAAGGATTCTGCGAACTTGTAGTGCCGGATAATCCTGTGGCGTCGGATTGACTGTGCAAACGACATGGTTTTCTATTGGGGTCTACGCTGCCTTTCAGTCATTCGTGGCAGGCACACCCTTAAATCACGACCTACCGCAAACAAAAGGAGATGCTGCGTGCAGTTCCATAGAGTGCTATCGCAAGCAGTAAATTCCGATGGTGGCGAGTTTATTCGGTAGAGAGGAAAGGCGGTGAGCCTCTGGCCTCCGAACGATCAGGCGACCAAAAGAGACTGAGGGTGGAGGAAGGGTGTGAGCTGAACGGCGATGGCATCTTGACAGTCTCGAGACGATGTGGCAGAGGCGGTGTCGTTAAGTGCGGCGAAAATGCAGTGAGCGCGGGACGTGCAGCATCAAGAAGGCCAAGATAAGATTAGAGGAGATCAAACGCGATCTTTGTCATTGGCCCCGAATCCGGAGAGCGTCACGAACACCGATGAGTCTGACCAACCTCAAGTCCCTCCTCCCACGGACGGCTGCTCGCAGACACTTCTCTTCCTCAGCAGTACACAGAATGAAGGTCCTCTCTGTACCGGTTCGCGACGACAACTATGCCTACCTCCTCGTCGACGAGAAGGTGAACAAGGCTCTCGCGGTTGACCCCTACGACGTCCCCAAAGTCCAAGCTGCCGCAGCCCAGGCCGGTGTAGAGCTGGCGGGCTCCCTTACGACCCACCACCACCACGATCACAGTGGTGGCAATCAGGTATGTGATCTCAATGCACAGTATAGCTACGCACATCACGGTATCTTGATTCACATGTCCCAACAGGCATTCGTACGTACTGCACTTTGACAGGCCCGATATTGGTCGGCCTCGCAGCGTGATATTGACCTCTACCGACTGCGCAGGCCGACAGCTTCCCTAACACCCCCATCTATGGTGGGAGCAACAAGGCCCCGGCATTGACCAACCTCGTCAAGGATAAGGACGAGATCACCTTCGGGAGCATCACCATCAAGTGAGCCTGTGCTCTTTCCCATCTCTGCTGCACTAATACTCACCCCGCCCCAGATGCCTGCACACTCCGTGTCATACACAGGACTCCATTTGCTACTACGTCACCTCGGACGACGCCTCGCATCCTGGCGGCGTTTTCACCGGCGACACACTCTTCGTCGCCGGATGCGGCCGCTTCTTCGAAGGCACGGCGCCCGAGATGACTGCTGCTCTCAAGTACCTCACTACCTTGCCCGACAACACCCTCGTTTACAACGGTCATGAGTACACCAAGGGCAACGCAGCGTTCGCCAAGTCTGTCGAGTCGGACAATGAGGCCCTGAGCCGCCTCGAGAAGCTCATCCAGGAGGATCCAGCCACGACTGGGCGCACTACCATCGCGGATGAGAAGGAGTGGAACCCCTTCATCCGTCTGAACAGCTCCTCGATTCGGTACGTCTACATGTTCGCATCTCAGTACCAGTGCCTGACAAGGTCGGTGATACGTTTACAGCAAGAACATCAATGCTGCAGATGCTTCTGAGGACGACGTCATGCAGACGTTACGCGAGTTGAAGAACAGCTTCAGGGGGTGAGTGGGGGTCCCACCCTACTAGATGTTTGCCCATCTCCCTCCCCGGGCAGACCAAGTCGGTTGTAGCATTCAACATGCGGCAAGTCGTATCAATGGAAGTACGAAGATAACATGACTATCCATCAATGTATTAGTATATAGGATGTGGAATGTCTGAATTCATCACTGTACAAGCAGTTATGATTCTCGGCAACGTGTAAGAGCTGGGTGAAAGCTGGGAAGATAATTTAACATTTGCGGCTACATTAAAATCACACCAGTCCTATAGTTGCCAGAAGAAACATTGTAAAGGATGCCAAAGTATCCAGAAGCGTCATACACCTGCGAGTAATATCGACATGTCATAATACAACAGGCACCGTTCATAATCCAGAGGGTTCGGGAGAGCATGAGTTACATGCCGAAGACTTTGAGCACCGCTGAGCGTGCGTAGGGGATATATGAGAGCGTGTACCATGCGTAAGCGAGATACTCGACAACGACGAGAACTGTGAAGCGTCCATCGATCAGTACATCGACAGGTTGGCATGTAAGGGACATACTGATGCACAGCAGCTGCGGAAACGCCGTAAGTAACATCCACGCCTGCAAGAATAGAGACTCACATCACTGTTAATAACGAACGCGCCGATAAAGACCAGTACTATTGACGCTAGGAAGATGATTGTGGCAATCACTCGTACCGGCTTGAACATCTGAGCGACAATGGCACGTTCAGCGCAGCTCTCAGGTTCCTAGCCAGCTTGAAACAGACGAACCATTTTGATCTGCTTTGCGAACTTAAAAAGGGCCGTGAGCAGGAGACCAGTTGAAGGAGACAGTGAATAGTACATACACCAATGAGGAATCCAGTTCCTACCAGCGAAACGACGGTACCCATCGCATACAGGACTGCAGAGATCACATCAACGCACGTCCATGTAACAGCACATCCCTGCACTCACCAGCGAAGCTACCCAACTGCCCCACAAATAGCAATGCTGAGCCGAGGATGCTTAGAACGAAGCCTATCGCAAGACTACACGGCGTCCCCTGTCAATGACGACGACGCCCCCGCCGCGAGACAATAACGATAGGGGAAGGGCGCACCAGCCAGCAAAGCCATACAGTCGCTGCGTACGTGTGAGGCCAAGGAATTTGAACGCAGAGTCCCCTTCGAAGAACTGTGTTTCGGGGATCGTGCCCGCGGCCGTCTCCAGATTGAACCAGCCTTTTGAGCTCATAGTGCGTTAGCGTGCGAGTTTCGAAGACAAAGTGATAATAAGAAGGCGTAAACGAAATGTAAGAAAAACAGTACGAGGCCAGCCGGTCGAAGGAGGAAAGTTGTATCAGTGTGCGTGGTCGTGTCTCCTGCACAGGCCGCTGTACCGACGCCCGTGGATGCTGCTTCGAGACGCTAGTTCAAGCGCGCGTTGGAACATACGCTTCAGCTTGCCTCTGGAACTGTGTGGCGACCTCACATCCCCACGCACCCATTTAACAGCCAAAAATGATGGAAAAGATGCCATGTTGGCCATTGGAATGTAAGTCAACTACTACTGTACTACAAGATTTTCAGATAAAACGACAACAGGGACGAACGATTAACAGGGTAAGCATTGGAAAGCATTGGAGGTTGTCGGAGCGAAGATACTTTGAGCTACAAATCGGAGTCATAAAAGGGCCGTAACGAGACGTGGAGCTTCGTGTCCTGCGAGGCGTAAAGATGACATATAATGTAAGCGTAAAGAGGGTCGGGAGGGACCGGCCATCGAAAGTGAGGCTGAGCAACAGTCAAAGGGCATACTCCTGTGCCCTCGGGGCGTGATCCTTGAAAGGAGCGACGGTATTCGTATCGAGCCGAGAGATGCATATTGTTTACATGGGCTTGCGAGCGAGCATATCTTGGACGTCAGAAATCGTGCGGGCGGTTTCTGGCATGAGGGGGCCTCCTGGCAGGATTGCGAGGCGTTGCTTGGTGGTGTTGAGCATCTGCTGGACGCTGGGAAGCACCCGAGAGACGTATGGAGAGATGAGAGGGTCCTACAGAAAGCTTATGAGTAAAGGCTTTCGTCCCCAAACTATGACGCTTACACTGGTGTTCAAGGTCGAAGCCGCACGCTGCAGCCACCACAGAGATGATTTGAACGACTCGTCTACAGGCGGCGTCTCGCCGATGATTTGCGAGAGACGATGAACAAGCGTCAGGACGACAGCCTGAGACAGAGGTCCGCTGCTAGTGGTGGGCATGACAATCTCAGGGTTCGAGCGAGCCAGCAGTTCACGAAGTTGCCTGGAATCCTGAGAGCCCAGCACTGCGAGGTAGGTGTCGTCCCATTCTTCGTTCTGCGGCAACGGCGGCGTGCGATTGACTGCCTGCGGGGCAGGCGGAGGAGCCACAGGGTGAGACGCTTGGGGCGCCGCGATATTGGTGGGGAACCATGGCGCGCTTTGAGGGGGAGGAAGAGGCTGCTGTGGCGCTTGCTGCTGCTGCTGGGGGAATGGACCATGTTGAGGAGGAGCATAGCTCGAAGGCGGCTGCTGGGATACGAGTGGGATATTCGCGTGGCGGAGCTGAGACAGGTTGCCTTGCGAGTGCTGTGCGCTTGGAAGAGATGCAGGTGAGCCTCGTTGAACTGCAGGGAGGTTGAGCTGGCCCGAGGACCCAACGTTCATCGTTAGGTATTTGATCTGGTCCGAGAGGACACGAACAGATTGTTCGAGGTCACGGATGACAGCCTGCATATCAGACGTCAGTTTATGTCATGTAAAGGCAGCAATGCGACACACCTCTTGACCACGAAGAGCTTCACTCTGCCAGGTGATAATCTCCTTCTTTAGGTTGAGGATCTCGCCGTGAATCTCGCGTGAAAGTTCTTGGTGCATCTGCGACGACTGTTGCGAGTACGTAGGGATGAGGGTCTTGGTAATGGCGTCCTTGACATGCTTCTCAACAATAGGCGTGACAGCGCCGGAGAACGTGCGGGCAATGTGGTTGGAGACATCTGGACGGAGGAGCAGTCTCTCGATCTCGTTTGGCAGGTTCTGCACAACGCGTGAGGAGAGTGTTAGGTAAGCTAGCGGCGTACTTACCTGCTTCATGGACTCCGCGAGACCCTTGGAGATCTGGTTGTTGAGGGCAGCCTTCACCTCCGTCTTTGTGATGTTCTCGAGCGCAGGAAGAACAGAGCTCTGAACCTCCGCCTTGACCGCCATCTCGACGACTCGAGTGGTATTCTTGGTGAGCTCTGTGGAGATGAGCTTCAGGATCTTCTCCTGCCTGACGAAATCTGCGGCCTGCTCGTTGGCACGGGCATCTTCCAGGCGTTGATCTAGTTGGAACATGAGTGCTGATTTGTGGGAGATAAGCTCAAAAGGAGCCGCTCACGTTGCTTATCCAGCTCTTTCCCGATCATGCGACCTATGCGAGTATGTAGGTTCTCTTCTACCTTTCTGATCTCTTTCGTGAGGGCTGCGGTCACATCAGCGGACGGTGCTTCGGGACTCTTGCCCTTCGCCTCCGCAGTCTTTCCGCCCTCCTCAATTGAAATGGCATCCTCAGAATCCTGATCTGGTCGCGGTCGCTTCGGAGTCGCACTTGTATCTCATTAATATTGACGACGCTCACCATAGCTTCGGTGGAGAGCCTATTCCTCAGTCTGAGCTCCACCGTGTTAGCTCGATCTTCATGACGTCTTCGGTGCGTGTTTACCTTACCTCCGGTGCTAAATAACGCTTAACAAGCTATTCAGTCTATCATCGCTTTCGACTTCGACGTCACAAGGTCTGCTATCGCGAGCGTTTCTGAGGACTCTACTTTGACCATGTGGAATATGCGCGACCCCAAGCTCCCATTCTGGCAGCACAAGATTCGTGGCGACGACATGCCTTCGTCCTTGACCTTTGTTGACGGCGGTGTCGTCATCGGGCGTAGGAATGGCACGGTATTCCAGCTTCTAAACGCTATGAGCTGGAACATTCTGTCCACTGTCAAGTTCGTCAATGGGAGCGGCGATGACCCTGACATGTTCGGCCACGCGAATTACGACTCAAGGATTCAGACCCTCTGGATCGCGAACAACCGCAGGGAGAGTATGATCGCCTTCAAGATCAACTTCGATGTCAGCACCCCTTCGCCTGGCGGTGAGGAAACTCGCGGCGCGTTCTTCGACCAGGTGGTAGAATTCTTCGGACCCAAGCCTACCATCCACTTCGTTATCCTCACCGCGGATGCCGACCCGCACGGGGCTGAAGCACATGCTGCTTGCGTCGCCGCAAAGGTGCCCCCCGGCGAGCTCGCGCTCGTCGCCTTCTCAGTCCACTCCAGCGGAGTAGACCAGGTGCTGATTCGCAAGGAGTGGTATGACAACGCTTTCGCGACGACTCCTGCGAAGATTCCGAACTATGGTCCTCGTGCTACTATTCCTCCAGAGCCGAAGCAGCTCATTCAGCCGGCTGGATATCCTGCTCCGCCTCCCGCTCAGGTGCCTCCCGCGCCTGCACCATCAGCACCAACCAGGGCCAAAACGCCACCGTCTGAGGACATTGAGGGCATCGATTCCCGAGACGAAGGTCGTGGGCAGGAGCTAAAGGGTAAGGGCGGTAAGGGCAAGAAGAACCCGCGTGAAGAGGATCCATGTCCGTAGAAGGAAGCACGCAAAGGACAATCTTGCCCCTACAAAAAGAAGTAATTAGAATCGCGAAACCCATGAGAGACAGCGCACAACGTACGGGACGTCATCCCTGATGAGTTCGGGCAGTTCCCACACAACGAAGCCACCGTCAGAAGTCACTCCTGCAAGCCTGTTGCCGTGAACAGACATGTCGCTCACGGCAACAGACGTCGGGAAGAGCGACGGCAGCTGAAGCAGCGTGCGGTCCCCACTAGAACGCGAGATAACCCTCACGCGACCTGGCGCCGCCGTCAATTGTCACGCTCTCGGCAAAGCCTCATAAAACTGACCCTTCGTCATAGCGTACGCCACCCAGTGCGTTGCGCCTATCGTGGTGCCGGGTAAGAACGTCGAGTCTACTTTCACTAACGCGATCGCAGTTGACTTCACTGCATCCGGCGGAGCGCGGATCTCCTCGAGGGACTGTGCTACGTCGAAGATAATGGTCTGCTGGGGGCTGGCAAAAACAGTGGAGGTCAGTACCGAGCAAGAGTTCTAGAGAGGAGACATACGCAGCAACAGCTTTGCCCTTGCCGCCATTGCCCTTTCCGCGAGCCTGAGGCTCGATCGGACGGAATGGAGAGCTCTCCTTTTCCTTCCTTGGCTGCTGATAGTAGCTACCCTGGGGAGCAGGGGGGCCGATGGGAGAATCGACAGATTGTCGCTGCTGCCGCGCTTGAGCAGGAACCTTTGGCGGAGAAGCGCGAGGTGACTGCTGCTGCTGCTGGGTAGGGTGTGGAGGCAGAGGGCGAGAAGCCCTGGTCTGTGCTTGCTCCGCTTGCGGAGTGGAGAGCTCCTCGCTAGGAGCGTACGGGTCGAACTGGGCGGTCACAGATTGCGCCGGAGGCTGGAGAGGGCCCTGCCCTCGGGTGATCTGATCCATAAGGTTTTCGACGGACTTGCGCTTGGGATCCATGGTGACATTGGTCCAGGAGGAATCCCCCGTGCTATCGGTAGAAGGTGGCTGCTGAGGAGGAACTGGTTTGCGTTTGCTTTGCTGGGGCGGGCTTGCGAGCGCGTCGAAAGGAGACACGAAGTCGAACAACGACCTGCGACCAGGAGAAGGGGGTCGCTGATTAGTTTGATTATTCAGGGGCGCCTCAGGATATTCTGACGGTTGTATCTGCTCGCTTGGGCCGTAGGACTCGGCGGAGTAAAATTCACCCTGCGAGTGAGACTGAGAGTCGGCATTCGATGGCAAGTATGTGGGAGACGGCCCACCCGACGCTAGCGGGGGATATGTACTAGGCTGAGGCTCGTTATTGTACTTAGGACTATCCAGATAGAACAAGATGTAATCAGTAAGGTCGGCCATGATAGAGCGAGACAAGAGAGACAGGGGACAGCAGATTTCTCTTGATCCCATGTGCGCGTATTTACATAGCTGCGGTACACCCGGATGGCTGCCGCGAGGCGCATGTGCCGAAAACACGAACTCACCCGGACATCAATTGGTCCAACAGGAACTTGGTCTGTTCATTTGAAGTTTGACCGACCCTAGGCGCAGATCCCGGGGGAGTGGGCACTTGCTGGGGCATCGAAACGAAACTGGGGGCTGCTTGGGGATTGGAAGGTGGCGAAGTAACTGTACCGAGCAGAGATAGAAGGGCGTTCTGTCTGTCCGCGGTGGTGTTACTAGGACCGGAATGAGAAGAAGAAACAGATCCAGCGTTCACAGAAGCTGGAGTTGCGGGTCCCGAATGCGGTACGTCCTGCGGGACAGCATAAACATTGGAGGCGTGGCTAGGTGGCTGCTGGCTGGCCTGCTGCGGGGCGGAAGCTGTCAGGCCATGGAATAGGGTGTCAAGGGTGTTGTGGGCGGTGGGTGCGCTTTCGCGGGTACTTGGTGGTGCGGGAGGATGGGGATCGCTGACTTGAGCAGGAGCACCCTGCTGGTATAGTTGAGGTTGAGGAGGTGGCGAAGGACCTCTCGAAAAGAGGTTGTCTCTGCTGCCGGGATCCATGATGATCTCAGAAGATGGCGAGCCCTCAAGCAGAGATCAAGTTGTGAGAGAGAGGAGGGAGAGGAGATGCTCGAGGTAAAGAGCCTGCGATACAGCTCTTGTCAGGGTACGCAAACCCTCTGCCGCAAGGCACCTCATGTTTGCAATGAGGTAAATCGGAACTTGCCGCGCTGGCCAACTCCATTCAATCATCCTCGAACAACCCGACTTCATTGGGCTCGATAATTGCGCAAAAAATCGGACACCATCATTCGTGCATTGCGCATACAGTCGTGTAACTTTCGGCTATTATCCTAACGATGAGACCTCAGAAGTTCCCCCGCCGGGAGTCGGTGCCTTCGCGAAGGCACAAAACGATGACACAACGCCTGCCTGTTTTCTACACGCGGCGTGATTCCGCAAGCCTGAACCTGCTCAAACAGATTTCCACCCATTCGCAAGATAAACCAAGTCGCAATTCCATTCCAGCCAGCAAACAGAGCAGCGGCTCGTCTTTCGTGTCATGAAGAAGTAACTTGCAGGGTTCACAGAGCGCGCCTTGCGGTTCCGAATGTAATCGAGAACGTGCATCGCAGGCCCTCATGCGTGACAAGGACGATACTGTGAGTGACCCTTGCGGATATGTCTGATGTGAGGCTACACGCTATCTAGATCTTCCGCCCACACGCTGCCGAGATTGCAATACAGATTTTCTGCGGTCGTTCTGGCCCCACGCCCGCAAGCGAAGTGCGAGGACTCACCGTTTCAACGAGGAAGTGCTGTGCTGTGGAGTGCTGAGGCGATAAGCGGACCGCTAACCATCCTTCGACATGCAATCTCCCCAAGGCACGCCCTGTTTGAAGCCACGAACGGGGCCACAGTTCGCGAGGCAGAAGCAGCTGACACTCGCGCACAGCCGTCTTTTGGTCCGGCCACCCGAGTGCAATGCGTGCCCCGCGTGTAGTCAAGTATCTATCATCCCCTCAGCTCACATGAGATAGCGCCTTCTGCCAAGAATTCAGGAAATGAAGACACTCGCTATTTTATGCAACAGACATTTTCGAACACCTGAAAATGCAGAGAGAGATTTGTCTTACGCGCAGCCTGGCCTGTGTAGGGATCACGTCGTGCTGGAGGGCCGCGCCATCCGGGACGAGGTTCAAATATTGAGACTGTTCCCGCGTGGAAAGAATAAAGAAGCAGGGTATATAGGTGTGTCAGAGCGTTCTTCTGCTCTTCAACAAACGACTCTCACCTCATATACTTATATGCTTTATGAGCGCCACAGCATGATCAGGCGGCAGAGGCGGCGCCCCGACGCCATGGGACCGAAATGGAAAGCAGACCAGAGTGAGATGTGACGATGTCTGAAAACGCTGATAAGAACATGCATAAGTTGTTGCTTATACGAGTCCGTCTGTATCTTCTTGAATGACCTGTTGATTGTCCCAGTGTGAGCAATTTTTGAGTACTTTTGCCGTGCGGCGCAAATACCGCGCCTGCTATATCGGGTGTAAAAAATCAAATCCTCGAATAACCACGTACGCCGCAACCAGAGATAAATAAGCCAGGTGTCTCCGACTCGAGGTGAGCAACAATTAACGACCAAACCGCCACCTCTCTACTCACCGACGTCAAACAAGATGTTCTCCGTGTGTTGCAGTATAATCGTCTATGTGGAGTTGTGGCTGACGTACTCTGGTTAGGCTGTCGAGACCCCTAAGAACACCCACTGCGGTGACAGTTCTTGCAACTGCGGTAACGCGTAAGCAGCCCTCCCACCACTCAGAGTAATCGGAGTTAACTCACAGTATCGTCGCTGTAGCTGCCAGTGTACCACAGGCAACTGCAAGTGCTGAGCGCGTAGCTTTTTCAGCTAGTCGCCGTCTTCCTACGTTTGGATTTGTGCAGCCGCCTTGACTACCAGCTCAAATAATCGTGGTCATGAATGAATCCTGAATTTGTACATTTGCAAGCCGCGCCTCCTGAATGGAGGCCATCCTTGACGTGTATTGACGGCGGTGTATGGATCGCGAATAAGTCTAGCGCTGCCGGAAGGCGTCGAAGGGGTGCCGAAATGGTCGATACTACATCTCCTCCTGGCGTCGTTCGAAGACAATGAGCTGGAGAAGTCGTGTATCGTCTGTTGGATATAACAGCTCATCTGCGTCAGGACTTGATTGCAGCAGATATCCTCCTAGCCTGCCCTGATTGGGTATAGTCACTTCAGCGACGACGGTGGTACGATGATTAGCCCACCCTGTGAGCGTCTGCCACTCCCTTAGAGATATAAACATGCCTAGTCACATTACATCAGTGTATGCCACCAACGATGCATGAGCTCGTGGACGCTGCACTGCTTCCGGCTGATAGTTATTGACTGTCGTAGCGCTGTTATTCAGAACAGAACAGGTATTTGCATATTCAGGGAATTCTCGGTGACCGTGTACCCTTGCTATGAATAAGTGTGGTGATCATTGAGCGCAGGGGGCGATTTCGGGCACGTACTCTCACATTTGCCGCCAAGCATATATGCCCAGGTGACCCTCTGTATTTGGAATGGCCGCAGAGGAGCTTTGTTTCGTAGATGAACGTGTCAGCCAATCCTGAGTGGTTCAGAAAAGAAGCCGCAAATGGCTGGTGGGTAGGTCCTTTTGTGATGTGGTTGGAGACCTGCAAGCCGTAAGCGTTCAGATGGGTCGAGATCCGTAAGGCGTTTGCATACCAAGTGACGTGGAAGCCCCACCTCATCCTCCACATACCAAAACTTTTATATGGCAGAGACCACAAACATGAGCATACACTGGTGGCGATAAAAGGAGAGCGAGAGCGACGCTGCATGCCATAACAGACCCACCGAACCGACCCACCAATCAAACCAATCGAGGAATATACGATGTACACCGTCAGTCACCCACCAGCCACCATAAGGCATAGTGATATGCTCATCGGTTTCTGTCCCCGACAGGCCTCCTCCGTCCCCTTCGACACCCACTGCGGCAACAACGACTGCAAGTGTACTGGCACGTGAGCAGCCTTGAGATATTCTGCCATATGATGCTACTGAGCGGCGCCAATACCATTCCACTAGCTGTAACTGCCAGGCCGGTAGCTGCAAGTGCGGCAACTAAGTGACCACTTCAGTCAAAGCGTCGGCGTTGCTCACCCTCTTGCGTTACCCGAGCTGCCATGTAGCGCACATGAACGCATGTGTACTTTGTTGTAAATCAAGAAATACTAACGATGTCGCAAATCGGATACGCACTCATGCACTCATCAGGAACCATGGCTAGATCACACTCTCATGCTCACTGGTACTGCCTTGACGTGAGTTAGAAGGCATGTTTATCCATATTGACCGCCACAGGTAGTAAGGCATATGTCATAGCTGCTTTATAGAAAATCTCTACGAAAAGCTGCAGAAGTGATCAGTAAATTTATCAGATGCCAAGATAGTACACGCACCTCCAGGGACAAGAGCAGTCGCATACATGACTTTCGTGATAGGCCTAAGTACCTGCTTCTTGATCACCCCATTAAGCTTTTCGTCTCCAGTCTCAGACCCCTCCCATTGATCCAGAATATTCTCTGCCAGGCCCACAAGATCCTCATTCTCCTCCTGTGACTCCGACAAAATCGAAGCGCATTTGATCCCTAAGCATGTCCCGAACTCGCGGAAGGCGAGACGGCGCTCGAGAGGGTACTCGAAGTAGCGGTTTACAAATGTGAGCTCCCCTCAGCCATGACGATTGACCTTCAGGAGCAGTTTGGACAAGTAATAACGCTGACTCACTGAGATTTTCCGATGCACGCTCCATGATTGCCGCTGCCCAAGGTTCCTCCTTAGCCATCCAATGTACGCTCCATAACGTCATCCCTAGGTCGAGCGGATCATCGGATTCCATGTACCTCCATTTCATGTCGACTATCTTCTTGTAGTCCTGGATCTCCTCCTTGAGAATGGTGGTGTCGCCTGCTGTCTTCTGCAGGAGGCTGAAGACTACATAGCCATCGATGGGGTCAAGGTTCCCTTGGCTTGAAACAAGAGGCCGAGAGAGGTCAATGGACATCTTCCACCGCATGCGAGGCGTGAAGGAGTCTCGATTGACGACAAAAGCGGGATGAATGGCTCTGGCGAGTTGGATAGCAAGCTCGTTATACTTCGTCTCCCCTGCGGCCACAGTCATCCTATTGAGAGCGAACATCCAGATGGTGAGATAGTGGTGGTACTGCCCGTCCCCATCCGAGCCTGACTCGTCGTCCTTCCCAATGCGTAGCCCCCCAGCGAGAGGTCGTTCTGGCGACGCGCCGGGGAGATGCTTGTCTTGAGAACGCGTCTTGCCAAGGACGCTATGGACAGTATCTATCAGCCGAGCAGCGCAAGCGAGGTAGGTGGATGAGCCGGTGAGACGGTGAAGTGTGATGAAGTTGAGGACGCCAAAGGCGTCAGTCCACAAGTATCGACCTAGATGCCCAGAGGGGGCGGGAGGAGGCGTCCAGCCTTGGGCCTGGGAAGGCGTCAAGGTGCCAATCGGGCCGTAGACGTCCTCCATGGCAGCGACGACCTTGCGAATAGCGACATCTTGAGCCGCGTTGAGTGCTGACATGGCGCAGTGGACGGTTGAATAAAGGCACGTCCGAGTTACAGAGCGGAGACTTAGGGCCCCAGAGGTTGTATTTATTCGTTGCCGCAGTGCCGCGCCAGTGACGAAACAAGTATCAGTGAATGCCGTCATACTCGGGCCACACGGCTGGAGCCCTGCCATCGAGAAATGCTGCGCAGCCGAACAGAAAAATCGGGAGCAGAACGGTAAAAGATGAGACGTGGCTAGAGAAGTCCAGTAACCTCCAGGCGTATCGAAGAGGTTTGAGACACGAAAAGGAGCAAACCCACATTGGGAAAGCGAGCCGCTTGTGGCGGCGATCACACGATTCCCACGCCATGATACGCTGCTCACGCCAACGCGGGAACTCGTGCAATCTTTTTGGACAAACGTTGAACATTTCCCATCCGGGATATTGTTACATATTACACAGTTCAGTCTGGATAGCAAAGGAATCATGTAGAGAGTCTTGTTATATGCTCGGCTATGTCACGTGGGTCAGGATGGCTTAGAACCAATAGCGATCGCCACTTACATGATTCTTTATACCGCTGCCGTCTCGCTGGATCCAGAGCTCCGAGCTCCTGAAGTAGACCAATGCAGCTCTCGACGAGGTTGACTTGTTCGCCAGGCTGGAAGCTGGTAGTATGCTTTTGCAGAAGCAGGCGCTTGTAGTGAACGAGTGACTCCATACACCCTGTGACGAGGGTCAGTCCATGCAGAGCAAAGAATGGCACAGACATGCATTTGCTGTCAGGTTGCTCATTGAGCAGCTCCTGTATAGTGTTGATCTCCCGCTTCAGCAGGGCGGCTTCACCGCCTTCGCACAAAGGTCAGCAGCTTGTAGCGAGATCGGTCACAAAAGCACACCATCTCCAACCAGCCACCTGTGATAGATCCACACACTTTGATCTCCGGGATCTGTGTACATTGCATTCTTGACCAAATCAAACTCTGGCATATGAAAGTAAGCTCAAGATAAGAACTGGACGAAAAATAGAAACACCCTCTTCCTTAGACTTGACAGGATCCACTGTGTTGCTTTCCCAAAGGGCCGTAAGGACCTTAGAACGTTGGTGCCAGGCGCTAAAATTCGAGAAATTGGCTTCAATCTTGCGGCTGGTGTATGCCAGCTCGGAAAGCTCCGAGCGGCGAACGGGCATAGTCCCTAGCACGTATCTTCGGTAGTTCCAAGCATGAACTGCCGTAATAAGAAAATGGTTAGTATATGTACCATGCTCAGCGAGGTGATTGTACCAACAATTGCGGGCGTCAGCTTCAAGCATCTTCTCCACGACAAAAAGCTCCTTGTTCCAGTTGGCCATCCTCCAGCCATTGGAGTCCTCTTCTGTTGGCCCATTCGGAACATGTTCCAAGCACCATCTGCGGTGGTTCCAAATCCAATACACCTTAGGATGCTGTTTGAGCAAAGCAGTCGTAAGATTGAGATCTTCAGCAAGTAGGTCATTTGTGTCGGCGGCTGAGCTAGAGATATCCATTAGGTTACAAGGTAACAATACGGCACAACTCACCTCTTGGGGATCATGTCTATCTCCAAGATTTGGCGCCGGTAATTCCAGACAGTGTAGAACTCGGGATTAACCCGCAGCAAGCGCGTCGTCAGCTCAAATGCCTCGCGACACATGTCATTATTCTTTTTCTAGCTCGGATTTTCAGTGTTAGCATGTAAACAGAAGATATTTATACTCACTCGAGATAGGATGTCATGTGTGAGAGCGAGATATTCCTTAAGCTTGGCTTGATCTCGTTGTCTCTTCGCTTCAAGAGCCTCTTTACTATATTGAACTCGCTTTACACCATGCTATACATCTATCAGCACGTAAATATCAGTGCCCTGATTTCTAGGCAAGCGTACCATGGTCCCCAAACCTCAACTGATCGCTCAGATACCTGCTAAGTGACGGCAGCCGGAGGCAAGGATGATTTGGCGCCGGTAGATACGCGTTTTATGTTCGGCGCGCTATGGCATTCTTCACTCTGTCAGGACCGTCCATCTGCGAGACGCTGCAATGCCCTCAGCGATACAAATCAGTCCGACACTCGAGTCGCTACAGGCACTCTTTCCTCTTGCGTTCCCTATACCCAAACCGACAACCCACCCAGACCTTGTCTCAACAAAAGACTTGCACCGGGAGGAAGACCTCCTCCGCAATCCGAACTCTTTCAGGACTTGGTGGTCCGCCATCCAGAATACGAAGGAGGCTGCTAACTCTCTGCTGAAAATTGAAGGGTCCCTAGACTTGTCTCCGGATGTTGCCGCACTCCTTGGCCCGCTGGCATCCCCGAACGCGCGAAAATCGCTCCAACGCTTGACCTACCTCTATGAAGCTGCCCTCACTCAGTTCCCTGGCTCGTTCAAGTTATGGAAATCTTATCTGCAAACACGTATGTCTTATGTTCTTGGGCGATTGATCGTCAGGAAGAAGGCTGGAGGCAAGAAGAAGTTCCCGGAGATGCGGGAGGCCTTGGAGGATGAGAAGGAGGACCTTGAACGGTGGGAAGGTGGTCTCGATGGCGTAATCGGCTGGGAAGAATGGAAGGCTCTTGTCGCTACGTTTGAAAGGGCTCTCATGTGGCTACCAAAGGTGCGTGGCTAATTGCTCCTTCGTCATGTACTTCTCATCGTCAGCTTAGATGCCGCGTTTGTGGCTGTTGTACCTGTCTATCTTCGACCACCCATTTTGTCCTCCACAAATCTCACACATTCATGCTCGTCGCACCTATGACCGTGCTTTCAGGACACTACCACCCTCTCTGCACTCGCGCATCTGGGTCCGCTATCTGCTCTGGGCAGAGAGCAAGGGCGGTGCTACTACTGTTGCGGTGTACCGCAGGTACCTTGCAGTCGACCCCAGTATAACCGAGCATTATACAGCCCTCCTGCTCTCGCCCGAGAATCCAGCACCTCGTCCGCTGGAGGCTGCTAAACTGTTGTTATCATTGGCGAGGAAAGCTGCTAAGGGCGATTACACCAGCCCGGAGGGCAAGAGCCCGTACCAGCTGCTGTGCGAATGGCTTGAGGTTGTAGAGCAGTATGCCGAAGAAGTCGGAATGGACGTTGACGATACCATCAATTCCAACGCAGCCATTGCCGATGCCAAGAAGGAGCAGGAGTCATCCGCTGCGCTGCCTCCGGAGCCCGCCAAGCTAGAGGGACGCCTTATTCGATTCGCGGGTCCTGCGGTTGCTGTCGACGGCGACGGTAAGGTACTACCGCCTTACGATGAGGACGAGGATCCCATTAGCCCACGAAAACTTAACATCGAGAATATAATCAAGTCAGACGGCTTGGAAGTCTACAAGGACCAGGCAGGCCGTTTGTGGACCGGCTTAGCAACATATTGGATCAAGCGTGGCGAATTTGACCGCGCGAAGAAGACCTTCGAGGATGGCATGGCTTCCGTGCTCGCCATTCGGGATTTCACCCAGATCTTTGACGCATACGCCGAATTCTCCGAGAGCCTGATTAGCGCGTTAATGGAGAGCATAGCAAACCCGGATGAAGATGAAGACGAGGAGGATGTCGCGGCCACTGAGGCAGAACTCGACGCGAAAATGAGGGAGTTCGAGGAGCTCATGGACCGCAGACCCTTCCTCGTCAACGACGTACTCCTCAGACGTAATTCGAACGACGTACAGGAGTGGGAGAAGCGTGTTGCATTATGGGGCGAGAACGACGAGAAGGTGGCTGAGACCTACACCCAGGCTCTCTCGACCGTTAATCCCAAGCGTGCGACTGCTAATTTCCACCGCTTGTATATCAACTTCGCGAAGTTCTACGAGGAGGGCGGTACCATCGGCCAGGCTGAGCCTGACTTGGACAGTGCACGAAAGGTCCTTGAGAAAGCCACCAAGATCAACTTCAAGTCCGTCGATGAACTTGCTGAGGTCTGGTGCGAGTGGGCTGAGCTGGAAATCCGCCATGAGTATGTTTAATTTGTCATTCTCGCTATTGGTATGGTTTAACAATATCGCAGAAACTTTGACGAGGCGATCAGGGTAATGCAGAGGGCATCTGCTGTGCCAACAAACACAAAGATCAACTACCATGATCATGTATGCATTTGTTTTCTTTCTCTGCGTGAACACCCTGACATCGCTCGTAGGCACTCCCCGTGCAAGCACGTCTGTTCAAATCGCTCAAGCTCTGGTCATTCTACGTCGATCTGGAAGAGTCACTAGGGACCGTTGAATCTGCGAAGGCCATATATGACAAAATCCTCGAGCTGCGGATAGCGAATGCGCAAGTCATCGTCAACTACGCAGCTTTCCTAGAGGAAAACAAGTACTTTGAGGAGAGTTTCAAGGTCTACGAGCGTGGTATAGAACTCTTCACATACCCTGTCTCGTTCGAGATCTGGAACATCTATCTCGTCAAGTTCGTGAAGCGATATGTGGGTACATAAAACTTTCTTTAGGACCCGTTAAATTGATAATCTTGTTCATAGGGCGGCGAAAAAGTCGAGCGCACGCGAGACCTCTTCGAGCAAGCATTGGAGAAGTGTCCACCGAAGAATTGCAAACCAGTGTTTCTCATGTATGCGCAATTCGAAGAGGAGCATGGGCTCGCCAAGCGCGCTATGGCCATTTACGACCGGGCAACGCAAGTGGTCAACGATGAGGACAAATTCGAGGTAAGTCTAACTCAACTCTAGCTCTGTCCCTTGCTAACAAGATTCGCAAGCTATTCACTATCTATATCGCGAAAGCAGCCGAAAATTACGGTCTCACTGCTACACGACCCATCTACGAAAGCGCCCTCGAGATTCTTCCCGACCGACAGACGGCCGAGATGTGCCTGCGCTTCGCACAGATGGAACGCAAGCTCGGTGAGATCGACCGCGCCCGCGCCATCTATGCGCACGCATCTCAATTTTGCGACCCACGAATTCACCAAAACTTCTGGGCCGAGTGGAACGCGTTCGAGATCGAGACCGGCTCGGAGGACACTTTCCGCGAGATGCTCCGCATCAAACGCAGCGTCCAGGCCCAGTTCAATACCGAGGTGTCGTACATTGCTGCCCAGATGGCTGCGAAGCAGACGAATGGAGGTGGCGCCGAAGAAGTGCTACCTGCAGATGCGATGGCGGCAGCCGAGCGCCAAGCCGCTGATGGGACAAAGGGTCCTGCGTTCGTCGCTGCAACGCAGAGCACGAACGTGCGGATGCAAGAAGCTGAACCAGCCAAGGCTGGAAACGAGGATGAGATTCACATTTCTGACGATGAGGATCCATAGTTCCCATACCTTGCGCTCGTTTCTTGCACTGTGCTTGATGCCGCTCTATCTTGTACTATTCCATCGCTCTATCTCGACTTCACACAGATCTTCCCACTGCGCATCCCAACTACCTTCCTCAAGGGGCGGCTGAGCAACCCAACGGGCTATTAATTCCCGGGAGACTTCAAAGGACACTGAGTGACCTCGAAGAGTATCTACGATCTCCTTGTGCATGATGAGTGAACGATGGTAAGCAATGAGCATAGATGGGACGGAGATGGCTTTCAATCATTTTGTTAGTCCTTTGATAAAGAACACGCATGGTAGCTCGCATACCAAATTTTTCTAACGACCATGTAACCCAGAGCGGCTCCTGGACAAATTGCCACCCCTTGGCTTTGTGCGCGTCTGCCAAAACACTCTCTAGCGAGTCGACCAAATTGTTCATCTTCTGAAAATGCTTCTTCTGTGAAAGATATCAGCGCCTGCAGGCAGTACGGCACACTATATACACGGACCAGTTTAACAATGAGCGCGTCCAACTGAGCGATACGCTTCTCCATGAGAGTTAACTTCGGTTCTACCACCCTGTGTTTAGGCTGGGTACCGGCTGGTAATAAGGCTAATTCATTACTGTATTGTTCCAGTACACCATTAGAGCGGAGTGCGGAAAAAAAAATTGCGCACTCAAGCTCGGTTCTTGCATCTATGAGGCTTTGTGCAGCCTTCAATCCGTCCACAAGCACGATATCGTCCCAGTTCTCTGCCACAGTCCTGAGCTCTTGCATAATTGCTCGGACTTTACGATGGTATGTAGACTCATTTGAGCGTAGCGGGGAGGCATGCTGCTGCAGTTGTTGTGTCTGCTTAGCCGGAGAAGATGTTGGCGTCGATGGGCCCTTGAAGGAGGCGAGCCGTCCGGCCATGATCGAGACTCGAGGTGAAGAGGAGAAATGGGCGCTTGCGTTGCGATGAAGTCGCGCCTGTGATCGCGTTCGCCGTGACGCTGCCCACTACCACGACCCCCGGGCAGATATGCAGACCACAGACAAAAACAACTTTCTGAGGGCAGAGGCGGAGCTCATTCTGGACGATGTACGTACCATGTGTGTCTCTTCAAGCCGTATTCGCAAACGTGGCGCAGGCGCGTAAAGCGAAAGCAGAGAAGATTAAGGACCACGGCGAGCCCATCCAACTAACGGGAGTAGCTTTGGACATTCACATCAAAGAAAATCATGCATGGATTGCAGAGAACTCAGCCGTCGTCCGTAAGGTGGACTTGGAGGTGAGGCCGTTCTAAACCAAGCATACGGGCCGAGACGATGAAAGCTGTCAGGTAGAGTGGAAAAACTCTGCAGCTGTTCAAAGGACACACAGCACCCGTTACTTCAATCGCGTTCTACGATAAGACCCCAGGATCTGAAGATGGAAAATTGCTGATCAGTGGCTCATGGGACAAGGTGCGTTCACTTTATCCGCTGACATAGGTCTCTTCCTGACGTGCTTGCCTAGACGATTAAAATATGGGATTGCGAGGTCAGCTTTTGCATCCTATCGTCTGAGATCTTGCTGAAGGTTTCCGTAGACCAAAGCGCTATTGTCTTCCACCAACGCCCACTCTGATTTTGTCAAAGCGCTCCTCGTCATTCCAGCTCTCCGCCTGCTAGCTTCCAGCGGCTCAGACAAGATTGTGCGCTTGTGGTATGCATGTATATACTCTGACCAAGTGCATTGATCGAGCCGCTGTGGCATTCAGGGATCTCTCTGCCTTTGTGAAAGGCAAGCCTCTACCGTCAGCAGGCTCTATATCCGCGCACACTCGCCCTGTGGAATCGTTCGCATTCAGGCCGGTATCCAAAGGCTCTGCAGTACTATATACTACGGACACCATGGGAATCATTAAAGTATGCGAGCTGCAGAAGGAAGATGGCACGCCAACCAGATGGCGGGCTTCTCAGAAGGATGAGTTTAGCTATCACCGCACAAAGATTTATGAGGCGGTATACGGTGCCGGACAACTGTGGACAGGTTTGTCACAATAATTGCCGCACATTGCGTACAGATAGTGACATGCCTCGCATAGCATCTGCGGATGAGACCGCTCAAGCAAAGTACGACCCTCAACCTGACGCGAAGAGCGAGAGCCAGCCTATGTCGCCAATTGCCCACTCGACGGCGGTACGCGCAATTTTGCCCCTTCTTGCCACGCCACTAGCAGAACCATACCTCTTGACGGGCTCAGGAGACGTCATTCGAGCGTACGATATTTCATCTCCTGGCGAGCCAGAGCTGCTCGGAGAGATCGACGGGCATTGGCATGATGTTACGGCATTGCGATTGTGGACGCGCAAGTCAGCGGTAGAGGGTGACCCGGGTAAAATCAAGGTTGAGCCATGGATTGTCAGTGCGAGCCTTGACGGCACGCTGCGGAAATGGAAGCTACTAGGTATGTAGATGACGCGTGTATATTGTACGTTAGCCAGCTGATTTGCGCATATTTACAGAACTCTTGCTTCCACCAAAATCGGCGGAGAAACACAAGCAAGTTGCTCCTCCGCCGTTCAAGGAGGAAAACATGGCGAAGCAGTCTTTCGGCCTCACAGAAGATGAGGAGCGCGAATTGGACGAGTTGATGGGTGACGATTGATCGTCGCACAGTGGGGTTGTCCATATTTTCCATATATTCACAAGGACATGGATGAAAAGGCGCAGAGGCGTTGAACAGAAGGCAATAATGGAGGGCAATGATACGCGACGGCCCTACAATTTGCTCTTAATGAGGTTGGTAGCAGATGTGAGACTCATCGCGGCAGTATTCACTAACTCGTCGACACTGAGTGCGGGGATCATCAGGTATAGTGTGAAGCATGTACTCAATAGTACTTACATGTTTTTCGCGGGTTTGATGTCATTGATAGAGCCGGCTACCTTTCCCATAAGCCCTATAGGCAGTGTCAATATAATTTAGAGCTCTTGAACATGCGGATTAACTCACATGGTCGACCATCGATAGATTTCTCGGGATGTTTCTCAAGCTCGACCTCGTGAGGAATTTTGCCCTGCGAGGCAAGTTCGGCGATCTCCTGCTGCCGTTTTGCCTCCCTGAGATGCAGGTAAGGCATTATCTCCAAGAAGACCGGTGAACATAAACGGCGTACCATTCAGCGACATATGGTGTCTTCTTGACGCTCATTGGTCGCCCAGAATACACCAGTGTTCGAATGGTGTCGTCGTATCCTGCGCTTAGAAGCTCCTGCTTGTGCTTTGGCGGTGCGCCGGCTTCCTCACTCGCAACAAAACGTGTACCGACCCAGACGCCTGCAGCGCCGTAGGAAAGTGCCGCGGCGAGACCCCGCCCATCGGCGATACCACCAGCGGCAACAACAATTACAGGCTGGCCAGTCAATGGACTGACGGCGTTCTTACAGAGGTCGGCGCATGCAGGAATGAGGATGGAAAAGGGCGTGTCGCCTGTATGGCCTCCGCCCTCGCCGCCTTGCGCACATATGATATCGACGCCTATGTAGACAAATAAGATATTTGCACGAAGGATATCATCTCAGTAAGGGGACTGACCCTGTGCGAGGGCTTTGGGTACGTGCTTGGGATGCCCGACCATGCTGATTTAGATGCGCCGTTAGTTCAATTGATCCGCAGCATATTCAGTCACTCACTTCATGACGGCAATACCTGCCGCGTGAAGCTTATCGACCATCCACATGGGTGGGACGCCGACGGCGCAGACAAACAGTGCGGCCTTGTTTTTAATGATAACTTCTGTCAGCTCTGGGAGCTGTCCCTGGGTGTAGTCGTACTACAAATACGCATCAGTGCCCGGCGTTACAATACACATCGACCGCTTAACATAAGTACTCACATTGGTCTTCCGCGCGTTTCCGCCAATTTGGGGAACCAAAAGGTCAACCCCGAACGGCGCGTCCTTATCCTCGAGATGCTTCTTAATGTCATCTATGGACTGCTGCAGTACCTTGGGGCTCTGGCGAAGACCGCCAATGACGCCGATGCCACCTGCATTCGTAACTGCCGCGGCAAGCCTTGGTCCAGCCGCAACGTTCATGCCTAGGCATGGCTTGGATCAGTCGAATTTCCGAGCAGACCTGAGACTCAGACGCGTACCTGCAAGCATAACGGGATGGTTGATATTGAACAACCGAGTAAGAGGAGTCGAAAATATCGGCTGCGAGGATGGCATGATGGACGACTCTACACTCCACAGGTCTGTGTGGGGAGGGGGGGACCGTTTGAGCTGGTGCTCATACTTATGATGCTCGGCGAGACATATCGCGGTCCGGGTTCGAGCTTGTCCGACAGCCGGACCAAACGCTTACATAAGTAATCCTTGACCCTCTTTCGTTCCACGACAGGAAGTGCAGGTGATCAGCAATGGCCTCAGACAAGTGTCCCGTCGACCACAAGACTCCTGCGGCAGCACAACAGCAGGCAGACAAGTGCCCTGTCGACCACGCCAGTGTACACTCGGACTCATCCGAAAAATGCCCCATCGACCATACTGCGCGGACTTCGTGGACTAGCATATTCTCAACTAAAAATGACGCCCCTTCACAACCTACGGCCAGTTCGTCGACACTCACGAAGCTCCCAGCAGATAGGGAGGTTTCATCCATACCACGGATGGACGGCTCAAACTGGGTGTATCCGTCACAAGCTCAGTTCTACGCGGCCATGGAACGAAAGAACCACAACCCTCACGCGCCAGATATGAAGGTTATTGTGCCGATACATAACGCGGTCAACGAGCGGGCTTGGACAGAAGTGATGAAGTGGGAAGTGGGACAGGGCGGCGAACGATGCGGTGGTGTGAAGCTCGTCAGCTTCAAGGGAAGGCCGAATGAGAGGACTCCAAAAGCTCGATGGAAGACGCTGTTTGGGTGAGTAGCGCAGCGCGTGTACCATGTCATTCGCTCAAATTTACACAGTTACACGCCGCCGTTTGATCGGCACGACTGGATAGTCAACCGCTGTGGAACGCGAGTGCGGTATGTTATCGATTTCTACACAGGACGGTCCTCTGGGAACAATCCTTCATTTTACCTCGACGTTCGGCCAGCCTTGGACAGCTGGGAAGGTGTTCGGCTGCGGGCGGAGAAGTTCTTGTCGAAATGGGCAGGTGACTTTTGGGTCTCCAGCCCGTCTTCACCTTCTTCAAAGCCTGCATCGTAAACACTCATGTTACTGCATGCTGTATGAGCACCATCTGAGCAATATCACCACTCCGCATTACAGTACCAGAACAACTCAGGACAGCGCCTACCGCTTGCCCTTCGTCTTTTGCTTTTTGGGCGGGGGCCTCCGAGCCTCCTCGTCTTCGCTGCTCTCTCTCGCATCACTATTGTCATCTTCACTGCCTTCTTCTCCCTCACTAATCTCTTCGTCGTCGTCCCACTCGCCTTCTTCAAATGCCTCGTTTCCCGACTCCTTGGAACTTTGACCTTCCTCATGGTACTCTTCGCTCTCGCTATCTGACTCCTCGCCATTCTTGTCCTCTTCGGCAAGCCGCTTCTTGCGTGCGACATTTCTCTCTTGCTCCTCCCGCCTCTGTTTCCGCAAGCGCTCCTTAGTAACGTGCTCAGCCTTTTGTTTTTCCACCTCAGCCTTCGTCTTCTTGACTTTTTATGAGCATGAGCATGAGCATGAGTTATTGATTACAATTGATGGTGCATGAGTAGACGCACCGAGTTCATGGTAGATAACATTCCCCTCCTTTCCGGGGACGCCCTCAACGATCTTGATCAGTCGCAGTTCCATTCGTGGGCCGATTTCATCGAGTTTGACTGCCCTCTTTTGACCTTTCTTGTTATTGCGCCCCACATAGTCGTCAGCAAGAGAAATAGCGTCTGCATCGTCTCCTGCAATACTTGATGCCGACGAGGCTGCGGACTCATAGCCGTCACTACTGGGTCCTGGCTCGCCCTTCTTCCTGAGCAGGAAGTCCGCAACGTCCTTCTCGTTCCCGAGATCTAAAATGCCGTGGGATGACGAGGACTTGGCAGTCGCGCCCTCGAGCACCTTGCGCACGCGCTTCGAAACACCATACGGCTTGACAGTGATGAGGTAATGGCGGAAGTCGACTGTGCCGCGCTCAGCATTGTAAGAAACGAGGACAACCCGACGCGCTGATGATAGAGAGATAGTTTTCGGCGAAAGGGGAGGGAAGAGTGTCTGGAAAGTCTTCATAAGGAGTGTGAGGTGCGGAGGAGTGCCCGGACCTGGCTGCGGAAAAGAAGCGAGGACCAGCTTCACAAACGGTTACTCAAGAGCAGCAAGATGTAGACTACTGCTTCACGTACCAGAGGCGGACTGAGGTACTCGATAGTGCCTATACTCTTTGCCCTCCGCGAAGTCCGAGTTATATCCTTGAGCAAGCTATACCGCTCTATGCGGAAGCTCAGTGTCGGGCCAACAGGCAAGCGGACTATTCGCAGTGAAGGCGCGACATCTGCGAGAGTGAAAGCAAGGAGATGTGTAACTCCAAGCGCAGGAGCCATAGTCATGAAGTCCTTCAGCTTGTTACGTGCCCGTTCCTTCACTTGCAATATGCGTTCAGCAACTCGCCATCGTTCTCCAGATCGAGAAGACTGACCCTAAGGCGACTGGCAGTGTTCGGTTCCATGACCTTGCGCACATCGCGCACGAGCTGGGCGAGTGAGGTCCCAACCTGACCGTGCTTGATGACGAAGGACTTAGGAACACCTTCCGCAGCGCCAGGGTTTGAAGCAACGCCGCCTTTGAGGTGAGTACGATTTTTGCGTCGGCGGGCCATAACCAGGAGATGTCCGTGGTGCAGAGCGAGGAAGTTACCCACAAGCGCCGACGAGGGTTTAACGAAATTTATGTTTGACGGCGGTACGCCTAATAAGGGAAGAGGGCGGGTTGTGATAGACTCGTGACCAGTCTACTCGGTAGTTGGTGGGACGCGTACCGAGGGTGGAAGGGTGGTCGGTACGCTGGAATGGCAGGGTGGCTGGTATCGAGCCTAGGGTTATGGTTGTGGCGTTCAAAGGAGGCGAGGCGGAAATTCTGACCGGTCATAATATGTACTGTAGAGTAAATCACAATTGAGACTACAGATAAATACAGGTATATGTCAATCATTATAAGCAAGTAAAGAAAACTGGAGCGGCGCCGAGGGCAAAAATATAGCACAATCTGAATTCAGAGTCCGAAACACAAGTAGTAACACAAGGTGAGTTACGGCGAAGGTAAGAGTATATATACAGGTGAAAGGTTGTGGCAGGGCTACAATAAAGGGTATAGTTAGAGACAAGAAGATGAACCGTACGTTGGCAGCACGCTATAAGTTAGGAAAGACGAGACAGCTGTACCAAGCCGCGTTATTGACTGTGGACAGTCCATTCGGCTTCGAACAATGCCCCGTAGAACATATGAGCTTAAGGAGTGTATGTATACTCAAAATTCCAAGAATTGGTATTCCACAGGGTCAAACCGTTGGGTTAGACCACGCGGCCTCTCTTCGCGAATGAGACCAGGTATTTCTTCAGCCGGTGGCAACGGTAACCGCGAGAAGTGGCGAGTGTCTTCGAGAGATGACACATGAGGTATGATTGGAGCCTACAGAGCATGAATAACAACGGGATTAGGGTCAATATAAGAGACGCACCCGAATTTCGCGGCGTTCCAGAGCATCCCAGTCAACGCCACGGAACCAAGGATGATCGAGAACATCTTGTGCACCTCCGATCAGGTTGCCGAGTCTCTTACTTCGGTCAGGATGTAAGAACGCTTTGATAATGTCGCGGGATAACCTGTCCATATCTCTCGGCCAGTGTATTTTCCCTTTCAGGATCTTCTCATAGATACCGTACGCCGTCTCGTCGAAGAAGGGAGGGTACCCTACCATCATCTCATAGGCGAGAATACCGCAGGCCCACCAGTCAGCTGCCTTGCCGTGTCCATCTGACTGGATAATTTCCGGGGCCAAGTATTCTGGTGTGCCACAGAGCGTCCAGGTACGGTCGTCGACTATCTTGGCGAAGCCGAAGTCGGTAAGCCTCAGATAGCCACGTGAATCAAGCAGTAGATTTTCAGGTTTGAGATCACGATAAATGATATTGAAGGAGTGGAGGTATTTGAGAGCCAAGATGATATTTGCCAGGTAGAAGCGAGTCACGTCTGGAGTGAACCGCTGGGCGCGCCGGAGATGAGTGAAGAGCTCGCCACCCGGCACATAAGAGAGCAGCATGTAAATGTTGAGACTGTCTTGAAATGTTGCGTAAAGGTCCACGATGAACGGATGACGGACCCTAGAGAGGATGTAACGCTCCGCGTTTACATGCTCGACCTGTCTCAGTCGAACTATTTCTGTCTTCCGAAGGACCTTCATGGCGAAACAATTTTGGGCCGTCGGAGGAGCTGAACCCCGAAGGCGGACGATAAGTACGCGACCAAAGGTCCCGGTTCCTATTACACGTGTTCATAACAGTGAAACTTGTAGCGAGTGGGATGCAGCACGCACCTAAAGTTCCTTTAACTTCAAAATCGGTCAGTCGCAGGGAGCCGCGGTGCACATGTGACTGTTCATCTTCTAGATGCCGCACTGCCTGCATCGTCGATGCAGACTCGACTTCGTCAACTTCCATATGTCCTTCTGACTGCGCGGGCTCTACCCCAAAGTCTCGGGGGGTTGGTTCGAGTTGGGCATGGTTAGCAACCTGTGGCTCAACACCATGCATTGGATCATTTGGTGCGATCTCACCGTGATCGCTATTGCTTGGTGATAGGGGCGGTGTTATTGGGCCTTGAGAAGGCACGAGCCCAGATTCTTGCGTAGTGGAAGGTTGCAATTGGCGAGGGTGGATCTGGAGTGTTGGATTGGGAAGGGAAGCGGATCGGAAGGAGGGGAATTCCGATTTTTCCATGGCTTTGGGGATTCAAAGTTTTTGAATGGAGGAACAGACTGAGCCGTCGAGAGATGCCGCAGGCTACGCAATGGTGCGTCGTTCGCGAATGAGACTCCGGATAATTAGGAAATCAACTGACGCACCTCTCACAGATTATACGGTATTAAGATATTCCGGCACAACAGTCAAACCACTGCAGTGTTTGAGACTCGTCCCGAAGCACAGTTGTATGATAGGGAGCGCGGGTTTGTATCAGAAGGATAACTTGCTTCATGGGCGAACGATCATCAGAACACATGCGCAGTAATCCTCATGATTAACACGGGGCACACCTGACGTCCTCTTCGGAATATGCGCACTGCGCGAATATCGTCTAGTGAAGTTACAAATGAAAGTGGTTTATAGAGAGGAAAGCCTGAAGACAGCTTTTCGACGCCCGATTGACAAGAACAACTGAGTTCTAAGGCACGCCACGTGACAGTGATAAATATCAATTTGTAAGGCCAGCTTGCCGCGACACACGAGCGATATATAGATACACAAGTCCGAAAGATGTATCTATGGGTATGTGAAGTACTATACCCCGAATGCAATGGTCGGAGAGCCGTATATAGCCGAGATGATCCGCACGTCGTCGCCTTCACCTGCGCCAGCCGCAACATATAATGGCACGAAGTGGTCTGCTCTTGGATGTGCTACTTTAAATCCTACGTGGTTAACGAGGTCAACCATAGCAGTTTTGCGTTTCACCGCCTGTTCCTCGTCAACATGCAATTGTGATGAACAAGGGTGATCATACATACATCGGGTAGCATGATCGCTTCAAGAATAGCCTTGTCAAAGTCGAAGTATATGGGTTTGGCGGTGTCTTCAGCGAAGCAGGAAAAGTCACGTAGGTTGTGGATTGTAAGACCTCCAGATAAGACTAAGATCCGCTCTTGTCTACCGATCCCATTTGGGTCAACATAATACCCGTTGAAACGAAGAAAGAGTAACCTCAGCTTGCTGACAGCCTGGCCCACCGCCCAGTTCTTCAGAGGATCAAGCGAACCATCAAGCGATATCTCGATGACGGGAATATCTGTGAAATCTTCTCCGAACATGAGGCTAAAGGGGACGAAGACACCATGGTCTAGCCCAGGAACATTCTTGCCAAGCCCGTCCTGACCACGAGGCTCTAACTTCGACGAAGTGCGAGCCGACAAGCCAGACTACACGGGGAATCGTATCAGCAATAGCATCTACGCGAACCGCAACACATACCTCTTTGAACAGTTCCACCACGCGCTGCGACACAGCAGAGTCACCCCGTGACTTGAACTTCAATTGGTATAATTCCGGTTGAAATCCATAATAATCGTAAAAGAGGGGATTCTCCTCGCCGTAATCAGTAACTGTCAGGAAGCGACGTTAGCGAGGTACATAGACTGAAACTAGTCAGTCCGCACATACCGAGACGTTCATCAAGTGTATCCCAATGGGCGCTGAATACGACGATGGCCTTGGGCTTGTATTTGGCCAAAAGCGCAGGACCGAAGTCTCTCAGGAAGTTGGCAAGAGGACCCTTGGATCCAGCATGTTTGAGAATCGGTGAAATTGCAGTTTCAGATTCGGGGAACACAAGCATGGGCGACCCGTGTCCAAAGAAAAAAGCCGGTATCTTCTCTGGGTTATCCGGCAGGTCATCGAGAGCTTTTCTCCACTGTTCTCGGGTCTTGGGCAGAGATGCGATACCAGAATCCATTGTGCGTGCAGATGAGTGGAAGGATGGGAGACGTTTGAAAAGACTGAAGGCCATTAGTCCAGCCAGGACGGCGAATACTGTATATAAAAGATTCTGAAAGCCAGCGCCGAACGCCTGAATTTGTCCGGATCCAGTGCTGTGGGAAGAATAGCAGGCTCATCGTTTCTCGTAACTTTATTACACCGTGGTCAAGGACAGACTTAGCAAGCTGCAGGTCGCTTACGAGATGTGGCTCTCGTCAGGGACACAATCATGAACGCGCTTGCACGGAGACGCTAGCCCACTCTCCAGGGCTTTGACCGCCACCTGTCCGCAAAGCAAAGATGTCCAATAGACCAAACGCTAGCAACTGGCTGCGCGGAACTACCATTCGCAAGGGCGGAAATGTCTCGTTATCGAGTACACGCACAGCTACTCCCCAGGTCCAGAGTACTTCTACCACAATCTTCGGCGGAGGCGTGAAGGACCCGTCAGGAAGGACGTCGGAGTACTTCGTAAGTATGTTGGGGTTCTAATAGATGCGCAGGGCACTGATAACACTGCGTTCTTCTGAAGTCCATGGACGATCAGTGTCCTGTATGCAAGTCTGATCGTTATTTGAACCCGAAGCTACGTCTGCTAGTGAGTGCCTGCTATCATAAAATGTATGTATCGAAGTGAACTTGTCATACGCATCCTTCAATCGTTTTACTCTCTAGGTGTGAATCTTGCATCGATCGACTGTTTACTTTGGGTCCTGCACCATGCCCTATCTGCAACAAGACGTTGCGGAAGCTCGCATTTACGCCACAGACATTCGAAGATCTCACGGTTGAGAAGGAAGTAGCCGTCCGACGACGCATAGCAAGAGAGTGAGAATTTTAGTCAGCTTTCATTTGTGTGCATAACGTAACATTCCGCAGGTTTAATAAGCGTCCGGAGGATTTCCCCGACTTGCGGAAATACAATGACTACCTGGAAGAAGTTGAGGATATCAGTACGTGACACCCTATTGTCTCAGTTCAAGTGTCTGACATCGTTCAAGCCTTTAATCTCATAAATGACATCGATGTTGTGAAGACGGAGACCCGCATTGCGAAATACAAACAAGAAAACGCCGCTCTCATAGAGCTCAACATTCAGCGAGAGGAGCAATACGCCCAATATCTGAAGGAGCAGGAAGACGCCGAGCGGCTTGACCGAGAACAGCGTGCGGCAGAGCTGCGCAGACTTGAAGAGGAGGAACGCGAAGAGCGAGAGAAGGGGAGGGAAGAGCTCATAGACAGGCTCGAGACGAGTGACAAGGACGCCGCAAAGCTCGTCGCCCGCTCTCGTGCCGAAGCTCAGAAACGAGCATCCGCTCGTATTGCCTCGAGCGTGCTCCAAAGCACGTCGAAAGCATTCCGCAATCGCGCCAACCAGGGCGCGGCTGTACCCGACGAGCCGCACATACCAATTCAGGATAGCTGGTATGCCTACGATGACGAGTACGTGGTACGAGACCACTACTTCGACCCGTTGAGCGAGGACGTGCGGAGAGACAAAGACAAAGTGTTCAGAACAGGAGGATATCATGTGGAAGAGGCTTGGGAACGGGCTCTGCGATTCGCCGTCGCCAGTCTTGACTTGGCTCCGTTGCAAGGATTGCATGGCACGGCAGATGATGCTGTTCCTCCGGCCATGTCTGCCGATACAGATGTTGTTATGGCCTCAACTTGAGAGTCTGGGTGCTTCTTTATAGACGCAAGCGTCTTGCTCCCAGGCGTATACCACTACCTTGGCTCAGGCTGCCAAATGTATTGATTAGCGTATTGGAGTATTAGGGTGCTATACAGTAAAGTCTACACGATATGAGAAACATCCATGGTCCGAAGAATCCTCAACAGCCCCGTTTGCCCAAGAATGTACGATAGTCTATGTGGGAGATCTCTAGTAGCCTATTTTCTTACTAGTGACCACCCTACGTTGAAGTCGTTCGCTGTCGCTGAGAGGCGCTGTCATAGGGAAGTAGAGAATCTGGTACTTGTCCTTCTTACTGTGATATTCAGCAGTAATCAGCTCGTGGTGAATTAATGAGGTGGAGGTAATCACATACGCAAGGCTAGATGCGCTCAAGCGGAAAGTCTTGAGTACTTTCGCAAGGTCGACTTCTTCAACCCTCGAGCTGGTGCTTTGACTAGGACCCTCCCCTTCGGAATCAGAGTTGACGACGATAATATCGTCAACATCTCCTGCCCGAATACGTTTTGCCTGTTGTCTGTCTCCCGCAAAGTTTCCACCATTGTTGGTATGAGGGTGCAGCACACGCTTGAAGAGCTTCTTCGGAGAAAAATGCGCTTTCTGTGGTGGGTTCGTTGCTGCATTTGAACCACCGCGCTTTGCGAGAGCAGCTCGACGAATATCTGGCGAGATATACCTAGCGATGGTGATTTGAGACGGACGAAGAGGAGCAAAGTCTATGCATACCTGCCCGGGTCGAAAATCAGAAGTTGGATCTTATTGCCGAGTTTCTCGTAGCCGACTACTGTCCGAGAATGGCCCGAGTGCTGCAGAACGATGGGCATCTTATCCGTAATAACGACAGGAGATGCCGCCTTCAAGGCATCGTTGATATTTGTCGACCTAGGCACGTCTTGCGTGAAATAGTCCACGATCCATCGGATGAGGGCCTCGATACCTGAGCTCAAATATCAGACTATTCTGAGTTGAGAAGCTTCGTGATCAGAACCCGCCTCGTTCGTGAAGTTGGAAATCTACCAGGTTAACTCTGATTGAACATAAGTCACAAGTAGACCAGATATGTGGCAAGGGCTTACGGAATGCCACGAGACGAGAATGCCACGTATAGCTCTGTTCAAAATGGGTTAAATCATGCATGGGCGATCAGTATTGCAACGCCACACCTCCTGTTCCAATCCACTTGCGCGTGCTGGTAAGCTTTTGCTTAAGTTGATCTCTACCTTCTTCGTCGAAACCTGACACTCACTCTCAGTCATCATGAGTTGCAAAGACATATTGAATCGTACCTCGTGACCAAGCATCTTCGATCCACTGTTGCAGATTACGGACGCCGGGGGATATAGGCGCATCTAGTAGGGGAAAATACATTGGTTGTAGTTGTTGGCCCATAAGTGCCGCACAAGACATCAAAAAATTTCGATATCTTGAATGGATAAGAACAATATGTTTGAAGAACAAAGTATACTTACCCACATCCCCAGCCCCTGTCGAAGGACTCCGTCTGTACGTGGACGGCAACGTCTGAGCATAGGTACGCTCTCTCGACAGCTCCTTTGGCATGAGCCTTGACTAGTGCCTTCTTTAACAATGGAATGAGACCTGAACACTCGATTGTCAACAATTTTCAGACCAATAACCCTTCAGCATACCGGGAGTGAAGTTCAGCGGAGGCGGATCATCTTGGGCAGGGTGCCAGAACGCGTCGTCTGATGCTTTCCATTTCCGTTTCAAAGGTTGCCCCGGTTTCAAAGATGGGCTTTTGGGCTTCGGGGTAGCAGACGAGGAACCTAAGCACCAGGCACCTTGGGTATTTTGTACGCACGCAGATACAAAATGGTGCCCGCTTACCCTGAGCTTTGCCAGAGAAATGTTCGTTGTGATGATCTGCTCTCTGCTGCTCGGGGAGAGCGACAAGCTCTAGGCCACATACTTGGCAGAGGAAAGGGCCTCTACGCAGCGAGCCGCGTTCAGTCTTTGCCGATGGAATAGTAACCGATCACATGCCACATACTTCTGTTCGTACAGAAACTCCACATCGTCATTGGGCGTATTTGAGGAGGAATTCATCCGAGTACAGATATGAACCTGCTGCCTAAAGGTTTACCAGCTGTCTGTAGGCTTGCGAGAGGTATGTGGTGTGTGCGGTACGGAAACTACTAAGAGGGAGTGCGGTGCATAATGACGACCACGCGAGAACCACGCGAGGCGCCAGGAACGTTGCACGTGCTTCCGAACGACGCAGACGCAAGCCTCGACGCGCGTCTCATTCAGCTGCCTTACCTTCCGTACACCATGTCTGGCTCATACGACCGCGGTGTGTACGTTCGCATGTGTCTGAAATACAGTCCTGAACTGAAATCTCCTCAGCTCTCACTGTCTTCTCGCCGGACGGTCACTTGTTCCAGGTACTGCTTCATCGTGATTTTCTCAAAGTGCAGTCGCGTTAACCAGGAGCGAGCCAGGTCGAATATGCTTCTGAGGCCGTGAGGCGTGGAACCTGCGCGGTAAGGGCTGCCTGTGTACTAAACTGACTGTGTTAACTCTGCGGCGGCAGGTAGGAGTTCGTGGAAAGGACGTCGTCGTCCTCGGAGTGGAAAAGAAGTCTGTACTTCAGCTGCAAGATCCACGCACCGTCCGTAAGGTCGCTATGCTCGATGACCATATCTGCCTTGCTTTTGCTGGTGAGTCCCCCATGACTATCATGCGTCTAGTCTATCCTCAGCCATGTTTCGTAGGTCTGACTGCCGACGGACGTGTACTCATTGATAAGGCAAGGATAGAGTGCCAAAGCCATCGTCTCACGGTTGAGGACCCAGTGACTGTCGAATATATCACGAGGCATATCGCAACCATCCAACAGGTGAAGACATGGAAGTATATGCAGTAGAAACATTGACCCACCTTCGCTGTCAGAAATACACTCAGTCTGGAGGTGTCCGGCCATTTGGCGTTGCAACGCTGATTGTTGGATTCGATCCTCATACTACCGAGCCCAAGCTGTTGCAAACTGAGCCAGGAGGAATCTACAGTGAATGGAAAGTATGTTTCAAGCCTTACAGTGCATATGACAGTGCGGTACTCAATGCCGCTGTCAGGCCAACGCAATCGGTCGCTCTTCTAAGACTGTCCGCGAGTTCCTCGAGAAGAACCACAAAGACGATCTTAGTCGCGACGACGCCATCAAGTTGACGGTGAAGAGTCTCCTTGAGGTTGTCCAGACTGGCGCAAAGAATATCGAGATTAGCGTCATGGAGAGCTATGGCAAAGTTACTGTCAGTTCGGCCGTGTTTTCGTCAAACGAATTGATCTTGAACGTCTGGTAGAGCCTCGAACTTTCGCAAATTGAAGGCATTGTGCAAGAAATCGAGCGCGAGAAGGAAGCGGGTGCGTACTTTAATACATGTCCAGTTCACTCTGACTTATTCGGGCCCTGTAGAGGCGGAGCGGAAACGTTCAAGACTTGCTGCCGCTGCAGCAGGCCAGGCTGCGATGTCACAAAGGGTGGATACCCCGGCACAGTAAACATGATTGCCCGCTTTCTGTACATTGTTCATGTATATCACTCGTCGAATACTCATTCACTGCAAGTCTGTGTGCTGGTTGACATCGTTTGGTTGGCAGCAACCTGTGAAGTAAACAGTCGCTGTCTGGCGCCAGCTGACACGTAAACCCGCTTCGAGTTCCCAATATACATGCGCGACCGCTTTGGCCGCCCACCGCTCACCGCGTCTTCCACCTTCCACCACCATGGCGCACAACGACACCAAGGCGGGACTGCTGGCCGTTCCGTCTGTGTCTCTCAAACATATACTCTCATCCGAGATTCTGTCGGTCACTTCTGTCATGCGCAAGAACTCTAGATGGGCCATGTCCACCCACCCGTTCAGCAGTACCGGAGATTCCACACTAGCCAGCAGTCTCGGACTAAGGCGCACACGGCCATATCAGAGTCCATTTATCTCTGAACATGGTAGCAGCGAACAAGAGCTGATGCGAGGTTTCCAGGACCTCAGGCGATCGGTTAAGGACGTTGAAGGTACGAGCTCATGACGCTCTCGTATGATGCATGCAAGATTCAAGAACGCGTGATAGATATACGCTCTATGCCGCTAACCACGCTCCTTGGTCCTTTCTTCGCTATCATCCGCTCTCCGCTATCAACGGGACCCATCACGTCCTCTGCGCTATCCGCCCTCCATAGCTTCTTCCAGTGTAACCTCATACACCCCGGTGCCATTTCCTTAAGCGCATGCTTGAGTGAGCTCAGTAGCACCGTGTCACGGTGTAAATTTGAAGCCAGTGATTCGTCCGGAGACGAAGTGACTCTACTCAAGATTATGACCGTGATCCAAGACTGCATGTGCAGCCCTGTGGGAGATAACCTGGGCGACATCGAGGTGTGCGAAATGTTGGAGACGGTTCTGACGACGTGTTGTCAGATGCGGCTCAGCGGTGGGTCCTCTCCCCATCTGCGGGAGACGGGGGAACATGTACTTACGACTCATGTATTCGAAGAAATGCTGAGGCGTTCAGCGGAAGCCACCATGCATGCTCTTGTGAAGACAGCGTTCGCTCGACTGTATGCGCTCGATGCTGAGGAAGAAGAGCGAAAACTCTCCGATAGTGATTCTAATGGTCAAGACCTGGAGGGCAAGATGTCTGTTGCCGCCGGGACCTCCGACAGCTCCCAACTTCTGCCAGAAAACGAAGAGAGCGAAACTACGCTGTCTCCTCGACTGCCCTCTGCCAGTGACAACTCGGCTGACCCGAATGCTCCTAGGGCAAAATGTGCGTATTGGGTGGCTGCATGGATCGGACCGTGGTATTAACACGCCATCCCAGACGGCCTACCATCGATACTAGAGCTGCTGCGCGTTCTCATCAACATTCTTGATCCAACTGACCAGGCACATACCGATACGACGCGACTTACAGCCCTGAGAGTTCTGAACGTCGCGTTCGAGGTCACTGGCTCCAGAATCTGCGACTTTCCTTCGCTCTCCGCCCTTGTTTTCGATCACGGATGCAAGTACCTATTTCAATTGGCACGATCTGATAATCCAGCTGTCCTTCAGACGACTCTGCGCGCGATATCCACTATGTTTGAGACTATGCGTCAGGAGTTGAAGCTTCAGCAAGAGCTCTTCTTGACATTTACGATTGATCGTTTGGCCCCTCCACCCTCCACCATCAAGACCCACCTGACGAGATCTGGCGTATCTCCACGTCCTGGTACGCCTTCCCCCGACTCTCCTCGGCTGGGTCCCGTCGGCATCGATTCAGAGCTTGAAAAGACGCCATCCACGCCACGCCTACTGGTCGCACCAGCTCGGGGGGACACTCGTGAACTGCTGCTCGAGACCTTGGCTCTTATATCTCGTCACCCGAGCTTCATGGTCGACCTCTACACTAATTACGACTGCAACATGAACTGCGAGAACATGTTCGAGCGACTAATCGATTTCGCCACAAAGGTTTGCCACACGATGGTGCGACTGATTGTCCGGCCTTCTGATTGTGAATATAGGGCATATATCCTGGCCAATATGGCAATGGACAAGACATGCCACCACAGACGTCCCAGTATCTCTGTCTAGACCTGCTACTTGCCTTTGTCAATCACATGACGGCGAGGACAGAAGGTGTGAGTGCACATATCGCTTTTTAAATTTATAACTTTGGTTCATGAAGATGGTATTAGCAAGCCGAGCCATGGCCAGAGGTGAGTTAATATTCTTATTTCCTTGCTGTTGCCTTCGTATCGAGAAATAACTACAGGACTATATCGCACTCGATGATTTACGACAAACCAAGTCTCAAAAGAAGCTGGTCTTAACTGGTGTGTCGCGCTTTAACGCCAAGCCAAAGACCGGAATCTCCTTCTTTGAAGAGAACAAGCTCATCTACACTGACCCCGACGAGCCGCGTGCAAAAAGCCTGGCCGTGTTCTTGAAAAATTCCACGCGGCTGGACAAGCGGCTACTAGGTGACTTCATCTCGAAACCCGAGAACATTGATATCCTCAAGGCGTTTATCAGCCTTTTTGGCTTCAAAGGCGTAGGGTGTCCCTTGATTCTCTTGCCATCTTCCAGCTGAATATCTGCTAGAAATCCGTCGCGGATGCCATGCGAGAACTATTAGAGGCCTTCCGACTGCCGGGAGAGGCCCAGCAGATCGGTCGTATCACTGAGACATTTGCAGAGATATACTTTGCCTCTGAACCTGGTAACAACAGCTGCCTGTACTTCTGGACAGCATCACTGACTCAGCATTGTGCAGCGGAGGTCAAGTCTCAGGACGCCGTATATGTACTGGCTTATTCGATCATCTTACTCAATACGGATTTGCATAATCCTCAGATCAGAGTATATTACCTGCTTTGTGTACTTGCACGCGCTCGCTGACGTTGCGCATAAGAAACGCATGACGATCGAGGACTACATGCGTAACCTTCGAGGTGTCAACGATGGTTCAGACTTCTCTCAAGAGTACTTGGTGAGTACTAGATGATTTGCCTTCTAACTTGTGGCTTACGCCGCTACCTAGCTTGATATCTATGAATCTATTCGCAAGAGAGAAATCATCATGCCAGAAGAGCATACCGGTCAACTGGGTTTCGAGTATGCTTGGAAGGAGCTCCTGACCCGGGCGTGGCAGGCAGGTAGGTTGACGTCGAATATCTCGATAGCTCTCTTCCCTCGCTCATGTATCGCTCTCCAGGAAAACTCATGACCTGCAATACATCTGCCTTCGACAGCGACATGTTCAAGATCGTGTGGAAGCCGGTTGTTTCCGCAATCGCTTTTGCTTTCATCTCATTCGACGATGACTACATTATCGAGAGAGCTATTACCGGCTTCCGACATTGCGCGACTCTCGCGCGATACTTTCATCTGCCTGATGTCTTCGACTACGTCGTAGTCTCTCTGTCCCAAGCTACAGGCCTTCTTTCCGAATCATTGCCGTCGCAAATTCCGAACTTCCCGGTTGTAGAGGTTGATGGCCAATCGACCACTGTGTCAACGCTTTCCGTAAAGTTCGGCAGGAACTTCAAGGGGCAGCTTGCTGCAGTTGTACTATTCAACATTGTTAATGGCAATGGCAACGCGTTGCGCGAGGGTTGGACCCAGGTGTGTAGGGTGGTTTAGCCACACCGGCTGGGCGCTTACAGGGCCCTCACAGATATTTGAGATATTCGGGAATCTCTTCTTCAACTCTCTACTTCCGGCTCGCATGCTGCAAACAGAGGATTTCTTGGGCGGCACAACGGCCATACCGCTGCGCAGAAATCAACCCGCTCGCCCACCTCCACGATCGGACGGGCTCTTATCGGCTCTTTCTTCCTATCTAATGACACCATACAATTCCGGTGCCGACCCACAGGTCCCGGATGCAACAGATGCAGACATCGAGAGTACTCTTTGCACTGTTGATTGCGTTACAGCTTGTCGCTTTGACGAGCTGTATGCGCAGATCATGTAGGTCACTCCTTCTACCGTTGTAGCGCAAGCTGATGACATTCAGGCAACTCAACTCGGAGGCTTTGGTCGCAGTAATCCGAGCTCTGGAAGCCCTGGCACACGAGCGAACGGTTGCGAAACTCAAGCAGGAGTCGGGTGATGTGGGTTCTGAGCAAGCGGACGAGGAATCATTTGTATTGCCCTACGACCCAGTCTCCGTGTTTCTGCTCGAGATCATGGTCAGCATCATTTGCCACACGCCTCAATACATTGACGAGACCTGGTATGTGAACTGATCCCTGGAACCATCAGCACTTATTCAATGACTATAGGCCAGTCATTTTCGAGCATCTCTCCGCTCTGTTGACAACGCCGGCTCAATACAGTGTACTGCTTATTGAGCGTGCCGTCGTCGGACTCCTGCGGATCTGCATAATCCTTGCGCAAAAGGTGAGCGTCGTAATATCCTTCAGTCGTGAATTATTGTTGATGTCCACCAGGCATCTCTCCGTGATCAGGTCTACGTCTCTTTTGATTTGCTTGCAGGCCTGCCACAGCAAGTCGCCAGCTCGGTCGCGGAACATATCGCAGTCGGTCTTGCGTCGGTGCTCTCAAAATACAGTGATGTCGTTCATTCACCGACCGAGTGGAACATCATCTTTGCTCTTATGAAGTCGACAATCCATTACCCAGAAGCATCAAGACAGACGCTTGAGCTCATCGAGAGTTTATTTTCCGATGAGTGGAAAATTACGGTGGACAACTTCGTCGGTGTGGTGACGGTGTTAGATGAGTATGCGACAGTAGCCGGACTGGCGACTGAAGCCCAGCAACAGGGACGTCGAACCCAGTCATTGAACTCTTCGAAGTAAAGCTGCATTCATTTATCTCATAAACTCTACTGACGATTAGCAAGCTCTCCAATTGTGGAGAGAGGTCGCAAGGCAGTCGACATGCTATCCAATCTTAAGGGCGCCTGGTCTCGTCTTGGAAAAACTGGCGATCCTATGGGTGAGTCTTTTGTTGCATCTTCATTTGCAATCATCTAACCATTGTACAGCATGGCGTCAGCTGTGCCTTCCGTTGCTGTCGTCGCTTGCTCGCCAGTCTTCAAATACCTCGCGCGAGATCCGTCAGGCTGCCATGGTCCACTTACAGCGTACCATCCTCGGCCCACACCTTCTGCTAGACCAAGAAAATCAGACGCAAGTCGAAGAGCTCTTCAACCGTATCGTCTTTCCCTTGCTCGACGAGCTGTTAAAACCGCAAGTCTTCCTCCGCGATCCGATGGGCATGCCGGAAACGCGGCTGCGAGCATCTGCATTTCTCTGCAAGGCGTTCATGCACCTCGAGGCCCGGGAGGGTACCAAGGCTGACATTCGAGTGCTATGGATTCAGGTCTTGGATCTTCTCGACAGACTCATGAATGTCGACCGCAGAGATCAGCTTGTGCGTCTTCACGTTCTGAGTTCAGCCGAAACTGACTTGAGTCTTTGCAGCACGAAGCGATACCGGAGTCGCTTAAGAATGTGGTGCTTGTCATGAATGCGACAGGATCTTTGGTACCTCCCTCGGCTGGCGGCGAAGATTCCCGTGACGACCGGCAGAAGGCTCTCTGGGCAGCGACTCATGAGCGCATTGAGCGATTCCTTCCTGGATTCCTTGTAGATGTGTTGCCTCCCTCACTACCCGCACCTTCAAACACTGCGGTTCCTTCTCAACATCAACAATCTTGAGCACCTTTCTCTCTCAACCGGACTTCCAGTCTTACACCCCATATTATTTATCCGAAGTCATAAATTAAATATACTTGATTTTCAGTTCTTCAGGCGACAACGTTCCGGGAGAATGAGCATGGCTATTGACAGATATTACACAGTTTATAACGAAGGAAGGAATCGATAAAGAGGTAGAATGGGTGAGCGGAGGGACAGGAGGCTGTTTAGAGATGACGAAGAAATTAAGGTATTAGGTGTGGGCGACTTGTATCAATAATAGCTAAGTTTAGCGGGTGCTCCGAGATTCTGCATTGTTAATATCCTCAATCCAAAAGAATTCCTTTGGCAAACCTTTCCATCATGAAGATCCATCCAGGTTCGGCCAGCTCCCCTCAGCCTTGAGTTTGTCGATCACCTCCTTGAGTGTCTCGTGATTAATGTTTGGCCGGCGCAATTCATATCCGACAACCTCTTTCAGCTTCGTCGAGTTGAATGCGATGACGTGCTTCTTGAGGTGGTAGAGGTCCATGTAAGCAGTGTAGTGAAGCTTGGTAACTGGAGGATTTGACTTCTGGAGCATTTCTGTCCAGTTGGTGACGTGGCTCTCGTTGATCTCCTCGACATTATCCTCAAGTTTCCACTTCGTTCAGTCAGCAATAGGTTTGTAATCTCAGTCGCAATTGCTCACACTAGCGAGAACGTTGGTCAGGAAGTTGTGAAACTCGAATGTTGTGCCGAAGAACGAGGTGATAATGTTGCCAAGATCAGCCATCGAGACGTTGCTATTGTCCTCCTGAGGCGGAGATAAGCCACCATAGTAGAAGGGCGGGATGCAACCACGTACAATATTAAAGAGAGGGACGATGCACTTCTGCTCCGGAGCCACCATTCCTTCTACCTCCTTGACCTTGCTCTTGTCGTTTTTGAACAAGATTTCCTCACCCGCGATAGAACTTGCTTCTGTCCGACCAATTTTGGCCATCCACTCGGCACATGCCCACATGCCACCTGCAACATCCTCGACGTGGACGGTGTGAGTTGGATGCTTGCCGGGTCCCCAGCTAAACGGCGAGTCAGGGAGCGATGGCCGGACATACAGATATAGAGACTAACAGAGCTTTCATGGGTTGCTTGATATATCCGTAAGTCGACGCGACGGCGATAAAACACATAACCACTGCGAGGATCAGGTGAGACACGCCTGAAAGTATTACGACACTCATGGACACTCACCGCCGTGGTCTACGTAGGGACCATACACCATAGCGCTTCGCAAGATGACGAGGTTGAGGCTTGAAGAATCATGCCCCGGTCAGATCGGACTACATTTTTATGAGCGTACACTCACTCGTCAATGGAAGCGAGCATCCGGAGTGTCTCATGCCACCAAGTGCCCAGAACACCATCAGGTTTGACATCCTCCTTCTCGTCGTGACTCCCCTTCTCCTTGCACTCGTAAAAGGGTTGCTGCAGGCGGACGTAGGCTTTGACCTTGCGTTTTGCAGCTTCCAGTCCGACGAGACGTGCGATGTTGAAGGTGGTCTTAATTTGCACCTAAATAACATGTTCAACCGAGCTTTCCCAGAGTACCAGTGTTCGAGAAAACTGACCTGCTCCGGCCGATCCCATTGTATCTCACCAGTGAGATCAAAGACATATGAGTAGGGATCCTGGCCTGAGGGCTGGTCGAAGCAGGAAGTGACGGTAGCTGTGATAGCCGGAACCGTCAGTTCTCACGGCCCAGGAGTGCACCAGGGATCGCATGGGACGTACAGGGAATGGTAAGATTAGCCTGTCGATATTCCACAATGTCTTTCTGTAATATGTTGGGGAACTCTGCGCCAACGTATCTAGCGGCCTGGTTTCAGTCATCGATTGCTCCTTGACGCAGGATTGGGGGTGAACGTACGTGGTGGGCGGGCTGACGGAGTACTTGTCAACTATCCTCAGGTGCTATTGCTCTCGTGAATCACGCGAAGAACACTAGGGATGGTGGAACATACCGAAACTAGGGCCTCGCCTTGTAATGGCACTAGCAACGCGGCGAGAGCCCTAGAGCAGGTGTTTAGCCCGCCTAATAACGGGGAAGGGTCAATAAACGCTTCTTGTGATTGCCTCGCCGCGGTACTGACCGAAAATAATCGCAGCTGGCTTTCCAGACATGATGGGAGGAGTTAAGGCCGGACTGGGAGCTTTACTAAGGATGTAAGATGGTCGACGATTTGACGAGATCGCGAACAGATGGATTGCGACGGAAGCGAAATGAGCGTGCTAAACCGCAATTGGCAGCTCGTTCGAAAGGTCGTCAATGGTGGATCAGGGGATCGTAAGAGGCCGCAAGATGGTTCGTCTACGCTCGAGATAGTGAGGTGCGGAGGAGACGAACGACACCGTTCGGCAGCACCTCGAAAGCTCGCCGCAAATTTTGGCAGAAGTAGCAGACCAAAAGCGCTTCTCGGACGAGGGGCCGGCAGGCCTCTCACTTGGCAACGTAACCCTAACCTTATCGTTACCTGTGCTACCTGTAACCTCAAGTACACAAAATGCATTCCGAGATTTTACGATCTATGTGCCTCCTCCGTCGCTTCAATTCCTTTAGAATATGCTGTGTAGACGGACGAGAAATCCTTTGTGGCCAATTCTGGCACCCGCTTCATGAATGCCTCGTAAAGCATCAATGCATCCACTCCCATCACCGTCTTTACACCAAGCTCACGGGCGAGATGAAGGGCGAGGTCCATGTCCTACAAGTCCCGTTGGCCACGCCTCCTCGGGAGTAAAAAAAACTCACCTTGTGCATAAGACGAGTGGCAAAGCCGCCTTCATAGTCTCGCGTGCAAGGAGGCTGCTTGTCTGGCAATGCACCAGGCACAGGGTTGTTCACAGAGCTAGCCCAGCATGCCCCAGTCGAGCTGTTAATCACCCCAGCAAGCACGGCTGCGTCCAGCCCAAATTTCGTGCCGAGTAACATGGCCTCCGCGACCACTAGCTGCTGAACGCCAAGAATCATGTTGTTGCATATCTTCGCTGCGAGACCCGAGCCGCTGGGGCCGCAATGTATGATCTTCTTGCCCATGTGCGCGAGTACAGGCTCGGCTCTGCGGAATTCGTCTTCGGTACCGCCGACGAGGAAGCTCAGCGTGCCAGCCTTTGCACCTGTGACACCACCACTGACAGGTGCATCGACCATGCTCGCCCCAGTCTCGTGCACGTGTTTCGAAACGTCCCTGGCGAGCTTCACGTCCAGGGTGGTAGAATCGATGCAGAATGTAGACGATATCTCCTCAAACGACAGTGATCGTAGCCCGGGGACTATCCCACCAGCGTTCATCATGTACACCTCATTCACTTGTGGTGACGAAGGCAATACGGTAAGTACCGTCTGCGAGGCACGGGCAACGCTGGTGTTCTGTCAGTCATGGCAGACACGCGGACTTTCAGTCACTTACTTGGCGGGAGATGAGAGCACTTCTATCTTTGCACCTGGGAAGTGATTGTGGAAGTTGTTCACAAACTGCGTCGCGCTTTCTTGCCGTGCATCGCATACGACAAAGCGGGCAGAGCCCCCACTCTCGACGAGCGTGCGTGAGAAGAGATTGTATGCCATTTCGTAGCCCATGTGGCCGAGGCCAATGAAGCCCGTCGTTCGTGCCCTTGAGCCATCTACGGCGTGAGAGACGGCGTTGAGCAGTCGCGCTGTAGACCTCATCGCTGTGCTGGCGTGCGTGCGGGGGCGGGCCGCCGCCGTGCGCTTGGTAAACTGCAGGTACCGGTATCGGCTATCACCAGCATCCTTCTACCGCTAATTGTGTCTCCCGAGCGCCGTGCTCCCGGAGACGCGCCTCGGCTTCCGGGCTCCCACGGTCGTGCAGAGCGCGGTGAGAGACGTTCTCACCGCTGTCGAAGAAATGTACCCTGGCCGCCCTGTCTACATCTGACGGCGCGTAACCAGCATGAGCGCAGCAAAGCATGCTCTCACACCTACAGAATAAGTGGCTACCGTTGGGCAAGGGTTTGCTCAGCTCTCTCCTTCACCTGAAGTCATTCGACACTGCTCAAGCGCCATCAGAGAACGAGGCCGAAACAGTAGCTCTGGCAGCTAACGACGAGCTCCAGCAAGTAGGATCAGAAGAGATGGGATTTCAGGAGCAACTTTCGGCCACCGAGGGCAGGGAGGGAGATGCGTTTGCACAAATCGTAGCTATGGTATGTGCCCTTGAGCATTGTTGACATACACACGCTGATGGTCTCAGGTCTCTGTTGCTGTGAGTGTTTGCTATATAGGCACGGATAGGCTGAAATGTACAACGGCCCCTACAAGACACTTCTCGCAGTGACATGGATCATCACCTTTGCTAGCGGAACCTCATTCTACTGGTTTGGGTGGCATCCACTCCTGCAGAGTCTATCTATCGCGTTCTTTGCATATGGTACATACAACTGCTTCCCATGTTTTATCTCGCGTGCTCTGAATGGTACAAATCGTTTAGGAATCTTAACCCTCCAACCTACGGCTTACCCTAAGACAAAGGCTTCCGGCCTCACCCGCCACCAGCTTGCCATGATAGTGGCCGGCTTTCCGGTAGCCTTCTTGGGTTATGCTGCTATCTTTGCTACCAAGGTCATAAATTCTCGCGCGCACTTCACAACGTGGCATGGCGTAGGTACCCGTATGATCAAGCGCGAGTCCAAAGCACTCATAATATGCTAGACATTCGGCTTAATCACATTCATCTTCATGGTAATTCAGACTATCCTCGGAGGTGGTAGCGTTTGGTTCAATGGTCGGCTGTTCGGCGGTAATCCGAGGGCCAAGCTGATCTGGAAATATCATAGGTCAGCGCCGGTCTAGATTCTGACATTTTACGTTTTGACCGAGTGTCTAGAGCGGTCGGATATGCGGCATTCTCCCTCTGCATGATCACACTGCATCTCGGTGGCGCATGGTCACATTGGGCAACGGAGAACAGCTGGTGGATTGTGCGTGTCCTGGTATATACATTCGCGCCTGCAGCGATATTGGCTGCGGTCTTCTCGCGCATGAGGCAAGCGCGATCTCACCTCGTTTTTACGTTGTCTGACCTTTGTGTGAGAATAGGCTGTCCAAGATGAAGATCTGGTGACAGGACCTCGGCTGCTCCTCCTAGAGAATGGCCGCGAGAATTCAAGGGCGCTGTTGCGGACATGCGGCAGAAAATTGATACTTTGTACTCTGGAGATTTTGCGGCGGCCTTTTTCACCCGCTTTTTCTTCTTACACTGTACCCGGATCATCTGCTGAATCTGCTGGTGGCCTAGAGAAAGCCAGCTACTATATCAAAACAATTTAATGTGTGGTCGCATGGCCAGAGAAACAGAACACGCTGCATACCAATCATATGTCCAGCTCTTCGAACTTGCAAAGCGGTGGGATGGCAACTCCTCTACAGCGGATGGACCAAGGCGGTATACAACCTCCTTCGCCGTTGCAAGATGCCAGAGGGTCCCAGCACTCTTGGTGTTGTGCCGAAATTCATTCTCGTCTTCGTCTGGCTCTCGCTATTATGAGGGGACGGGAACGAATAAGTAAGGCGCACATAGCTACCACATGCGACGGGTGACTTTAACATACACGAGCTCTCATCGATGTGATGTCCGTGAGCGACGTAATATCCGGTAGTTCAACGGTGAACGTGCTTGAGTGCCGAGTACCCTCGCCCACGCCATTCTTCTTGAAGACAGCTTCGAGCTGTCCATTATGTCAAGCATTATTATTCCGCAAGATAATCCACGAGCCTTTCCGGAGCGGATTCGCTACGTGTTCAGTTTATAAGTGAATGATCTAAGGTGGTCAGCGCAGATACGAACAATGGTCGTCAATCTTAGGCACAATAGTCGCATTCATCCAGGAGCTGAACCTGGAGGCCGAGTTAATTGTATTTGTTTTAGCAGCAACATTGGTACTGTCCTTGTCTGGCGACGGCTGCAGGAGGAGACCTCCCAAAGGCGGTAGCTCTACATTATCACTTTGATATTAAACATGCACAAAGTGACATATCTTAATCTCCTATGGCACTGACTGAACGGAGCTGTGAGTGGTCGCCCACAGCCAGTAGAGAAGTGTCTAAGCCTCTACCTTCGGCGCCGACCAGAGGCTCCCGGGGCGCTGCACTCGGACATAGGTCCGCGGGGTGCTGCATCCAGATATAGGTCCGCGGAGTGCTGCATCCAGACATGGGCCCGCGGGGTGCTGCATTCAGACATAGGTCCGCGGGGTGCTATTACAGAGGCATGGGAAGGCTGATATTTGGAGTATTTTGGACCTCTTCGGGGCGCTATCAGCGGAGGAGGAGAGCCAGGGTAGGCCGACCAGAAGCATCTCGTGTAGAGGTCGGGTGATTGATGGTCTATCTCTGTATCTTCGAGCGTGGAAGTGATGTACAAGCATTGGAATACAGCATCTACGCGCGTCTAGATCTCTCGGAAGATGTCGCTGACCAAGACGACCTTCGGCGTCTTAGCGAGCGGCTTGTGGGGGTCGCTAATCAAGTAAGGTGCAAGTAAGGCGATTGTCCACGTATCCATGCGACTCCGCGCTAACATTGGCGTGTAGTAGATGACACCGATATGTGTCCAGTATCTCGTTTGGGCATCGTAACGAGGCCTTGCAGGCACCTGCAAGCCGCTGAATTCATATCACCGGACTGGTGGAGGCGGCCAATTCTGTCAGGAACCAATGACGCGATCAGTTGTTGCCAGTCCTCATATCGGCACGCCCGCGGAGTTCCATAGTTGCAAGAGGTACCCGAGATGAAACAGGATAGAACCCTATCTGTGAACGAGTCATTGCAGTCCTGCTTACTATGCCCGACGCGGCCAGCGTATAAAGGTCTAATGTTTAACATCTACTCCTCGTCAGAATTGCCAGTTGTGCGACCACTACCTGCGAAGCGGTGCACCAGCTTTCCACGTTAGGATGACCAGGAACTCCCTGCCAACAGAGATCGATGCACCGCCCTTCTACCATACCACCTCATCCTCCTGCGAGAATAATCTTCCTTTGTATACGGAGTGCCCTGGACACTCCGAGCTGCGCGTCCTGCATTCTGGTCCAGCAACTGCCGGGGATGCTCCGGCCGCAGCTCGCACGCGCCAGTGTATCTACCAGACCGACTACCTAAAGATTGACGTCGGCGAATTTCCACACGCCGTTATGCGTCCTTCGTATGGCTTCAACGGCGTCGTAGAAGGTGTCATCACCTTTCGAAAGAAATGCACTTTCGTCACACACATTACTGTTGAAGTAGGTCGCGTGCTTATCATAATTAGCAGTAATGTCGACTGAACTGGATTTGTTTAGTTGGAAGGCAGCATCTCGACTTCTTCAATGGACCATGCAAAACTTCCAGGATTTTCCAAACTTCCTTTGTTCAATCGGTCAACCACACTCTTCTCCGTCTCAAACCCTCAGGACACCCGCTGCATCGCAGCAGATACCCTCTACCGGTTCTCTATCCCATTCCCCACTTACATCGATGGTCAAAGCGCACAGTTACCTCCGTCGCATATAGCTATCCACCCTGGCGTCTCCTCTGACGTCAGCTATTCCCTTCATATTAACGTCGTGCGCAAAGGGCTCTTTCGACGCAACGAGGCGTAAGTTGCGGATTTGCTCTTGCGCAGCTATCCAAACTTATGCTTTTATATTCTCACGCACGTGATCGTGCACCGTGGACTCTCTGGACATTTCAAATATTTTACATCTGCACGTCGACATGCATGCACGCACGATATACATGTATATACTAACACCGTGCCCATATCGCCCCTCTAGCTGTCCGATCCCAGTATACTATCTACCCAAGACGCGGCCTTCCATGGCAACACTTCTTGAGCTCCCGCCACTGTCTCTGGACGCGGTATCTAACCGTGTCAAAGCTATTTCACTCATGCCTACGTGGCCGAGTACTTGCCAAGCGCGCTCGCTGACTTCTCAGGGTACGGAGCTGCCGAGTGTACAGGTACGTCCGAAAGGACCTTCTCCTCTGGTCTGGTTCACTAACATGTATCAGGCATTCTTGCCGCTCCCGCGATGCTACCCGTCCGGTGAACCGATCCCGATGGCGCTGAAGATCAGCTGCCTGTCGTCGCCCGCGCTGACGAGGCTCTACTTCCCAAATATCGAGGTGCAGCTCGTCAAGAGGCGCAAGATCTATGTCGGTCTCCAGCGGCAGTACAGTCTGCGCGAGAACGTCCTGAACACGGCGGTCATTGACCACAAAACGTGCCTGGAGATAGGAGGATGCTGCGTTATCATGAGGCTGGAGGCCGGGGCGATGGGTAGAGAGTGCTCATGGTCCGTCGATGGTGTCATCGATATTCAGGTGAGCGACACATCTTCTTTTAGCTCGTAGTCTTTCTCTAGCTTTGTTATTGCCAGTACGTCATTCGCATCTCTGTGCGTCCCCCGAAGGGCACCCCTCACCTGCCGATTTTCCGCCACGACGAGATGGTGCAGCTGACGACAGATCCCTACGAGTCGCTTGAAACGGAGATGCTGACCGGCAACATATCCGCTCCCGCATTTGGTCTTACCACACTTCGTCCTGGTCCCGATAGTATTTATCAGACTAGGGCTTAGATATGTTTAGCGAGTCCGAGGTTCGCATAGGGCTGCGTCATGTGGTGGTATGTGAACGTGCTTGATTTAGAACTGATGAGCTTGGAAAGAGGGGTAAGATGGAGAATAGAAGGTCAATAGACGGTCCTAGTCATTTCAGACGAATATTATTTATGGACTGAACCTATACACCTGCCTCTTTGGGCCGGGAGCGCGCTTCTGCGAGTCTACCGTCCCGGCGGCTGAGCGAGTGGCCGAATACCTTTCGAATCTGCTGCGAGGTCGCGGGCGACAGTGACCTGGCCGTACCCTTCTCATATTAAACACACCCCTCTCACACCACCGGTTGCGCTGAAGGCTCTCTGGCTCTGACTACGAGTGCGAAGATAAGCCACGGCACCACACGCTTGTTACACTCGCGACTTGGACTTAGCTGCTCACCATGCTCGCGGCAGCCTCCTCTTTCTTTGGACGAACAAACATCTCGCAGTCGTACACGATTGGCTCGGGCTCCATTCTCAGTCGGACATCAACTCCCACACCGTCGTCGTCGGGCACATCGTTGCCTGCTGCCGTACATGCGCCGCCGTTCAACGTCGGCCCCTGGCGTGTACAGCCTGCTGTTCACAAGGTACCTGGCGTGCACAAAATAGAAGGGGCCGCTTTTTCTCATATGTAGCGCATTAGGTGACTAGCAAGCGTGTCAGTATCTGGAGTGCGGACAAGAGGGCGCCGGAGATGGAGAAAATGGGCCCAACTTCGAAGGAGCGATACTTCGAAGTGTTGAAGGCAGAGGTGAGCCTGCACTCGCACAACGGAGCACCAACTGTCCCTGACTAGCTTGAAAGGCACAATCACTTTCAAAGCTGCGCCATCCCTCAATATTAGGTGAATCATTAGCGTCCGCATGCAAGCACCTCGGAACTGATATACGCTACAACAAGAGATGGTTGAACCTCTTGAGGAGACTCGCAATGAGCTAGTTTTTGCGACCGAGCCGGTGTTGTCCTCCTTGCACCTATCAATTCCCGGGTCAATACAGTACAGTCCCTTAGTGGAGCTCGATGAGGTTGAGGTGAGCGAAGACACTACTTCCAGACTAGACGGTCTTTCTTATTAGTATCTAGATCCAAAAAGGAATTATACAGCTCTGTAAAGGTCTTGTGTTCTTGCACTCCTCAGCGCGACTTATTCACACGAACATCAATCCGGAGAGCATCATCATAAACAATGCGGTTAGTTCCCATGTTACTTGGTTGGTATGTATGTTGCTCAACTGGCCTCAGGGTGACTGGAAGATTTCTGGGCTCGGCCTCACGATTCCGCTCAGCCGACCGGATGGCCAACCCTCTCGCTGGGAATTCCCTGCTTTCGATGGCCGCATACCCCCGTATACGCAGCGTTCGTTTGATTATATCGGTGCGTAACTTGCCGGCAATGCATTACACGTCGGCTAACCACTGAAGCAGCTCCCGAGTACGCCTTGGACGAGGTACTGGATCCTGCATCTGATATGTATTCGCTCGGATGCTTGATATATGCGGTACATTGCAAAGGCACCCCGCCATTCAAGAGCCACGGCAGCTTGGGCGCCGTACGCGAGAACGCGGGAAAGCCCTTGACGGGATTGGATCGCCTGACAGACTTGAGAGGTAAATATTTGGATAGTTTAAATTTATGCACTGTGGCTGAGACAGGTTATTGACGATCTGTAGAACTACTTAAATCTCTCATAACAAGACATGCACAAAATAGACCTTCACCTACGACGCTACCGTCTCATTCATTCTTCTCCTCCCTACCCATCTCCACTCTTAATTTCCTCGATCGCTCCAATTTCGCCGCCAAATCTCGGGAGGAGAAGATATCTTTCATGAAGGGTCTGACCAGCGTGTTGGATCGGTTTTCGGAAGGCCTACGTACAAGGAAAATCCTTCCTTCACTTCTGGAGGAGATGAAAGACACGCAACTCTTGCCGTATATTCTTCCCAATGTCTTTGTGATATCGCAGATTTTGTCGCCACCGCAGTTCGCCTCGCTCGTACTGCCCAGCCTCAAGCCCTTGTTCGCGATCAAAGAGCCGCCACAAAATATGATCACGTTATTGGATAATCTACAGATGTTGCAGAATAAGACTGAGAAGAGTGTCTTCAGAGAGCGTAAGTCTCCTTCACAAGGACTTCGGGTTCATCTTGACCATGCAATCCTGTAGACGTCCTGCCACTCGTATACAACGCCTTAGAGTCCGAACACACAATTGTGAGCGATTAATTTTTACCAATTAATCGCTTCTCTGATTAAGCTCACAGGTGCAAGAGCGTGCGTTGAAAGTTGTGCCTGACCTCTGCGACACGATCGACTACGCAGAGGTGCAAGGTGTACTATTCCCGCGCGTTGCTGTGGGTATCGTGTATGGTTCTTTTAGGAACGCGCTGACACCGGTCACTTCTCAGCTCGTCTTTACCAAGACTCGGATACTCTCCGTGAAGGTTGCAACCTTGATCACATTCATGAGCATGGTGAAGACGCTAGATCAGGTGTGTTCGCTTATACTGGATTTCAACATATGTTGCTTACAGGCACTCCAGACCAGTCTAACTCAGAAGCTTGTGCCGCTACTGGCCAAGATCAGAACCAGAGAGCCCGCAGTGATGGTGGGTCTAGATTCTGTCAGAAATGAACTTCTCCGACATCATACACAGATGGCTACACTTTCTGTTCATGAAGCAATGGGTGTGAAGGTAGATCGTGAAGCGGTCGCGACATTGGTTCTACCCCAGCTCTGGGCCATGTCTATGGGGCCCTGTAAGCTTGACTATCCGCACACTGCAACCAGTACGACTGACCCCACGGCGTAGTACTCAGCGTCTCACAATTTAAGCGATTTATGGAGGTGATTAAGAAGCTGGGTGACCGTGTAGAGAAGGAACACGACCAGTACCTCCGTGACTCGCAGCGGATTGAAGACCGATCTGCGACACCTATCAACGGGATCACGACGCAGGCAGTCGCCGGCGGAATGGATTTCGAGAGCTTAGTTGGCAGTGGCGGTGCTACGACTGTCAAAGCTGATACAGTCATTGACTCACCGAAAGGCTGGGATGACGATGTCTGGGGGAGTATATTTAACAGTGCGGAGGTATGTCATACGTACGTTGAGATATCCCGCAGCTGTCTCATTCTTTCCAATAGCCACCGACAATTGCAAGCTCCCCATTGGCACCACCTGCGCAGCCTCAGGTCCATTCGCAATCTGCGTCATCATCTCCTCAACTGTCGTCCGCTGGATCTTCCAGACCTTCGCCTGTCTCTAGGTCGAGTCGTGGGCTTGGTATCACACCACTGCCCGCCCCCCCATTCAACTCAACGGCATTTGCGCAGACGCAAAGCAGGCCGCCCCAGAGTGGCCCCATGCGCCCATCCTTGTCTACTTCGTCGCCACTAGCACCCCAGGTACCTGCGCAACTACTGCAGCCTTCCCAGACAATCTCCGCACAAGCTAACGGGCCAAACTATAATATATCGCTACCTCCCGCTCCTTTCGTGCCCTCTGCGCCCATGGTACCAAACGCGCCACTGCAGCCGGTGATGCCGCTGGTGTCCTCGCCACCTCTATTCGCCGCGCCGAGCGTAGGGGGTGTCTTGACACCTTCAAGACCCACACAACCCGCTTGGTCTGGTAATAACACTGGACCAAAACAACTATCGAAGGCCGACTGGGGCGATTTCGATCCTCTAGCATGATGCCACACTTATGGATGACTAGGATGGATTTATTTGCTTCATTATTGGTATTAATAGAATATGTATCAGTCTGCCTGTTCGACTTGAACACCCTCTGTGGCGCGGACGGGCTTGGCTGCCACCACTGTCTCATGTATCTCGGGATTTCCTGGGCCTGTGAGCAAGTGTTCGTCGATCGGACGGCCGAGGATCGCTTTGAGAACAATGAGGGCGCCGCGCTTTGACGAGACTAGATTGTTCTCCCTGCACGCGGGGCTGACGACGCCTGGCCATAACTTAGCACAAACTTCGACGCACAGAGCCAGGACTTAAGTACTTACAAGCCGCACAGCCCTCATCGCATTCGCAGGCTTCAACCGTATCATGCGCGTCGATGAGAATAGAGGATACTGGAGGCAGTCATGAGCATAACAATTTGTGAGAACCTAGTGCTGGCCACATACCGTGGTCAAAAGCCTTTGTCGCACTTCCGCCCTTGCGTCCAGCGACCTCGTAGAAGATCAACCTGCATGACCAACCGTGAGATGACCTCTGATATACTTATGCGATAGGACAGACCTCGCGGGACGTTTCCGTTGCGAAGGGGTCGCTTTGTACTCCTTCTCCGCGGGTTTGCACTCTGTACCCATATCCGGCGCGAGGGCGAAACGGTTCAGGAACGCGTGTTCAGCCGCGTGAATGGCCTCCGCGGGGTGGATACTGTGGATGCGCATCATGTCGAGTGTGAGCTTTGGGACATCGATCCACACGCCCGTAGACTCTCGCTCATAAGGTGGTGTCTCGACGTCTACTGCGTCTATGATTGTCTTGTTTCTGTGTGCCGAGAGATATAATCAGCCACATGAAAACGCAACTTCGCGGCCTCCACTATACCGAATCTTGAAGTAGCCTGAAATCTGGCATGAGCTTGATCTACTACGATGGTCCTTTTCAGATTACATACCAAAAACTAAGGTGAACAGATCGATTCCTAGGACTTAGTCAGTAGTGTCAAGAGGAAAGAACGTAGGCACTACTTACTCCCGTAGTACGCTCGGTACGGCGAACCTCGAATTTCACGTATACGATGTGTCTGCGCGGCATCAATGTTCGTGAAGTCCCTGCGAACTCGCTATCAGCAGTCGCTTCCATTATTTGACTACCGGAGTATGAACCTTGGTTCAGTAGTCCAATTGACGTCTGAGCGTATGAGCTTGGCCATTTTAGAGTCATGGCTAACTTCCTGAATCTGTACGAAAATGGTCAAACAGGAGCGTCGTCATCCTGACGCGACTTACGATGAACGTCAATCCCTGGTGAATAAACTACAACAGACTGAGTCCAATGCTGCGCCGATCTTTAACATGTCACGTACCACAGCGCCCTCATACAGCTCAAAGAGAGCCCTCGATGTCTCCATGGTCTCGAGAATGCGGGCCGTCCCACCTTGAGCTACCTTGGTGACATCGATAACACTGTATTCATCTTCGTTGCCGCCACGAAGCGAGATGTGTTTGGCAGGCTGTGGTAAGAATTTCGGATGCGTGTGATACCTGCAAACGATCCTCGATGGATAAGATAAGTATACAAAGGGTAGCATACTTACCAGCCTTCCTCGTCCTTGACTAGCCGACTCTCACAGATCTGTTTCATCAGAGGTCCAAAGTACTTCCCATCCTCCTCGCTCAAAGGCATCTCCTGCCCGGCGCATTGTAGGTGCGCCTCAAGGAACACTTCGTTCTCGACATCGATGACAAGCTCGCTGATAGGCTTGTCGAAGAGCTCCTCTGGATGAGCAACATAATGTCTGTCGATGGGATAGTCGCTAGCAATGAATATCGCTAGAGCATCTCGCGCTCGACGACCAGCTCTGCCAGCTTGTTGTCTCTGAAGCAAGCTCAGCATCGTTCCGGGGGAATTGAGACGACGGGTGACTTACAAAGCTTGCAAGCCCTCCACGAGGGAAGCCAAACATCATGACAGCATCCAGAACACCGATATCAACTCCCAGCTCTAGCGCATTGGTAGCCACAATCCCAAGTAAATTGCCTTCGAAAGCCTCTTGCTCGATGCGCCGGCGGTCCTGGGAGTTCACGTCAATATAGCACGCAGTGACTGCACATGTATCATACCGACGCAGTATAGCCTATTCAGCTAGGGTTAGTTTGAAAAGATCGCGATAACCTGTTCTACTCTTACCTCCACGATAAGCCATCACACGCTTGAGAATATCGAAACGACCATGCGCTGTGAGCTCTGCTCGCAGGGCTTTAAAGAACTGTGGGCTCATGAACATCACGGTCTTCCGTCGCCCTAGGACTACGTACCATCTCGCATGATTTGCGGATCTGCATTATGCAGTGAGTATCGAAGCCATCCAGAAAGGATGGAGGAACTGACCGTACAAAATACTATCAAGCGGACGCCTCTTTCCATCAGAAATCTTGCCAGCCTGATTGCTTCTTGCAGCGCGCTGTGTCGTCCAAGGGCCGGGATCATAGGATCGATGAGCGGCGGATCCCACACGAGATAGTCCTTCTGTCCTGAGGGCGCGCCATCCTCAGTGATCTCTTCGACGTTCTGCGACAGTTTTAGTATGAACGGTCTCGGCTACTACATCGGTACCATAGCATGAGATACTCACGTCTACGCCAAACATTTGACACATATATCTACCAGGATTCGTTATTGTCGCACTGCATGACACGAAACGGGCATGTCGATCTAGAGTACGAGGTAAGTGTACGTGCTAGCAGTGCCAGCGACGAACGTACTGCCTACGGCGGCACATATACGTCTAAACCGTCTGAGAACTTGCGCGACATGACTGTACGTGGTATCAGCACAGCTATCAGGGTAAGGCAGAGTGGCACCGGACCTTCCAAATGTCCCGTTATAGTAGTGCAGCTCATCGACGGCGACAAGCTTTAGGTGCTTCAGGAACCTGCAGCACTTTTCAACATCTGAAAAACTTCCGCAGACGGAAGAAATACCGGCGCCACAATTCTTCGTGTGGAAGAACTGAGAAATGCATCATATCCTGGAGTGTGATTAGGTCGCACTGTTCCGAGGTTCTGTTCCGAAAGCAGCCTTACGAAATTGGTAAAGACGACCGAGGCCGTCTCGCGGATTGCTGTGGGGGGATGAGCTGGATTGTCAGCAATAAAGCCATCCATAGGAGCTGACCTCTCCGCTCCTCTTGCGGAGTATCCCCGTCATATGTAGCCACCTAGGGTGATTAGTATCAGCCGTTGCGTGTATACCGTAATCTATGCCGGAGGCGAGCCTACTTTAATATCTTCCATGCCGGAACAAGACGCAAGCAGCCGCTCCAGAGCCTGTTTCTGGTCCTGCGCAAGTGCCTTAAGGGCACGTGAATGATTATCACTGTACAGATACAATGGACACGCACTTTAGTGGGATATATGAAAATGGCTGTTGATTGGGGATCCTGTTCGAGGAAACGCAAGAACGGCACCTATGATAGCAGTGAGAGCTGGGTTCTGACACATGTGAGGCCCATCAACTCACCTGATAGATAACACTCTTCCCGGAGGCCGTGCTGGTAGACACGATAACGTGTTTCCCCTGATCCAATGCATTAATCGCAGCGACTTGATGTATGTAGAACGAGGAAATTTTTCGCGCATCCCGTAGACCCCATGAAAGGGGCTCTGATAGAGGTTCGTCTAGAGTAGCTATATGACTGTTAGGGTCTGGTGATGTCATATTGCACATACCACCAACCTGTCCGACCGCTCTTGGCATCAACAGTACGATCGTACGCAATTTGTCCCGCGTACCATTCTTGTTTGCGGACTTCTTCCAGAACAGATTCGATGGTAGGTCTATGTGCCGGTTCTGGGACTGCACGGGGGCCTTGAGAGGAAGAGATACTTGCTAGCGTTGTCCGGTTGTTTGGGTCAATCGGTATATACTCGCGGGCAGCTGCTTGGAGTAGCGTTACCGGGTCCTCATGCTCTGGTGTGGCCTCGATTAATCTGACCATGCGAAGGTATTGGGAATCTACTCGATAAAAAGTCACGGACTTACGCACTCCCGGACAGCTTGTTCAAAACGTTCGTTCCGCTTCTCTACGAGCTTCTTGGTGGCTGCAGGTGTTAGTGCAGGAGGTGGCGCGAGCATGCTAGTCGGCGGTTGAGTCGTGAGCGACGTTGCGAAATAACGCGCAGAGTGCACACAAACCCGTTACTCATTTTTTGCCCTCTAGAGTTATCTTCAAAGTCCAAAACGAGTACATGCTCGTCTTCATCCGTCGATGCTACCACAGGGGCTACTGAGGTTTCCGTGGAGCCGAAGCGAGAATAGTCGGGCGACCTGTCACGGCCTGGACCCGTCGCCCGTGTCTGATCATGGATCTGAAGCTGTGCTCGCGGTATATACGCGAATTTGACCAAGTGCGGTAAAAGTGCCCTAAGGATGTTTGTCAAGCTATTGTATGAAGTTGTCCTTGAAGATCGGAGACTACTTTAGTTCCGCGACTTGCGCGAGATCCAACGGTCTAAGTAAAGAGAGACACGTAAGTCTCGACCCTTCACTGTGTGGATAAGAGGGAGCACCTTTGCAGCAAACGTTCGGCGGACTGTCGGATGACGGGAAATGTCACGGCCAAGCTCTTTCGAGAAGAGCAGAAAGCGAGTACAGTATTCAAAACCTGCATCACCGCAACTGTGAGCGTCATTCGTAGTGATTCTACCTGATGTTCACCTTGAAGACCTATCTTGGAGGTGAGGCCTAAACTCCACCACTGGAGGCGAGATGACGCACCTTGTACAGCTACTCAGGGGCGGCTGGGTCATCAAAGATATTCGTACGTGTGCGCTGAATACTATACCTGGCCAAAATATGTGGGCCATGGCGACTCGTCCGTCGCGCCCTGTACGGCCCCCTCGTTTGTGTTGCGCTTTTTCCGAGAGGATGGACCTCCCATGTCTCTGGAGGTACTCCGGTCTTGAGGCGCAGGGCTATCAGGCTTCCGTTTGCGCGTAGTGATGGCAATAGTTTTCATATCAGCCTTGTTCGCTGTGGCCTTCGGCGACATGGCAGCGCTCCCGAGTGTACTGTCAACTTTTCAGGCTCAAGTCGGGCGCGCTCCAGTACCGCGCCACGTGATTGATCTCTTTGTCCGGCAGTCAGCGCCAGGAGCCCTCTGTGCGCCTGTCTATGAACAAACTGAAACGTAAACTGTCGACGTGAGCCAGACGGTACGCACACGCTAATGTTCGTTTTTCTGGATTCACCTCATTTTCTGCATATCCAGAAAGCATGCGAGCCACCATCCCACGTCTTATCCGCGTCGTGCCCCGGAGCAAACTGGCGACCGAGTATGCCTCAGCATCTCTTGTGCGGCCACTTCCAGAACCGGCTCCTTCGGTGAAGCAACCCATTCTCATCGAGGTGCTCCTCAAACGCAAGGCGGAAATGGGCGCAAAATACCCTTCAAATATCCGGATAGAGCCCGTCTTGACCAAGAAGGCATATGAGGGTGTACCGGCGGATACGAGGGAAGAGCTGAAGGAGCTTCTCAAGGAGCGGTAGAACATGGTATGTGATCTGTGTCTCTGCATCTCAACATATGAATAATTGTACACATAGGGATTGCGGCTTTTCCTGTCCAGTTTCAAAGTCTTTCGGCCATTCCTAACCATCATCGTCACTTCAATACCGTTTCTCTCACATAGTGCTTTCGCTCTGGTTTAATGTTTCTCTACCCTCGAATCCACGACATTTTGCCTCATCGCAGCTTGACATCCAGCTCGATAGCTACAACCTCTCCGGGTTTCGTTCCGGTAGGATGGACCGTGACGCAGCTACGCGTCGTAATGGATACTCCGGTATCCCGAGCCGTTTACTAACCAGGTCATTTCATTCAGCTTGCAGATCATTTCTTGGATTTATGTCTACGCAGTTTGTCCCAGAAATCCCGGCGCAAGACTCCTCGATCAAGAACGGGCATGTCTGCCGTATGAGCTTAATAAAGCTTCGGTCGGTTGTTTTCTGGATATCGCAGCGATTGGCCAACCGGACGCGTTCGACGTCCTGGTCGTCCATACACCAGTTTTCTGTAAGCCTGGATACGCAGTTCGTTGACCAGGTGGTGTATATAAGACCTTCAAGAGGCATGATCAGCGGTCGATTCAAGTAGAGTCGCTCTGGCTTGTTGGCAAGACGTAACAGCCTGAGAGCAATAACCGTCGCTACATCCACAACGCTACTCATGGAGTCCAATTGTTCCAGCATCGGTCACGCTTTAAGCACTACCAAGGCCAGTCTACAATACGGTTCGCGACCTTACCAACTGACAAGCTCCATCTCCTTCCAGCTGCGTCCTAATCGTCATCGCCACCAGGCGGAGCAGACTCCCCATCTTTTGGCACGCCATTCTAGTGTTCCCAGCGGCAGAGGAACGCTCTGTATCTCTTCGGGCAACCGCAACGACGAAGTTTTGACGACCGATGCCGTAGGTATCCGGCTAGTTGTCGTCGGAATCACCTGCTAAAAGGCGTGTTATAGTATGCTCGCAGGGAGGATTCTGGCTATACGTCTAGCTCCGAATCTCTCAAAGCCCTGCAAGCAACGTTTGTTCGCGCAATGGATAACTGGCCAGACACCCCACTAGATCCTTCCCTGTCGGCATACAGCACGCCCAGATGGTCTTCTGGAAACGGCTCCGGAGGATACATCGATACATCCTATAACGCTTCGCCATTGATCGCTGCTTCCGGCATCTGGTCGATGGTCGAGCAACCGACTGTGGATTACCAGCCTGAAGGAGATGGTTCCTGGGTGCTCGACGCAGCAAGACGCGTGCAGGAACCGGAAATATTCTCCTCATTCGACCTTGCGGACGCGAAGCACGCACCGAAGGCGCCCTACACGCAGACCGAGAGCGGCGACCATTTTACACGACTGCCACCCAGTGACTCCGCGATTGATGGCGCTGGTGTCTCTCTGACCCAAACTCTACACAACCCTGCGACACGTACGTCCAGCTGGCCTTCTGGATACAACTCTACCATTCGGTCATCATCGCCCGGTCACTCCGTTTCCTGGCACCTGAATGAGCATTCGTATGCTGTGGGTTACCAGCCTGACGGACAGGGTCTCTGGCCGTTCAACTCAGCGAGATGCATTCAGGAACCGGAAGAGCCTTCCTCATCTGACCGCCGACCAGTCCTCGTTCCTCTTGCATTCATGGAGCGCGTACCTCAGGAACCCTACGTGCAAATCAAGAGCAGTACCGTCTTCACACAACTGTCACCCATCGATTTTACGGTTGATGACGCTGGTATCATGTTGGCCCAGGTCCTGCGCGACTCCACGGCGCTGCCTGGGGAATGGAAGCAACCGCTGGATATAAAGCCTAACAGTATTGGCCAGAAGATCCAGCTCAGACTTAACGTCAGCGTCGTGTAGCTTCGATCCTCGCATCTGACATCCGCTGATTCTGCTCTAGTGGCCGGGATATCTCCCGCAGGTGAAATCAATTAATTTCAAAGACTTCAAGACGGACCCTCGTCCGGTGGCGAAAGTAAAGTTGGCGGAGAATATAGCGAAGGCTACTCGAGCCATGATGGAGGTAAGCAGAGTCTCCTACGTGACTATCATCACGTTAACATCTGCTGCGGACAGGGTCTCGAGCACATGAGGTCGACTGATGACTCTTGGCGTGTCGGAGTAGGAGGTATCACCTTCTTTAACGTTGCACTGGCTTCCATCCAGCGTGTGTCGCCTGGAAGCTGGCAGGCGGACCTTTTCGTTCCATGCAACAGCGGCTGAGCATTGGACATGCCAGTGGGAGACAGTGCTTAGTTTGGGGCGTGTTGACCCTGGTGGTTGACCGACGAACAGGTTGGCACAGCCGGCGTAGACTGCGGTTCGTTCTCATGATTATATTATCAGCCTGGTGTCCCTGTATATCACGATATCGTCACACTAGCTTATCAAACCTGTGCTCCGACATAGCTTTTCATGCTTCGTATATGGTCCATTCGTTCAGTACTGCAGTCCCTGGAGCGATAAGGACGTAGCTGTCAGTCAACGGGCCTACAAGGATCGCAGCCGTTTTTGCGCGTTAAAATGAGGCCATGCTTCCTGGCGTGCGATTAAAGACGGAGGAAACGACGGGGCCGCTCCTCGTCTGAAGTGTCTCCATGGCAAGCTAATCGATCGAAGGAAAATATACTATCAGCGGGATAAGCTTCAATCGTGGGAGGGTACAGCGTTCGTTCCAAAGTAGCATGACACACATGAACTAGATTTTTTTGAAAAATGATTCATAACATCGGTAACGAAGTATAGCCGTTGGGAGGGGAAAGGAGGGATTTCTCTCACAGCCAGAGCGTTAACTAGTCTACACTTTCCGGGCGTCGCACCGGAGAAGATTCGGATAGATGAGCTGGGCAGGTTCATCTTCAGGGAGAACTTGTTGAGCAGCCGTCTTGCGATGCATCGAGATCGTATTGGATATCTCGAGCGACGCCGCCGCTATTGGATGTCTAGAAAGTCTTGAGACGCGTCCATATTACCAGACATGAACCATGTTACTCACCCTCAGACGGAAAGGTGGACTCCGTTATATGCGTCCTCGAGGAACGATGTGCAGGACGGGTTGATAACTAGCAGGTGACACCTGCTCGAGCCTCATCAACACCAAGTCCTCCAACTTGATGTTGCCTCCAGGACCAAAGCGATAGTTGCCTTCTTTTGGTGGCTGTCCGGCGAACTGGGGCAGGAGTCAGAGGCTTCGTGTTCCAAGTCTAAAACCATGACACGCTTACTTCCTCGATGAAGGCCTGAACTACCTCGGCGACCAGCTTCACGAGATGTGCAAGAGAGCGGCCTGGTCTCTTCTGTTTTCCGAATGGAGGATAGCCCATGGGCTGAAGAGAGAATCATTAGCTTTAGGACCATTGAACGCGGAGCGCCATGCCCTGACCTGCAGACGGATTGACAGCTTTGACCTAGTACGGATCCGCGAATCTTCGTTACCGCCCACCAGCTGTCGTAAGGACGCTTTGTCGAGCGCCGCTGACAGCCGAATGCCTGGTTTTGTCGAGTTTGCGAGACGGAAGGGGATACTCTGGCGATCGAAGTTCCCTGGTTGGTTCTTGGCGGTGTACGGAACCTGTTGTAGACCTAAAGGCACGCCAATATCGGGTCAACAGGGCACTGAGGGCAAGGTAAGGAGCAAGGGGCACCACTCATCCTTCTGCAGGGCACAGAACCTGACAGGCAGTGAGTAACAGAGAGGAAAGGCGTAGGACAACAGGAAGCTGTCCTTATAATGCGGTACGTACGTGTGACTACTAATGCACTCACACCCAACAGACATTCAACCCCGATCCGCCTCCGCCCGCGGTGCGTATATTGCCCAAACACAACGTGCTTTACCTAGTACAACACAGCGTACTGAGATGTGTATTTGTTTGGAACTGAGAAGGATCGCGGCCTCTCGAATTTGCCGAGCTCTGGTAGTAGGGTTGTGTCTCGGCCATTATGGCATGACCGGCGGTGTGCTCGTTGGAGGTGCACAAGAGAACGTACGAAGGGTGACGAGAGTGCATAGAAAGAGGAGGCAGCTATCCATATCTTTCGTATTGGGCTTGGGGTCCTCGTGGTTGGTGTTGGGGAGAAGGGGGAGAAGGGGTCCATGATACAGTTTGAGGTTGCCGCTCGGACGGCCAAACGCCTGCTCTTTGCGCAAAGCTCTGAAGTCTGCGAGAGGTGAATTTATACCCTTACACGACATTGATGGCTTTCTCACCCTGATTCGTGACCGATCAGAAGGAACCACAGCGTTCACGCAGTCGCCAGTACTTTCGTCATCTGCGTATAGGCTTATTGCTCAGCTCGCAACGATAGCAAGGATTTGGCCACTCTGTCGTCTTCACCGCGTCGGACACTAGAGAACACCAACTTTTGGTGAATATTGCCGCATTCAACACGTGTTCGTCGGTCCTGTGCCGGCGAGAGTCAGCCAACGCATCCCGAGGGGTCGACGTGCTCCCCAAAATTTGTGCGCACTTTGAGAAAGTTGTAGCTTTTTTTGACATGACGTCGACAGCACAGGGAAGCTCGAGTCAGGCGATCCACGGGATGTCACCCGAAGTAGCGTGGCTTGGTGCACACGGTGACTGGGTGCTGCACACGGAAGGTGAGTTGCATTTTACACTGGAAAAACCGAGGGACATACACAGAACAGGATGAAGTTCGTTTATCCTCGCGAAACAGTCTGCTTCGGCTAGTTTTCTTGGATTGGCAAGCCAATGCCAGTGTCGTCATCACGACGCACGCGAGATTACTACCCGAGACAGCAAATACTCACGAATATTATTATAGCCATCTCTGGCGACAAATCCACGGTAGTTGGAATTGGATACCAGTCCGCCAGCTCCATTGCTACAGAAATCTGGTTCAGCAGCGAGGTTTCGGCCCCATGTTGACATTGGCGGTCGCTGCGCACCGCTATGTTGCTGGTAAGTCAGAATGACCTTACTGCAGCGCGACGTGTTCTGACAGCCCGACCCTCGATCATAAGACCAGTGCCTCAAGGTGATACATGCCATCTAAATCGTTGGATACCGTCCGATTGTCGTGTTGCGCTACGTCGCGAATAGAGGTAATTGGGGGTGTTTGTGGGCGGGTATATATCGATCTATTTCGATCACCGCCTGCGGCGCGAAGTACTGAGCCTCGGAGAATGTCTCTGTGTCGCCGAACCAAATCAGCGATCCGTCCGGCGGCTGCGGTGTCCGCTATTTCGGTGAGGACACCACGATGTCGCCTTGTTCATATTCTTTGTCATCGACCGCCTAACTCGATCTCTAACATCTCAACACTACTACCAACGTTGCCAGGGCGGCACCAGCGACCACTTCGTCTGACCCAACTTGGCACTCGGCTGCAAGACTCCACGGCGAATCGAGAACGCAGCGTCCAAGAGAGCGCCGTGAATCTTGGCTCATCTCTCCGGAGCTGGATGTCCCATGCGCTATGTTCCTTGCAAAATGTAGCGTGCTCTACGCTGCGCTTACGGTGGTGGGGTGGGTCAAGCTGTGAGTGCTCGAGGGTTCATGTTCACAAAGCTCTATTCTCCGTGCTTCTCGGTGCAGCTTCCAGACGCGATGATCCTCTTCACTATTCAGTCCAGTCTTGTACAAGGCCTTGCCCAGAGGGTCGACTCAAATGCATGAACACGTATATGTACCTCCTTTCCGATCAATGAAACACCACGTTGTGATGTACCAGGTCTTCCTCTATCGCATGAAACTTAGAAGTTACCTGAGCTTAACCGCTCGGGAGCTGGTGGACAGTTGAGAGAGTGGAACAACGGCGTAAGACCGAAACATGCATATAAGGACACTGTGGGATGCTGGACATCCTCTGAGTCATTCGTCTGAACACGCAGCGGAGGCAGGAGAAAGGAATGGAAAACTAGGCTCCACGAAAGTACTAGTGAGCAATTGTACTCTTGTGCTTGGCTCGTCAACGTGGATGCCTGAGTGTCGTGACCCGACACTGCAGTGCGAGGCTCAGCGGCGTGCGTCGGCTGCCGTTCTGCACAGCAGTTTAAGCAGGGGCTATACGCCTCCTTGAGGCCTTGAAGCTTGAAGACCAAGAGCTCTCGCATTCGTAGAATTGACGATCGCCGGCCACTGTTCTCGCCAGTCCTCGAGCTTCAAACTTCAGGCCTTCAGGATGTGTGTCAGCTTTATAAGGTTCAGATGAAGTTTTGCATATCTGCATGGGTCCAGGGCATGGACAATATCATCCGCGGTATCGCAAGAAGTGATTTTGTGCACGGGCGCAGCACTTCGTTGCGCCATTTCCTGGGTGAATCAAACACATGTTGAGCCTCGAGGGTGTAGTTGGTTCGCACGGAAATGACAAAGTAGCATTTAGTGCCAATTATCTTGACTCGTGTATGTGCCCATACAGGCGATTACAATGACCCATGAGATCCAACCGACAAGCCACGAGTACGCACAGACGATAGACAAGGCTGTCAGGGGAGTTCAGCATAGGAGTTCAGTATTCCAGCGACTCGCATCGTGATGGTCAAGCCCTACCATGGGGTCGCTTGTAGCGTGTAGCGTGTTCAGTTGAAGAGACAGGTGTACAGGAGGATGGCAGCCCCGAACTTGGCCCCTCGGAATAGCGGCAGCGAGTAGTGAGACATTTATCGGATAAGCGCCCATCCCAGCCGGCTGTGGCCTATAACTGCCAACATGCCGTCTAGGTTACCCATTGTTAGTCTCGTTCAAGGCCTTGAAATCGTACTTGCCTACCACGAGGTTTTCAAGTTAAACGCTCTTGCATCGAAAGTACTAACTTGCCATCAGTTCACAAGGCACCATGATACTACGCTCCCGACGGCGTATAAGTAGCCCTGCGTATTCGATAATCCAACTGGAATGCCCAGTGACACGGATACGATAGCAATGTGGCGGATAAGTCTCTTATGGTGAGTGAAGATACCCCCAGTTCCACGCGAAAATCAATATTGCCCTCTTAGGATAAGCTTCAGCTTACGGCCCATCAGCTTCTCCACTGAAAATCTGACTTAGTGCGCGGGACATGGTGGACCATGACCGGTGACCGTACGTACATCCGTGCACAATTTTCTTCGCTTACGCATGCTCCAATCCCCAGGATGCTTGTCATGCAAAGGAGTTATATACGCGGTGCTGTAGCTGGGGAAGTCAGTCGATGGTTCAAGTTGTACGCGGAACCAAAGGGAGCTAATCCAACTCCTTCCAAGCTCACCAGTGCAACTCCGTGCCTGGATATGTGCACGAGACCTAGGCCTGAAGCTGAGCGCTGAAGCTGAAGCCTGATTGCGTCACCTGAACAGGCGTTGATACGCTCTTTTTCAGCTGGGTTTCCCATAGGCGTCGGGTGCCGCGCCATCCTATGTTGCTCTGACCTTTCACCCACCCGTCCTCCTCACACCCACTCGTCCTCCTCACACCCGTATGGCTCTTCAGCTTCAGGACTTGCCATGAGTCCATGAAAACTGTGCATAGCCAGAAATCCAGTACCTTCTCTACTGCGATACCCTTCCGCTTGATATTCCGACAAACCTACATCGGGCACAAGCCGCCGGTTGCTACGGCTGCTCTGGCCAGCATTAGCTCACGTTCATATCCCTTGGGCCGAAATTGGGTGTGGCGTGGTCGCTCCTAATACGTGCTATCTGACTGAGCAGGTCGACCATACATTCATTGATCTAGGATATCGTCCAGGGCAGCTGGTGGATGCGTCTGGCATAATGGTAGACTTATGACTGGGGGCAACGGTCAACATGATGTAGGCCATGGAGGACTTTGCTGGCCGTTCAGTCTGGTGTCCATATTCCACAGCGTCTGATGCAATAGACAACGGCAACTATCGGAGGCTGCGTCCAGCGTCCCGGGTATTTAAGATATCTTCAAAAGGCTCTTCGCCACATTCGCCCTATTTCACTGTCGCCCACCTCGCCCGTTCCCCTCCTCACCCACAACCATGAGTTCACTCCCTGAAGGCACTTACTTGCGGGTAAGTACTACGCTTGGTGTTACAGCATGCATGATTGACTGAAAATTGTCCAGCGAATCACTAATATCGACTATGCTCTCCCACGTGGAATACGGTATTCGGCAGTCTCTTGGATGTTCACAATCGATGGACGCTTGCCTGTGAATCTTTGGGAAGCCTTGCATACTCCGCTTAGTTACCTGGATGGGGCGCAGGATCTTTTCTTTGATGGGTGTGGAACGAAGATCACCTATCGAATCCTCGTACGTAGCATGACCGCCTCATGTCTTCTGCGTCTTATCTCTTCGTCAGGTCGATGGGTATCGCGAGTTCAGCAAACAGATGAACGCTCAACGCCGCTACCGAGGGCTAACCCTGCCCATCTCGCGTTCCAAGGTGGCGAAGCAGATTGCTCAAGTAGTTAGCAAATTCATTGAATGTGTAAGGTGCATGCGTATCCTTCTTGATCTGTGCTTATGGTGCTGTATGTAGGCGAGCGAAGTGACTGCGAATAGCGAACTACGCTTTGGGCCTGGTTATATCACCCTCGACCAGATTTATCTAGTTGAGCTTCGACAAGTTTCCTCGGCTTCCTTTCAGCCTATTTTGGCTGTGCTATGCCGGCAGCTTCCGCAGGTGCTCCCGACGTACGCGCAAGTCGACGCCGCGCCTGGAGGATTTTCAAATGTCCTCACGGAATTTGCCAGCGAACTGCAATGTCTTACTCATGTTCCCCTGTCGGGCTTACCGACCTACAGTTGCTGAACGCCACTGAGGTCGACTGGCACTGGTGCAGGCCTTGCGATTACCACTGTATGCATCATTTACTCATTCCCTGTCTATCCTTATACTGTGCAATCTAGACTCCGTAGCACTAGGTGTCATGGAGATGTTATTTCCGCTGTACTGGTTAATGCCGCGCTTGGCATCTGGATTACTTCGCCTGCAAGCTCTGACGAGACCAATAGTTCGTCGTTCGCTATAACTTGCTGCTGCCCGTGTTTCTGTCCGTTTTCGAGAACCAGGACTCAGTGCGCTAGGACACTGTCTCGCGGACGATCAGGTTGCAGAGTGTACATTAGTCTGTAGTGTTCGCGAACACATTCCGAGTCATGGGTCGAATTTCGGACAGTGCTTATGACCAATAGGAGACCATCTTATGTCCGATAGAAGGCTGGAGCCACTGAGCACCGTCGTCAATAACCGCGACTCCGCCTACGTAAGTACCGACCGGAACATACTCTAATATCTTCCGTCTATGGTTGTGAAGGACACTCCTGTATCGTATCTGCACCGTTTTACGTCTTATAATCGCGCACAGGATACAATTCATGCGACGCCCGTGATGGCCAGAAAACCAGATTACCACTTTTGAGCCCTTCGCTCTCGCGAACTTGAATTTCGACAACATGACAGAGGAATATAGTCACCTCGGCAGACCTCGTACAAGTGGAGGACGCCGAGAGAACGCTTATCTCGGGGCATGGAATATCACTCTCTTACTCCAACTCTGAACTGAGCCCATGGAGCGAGGTTACTGGCGGTATGGGCGATTCGTCTCGTGTGGCGCATGTTTCCTTCTACCGTGACGCGCGTGCGCGCGCCCCGCGGCACGGCGGGAGCTGCAGACCTATCAAAACATCTCTCTGCTATGAAATTTATATCGCTTATAAACAAACAACAGATTAAGCTGTTTTAAGACAGCGCCTGATGGTGCGCACAAATGTACGAACATTGAGAGAGGTGAGATGATGCCAGCTGAGCAGCGCAACGCAGACCATGCATTGTCCGGTTGAAGATAACAGATCTGTACATGTCCCGACCAAGCCCTGGCCGTACTTACAATAAAGTCCTACGTCTCTGACGTTCCTCATGGCTACAGCTACTCGGTCAAACGGGCGGTAGTTTATAATGACTCCTATGTGCGCCTTGTTGCGCCACACCAGAGTCAGGTTACATCTGTCGCTCGAAGGGGGCTGGGCCTAGTAAGGAGTTCATACGAGGTATATGGTGTACATGAATACACCTGTCGAGGTTTGCTGCTGGAACAAACGTGTCGTTAAGTAGGTGAATACCTGGAAAGTCTGCATTCCGCTTCCCATCGGGTAGATACCTCCTCCGCTTTTGCACGGATGGACCACTAGAGTTTCCCCTCCACTCGTCATATTGTTGACGTGGGATTCAATGCTTGATTATCTTCAAGCCTTGGGGGCCGGTGACATCACAAAACGATCGTGCGTCAGGATTCTTACTAGTGACCGCAATGTCTTCCCTTCTCCGCTGAGTCGACGTACCACCAGGTGCTGCGTGCGTCGGGCAATCGCACACGCGGGCGCGGGCCGGGATGTATACAGCCCTCTTTCTTCCCCCTCGAGGAGGCGAATGCACAAGGGATGTGTCCCCGCGGGAGGATATTCTAATCGATAACTCGTATATCTTTTGACTTCACCTTCGTCATGCACATGTTGATTACTAGAAAGAGGAGCCGTTACACAACCGTATGGACTTTATCGTCACCAGTGTCATAGCATCATCGCAGAGCAAGTAATCATGATTACATACTATAGTGCGATACATTACAAGAAAGGAGAGAGGAAGCCGAACAGAGAAATGAAATCTAAGCCTTGCTCTTGCTCTTGCTCTTCCCATTGGCCTTCGCCGGGGCCTTCTTCTTCGGGTGGTCAGAGTCGTCAGAGTCGTGGCCACGACCAACTTCAACACGCTTCTTGTCCGCTGTAAGTAGGGATTAGCGCACATCATTCAGACCAGACCGGCACAACAGACGCGCACCCTTAGCGGCCTTCCTCTCGAGCTCGTCCCAGTCGTCACCTTCGCTCTCATCATCAAAGCCTGAATCACTGCCCTCATCTTCGCTAGCGTCTGAGCCATCGTCGAACTCGCTCTCGTCATCGCCGCTCTCAGAACTCGGCTCATCGTCGAACTCGGCTTCAAACTCAGACTCTGTCTCAGACTCGTCCTCCGGTTCACTCTGGAGGGAGAATACGGTGAGCGGAAAAGGCACATCTCGGAAGTGACGAGCCTCACCTCTTCAGCAGCCGGACCGCCCAGGAACGACCATCCGTTCTGCTGGAAGAACTCGTAAGGATCGTCGTTAATGGTCTTCATGATAGGGCCCCAGTTCAAGTTAACGGGGCCTTCAGCGAGAGGAATATCGACGGAGCTGAAGATGATTGATAAGTCATGACCACAGCAGTGAATAGACAAGGCGCACTCAAGCCAGTTCTTAACATCGTCCAGCTGCGCACTCGGAATCGAATTGATGTGGAGCGGAGTCTTAGTGAAGTCCTTGAAAATAAGGACCATATCGAATTGCTTCAGACCGAACTGAACACGCTCCAGAGAGGCAATCTCAATCTCGGACAAGGTGACAACCAAGAATGGAGGGTCAGAGAGGTGCACAAGACATTCAGTCGTCGGCTGAAGACGGACGTTCTGGCGGATCGGGACCCCCTCAAATGAGAGCTCACGGAAGGGAATGTCGACTTCGAGAGTGTCTCCTGACTAGATGAACCATTTAATCAGTCAGGCATTCACCATTGGACGGGGTCACTTACGGAGGCAGTAGCAGCTTCTGCGATCTTCTCGGCGAACTGCTTGAACTCTCTATTGAGCATCTGCCTACGCTTGCGCTCTTGCTGCTCAAGCTCAATCTCGTCTTCATCCCCATATCTGTACTTCCTCTTGCGGTTTCCAGTCTCGTCAAACTGCACGTCGGAAGCCTCGCGGAAGAATTGAATATCCTAGAAAGGGCTAATCAGACATTATATAATATTGAACATTAGCAAGGCTCTTACGTGAGCCTTCTTCTTCCCAATCATGATCGGAGCCTTCAGGTGAATGTGGATGATGACCAGCAGCTCGTGGTCGCAAGGTTGGAAAAATAAGTGCTTCACATTACTGAACAGAATATCTATCGCAGGGTGAGCCGCTGATACAAGGAACGTGAAAGCAACGTACCAATCTTTTGAGAGCCCATCGGGGACTGGTAACGTAGACCATTCTGGTGTATCTCGACCTCGCCAGGTAGTCGCTTGCCGTCGAGCGCGGGGCGAACAAAGACCTCAGGCAACTTGATGGGGCGACGACCCTTGATTTCAGCCAGTACATCTTGCTCGATGACGTCGGCCATCTCCTTCTTCTGCTGCTCTCGCTTATTGACTTCTTTCTTTAGGTCTGTAATCTGTTTGGCCACAGCATCAAAGCGATGTTGGTCGACGGAGCGGTAGGTGATGGAACGAATGAAAGTGGCATCAGGGTCTTCAAACGGCTTTAAGCGTAAGAGTCAGCGTAGCACGTCAACACAGAGAGATAGCGCATACTGTATCTTCCTTCTTGCCGGCCAGTTGTCCGGGAGTCTGGAAGTTCACTCGGAGGTAAGTAAACTCGCCCTCGTCGTTTTTGCTGACGTTCTTGATAGTATTGATATGAAACGGCACTGCAAAACCGTGGATTGGAAAGACTATGGTCTGAGCTTTGCGGTCAACAAAGATCTACCCCCTCACTGTTAAAAAGCTGTTTGCGTACTTCGTAGGATGAAATGACCTACGCGCAAATTCTCGACGTCCTTTGGAAGGCCGGCCTCGCCCTTGTAACTCTGGAAGCGCTTCCAAGTTTTGCCTTTCTCGCCAGCAAGACCACCACCCCCCTCAGAGAACCTAGCCAATCCCTCCACCTGTAGTCTCTGATGTAGTTCGCGCTGATGTTCCGCTATCTTTGCTGCCGTCGACTGGATGAGTTCCTCTTGAGCCGCGCTACGTGTCTTATTGCGAAGCACTTTGCCACCAGCGGTCTTGTTTTTCGCGGGGGACGCACCACCGGTAGCAGTTAGCTTCGTTGAAGTAGGAGCCTTTTTGGCTGGCTTCGACTCGACCTCAGCCTCGGGATTGAGGAAGAACATGGTGTCTTTGACGGATTTGACGCCGATCGTAAAGCAAGTGGCTTTCTCTCCCAAAATCTGGACAGTGTCCACAAGATGGAGCGCATACCTGTTCAAAAAGCGTTAACCAAATACTCTACACAAAAGCTTCGCAGCACCTACTTCTTTCCACCCTCCTCAAGATCTTGGAAGCCAAGCGCCAGATTGAATACCATGCCGGCCTTGAGCTTGCGACCGTTCTTAGCGGAAAGAAGATACACGGAGTCACGGAACTCCAAGCCCATCTAATGCCATTTTATGAGCCACGCCGCAGAGGACATCCAAAGATGTAGAACCTACCCCATGACCGACGTTCTTCACGAAGTGTTTTTCCAGCTCAGGCTTCTTCTCCTTGACATAGGTGAGCGCATGCTGGTACACATCCCGGGCAGTCACGCCATCTTTCATGAACGAGAGAAGGTCATTCTGCAAAGACAGCAGCAGCGCATAGATAGCTTCTTGCTCCTAAGAAATAGCGCTAATAAGTTGGAGGGAGTTTTGCTGTGTAGAAGTCTCCAACCTTGCTGGGATCAACAATGAATGTGCGGCCGAGATTGGCGCAATAGCCCTTGTAACGCATGCCAAGCGATACGAGGAGTACGCCTTTGTGCGCCATGTCATCGGTTGTCGATTCTGCACTAAATCTCAAATCATAGCCGGTGCTTGTAGACTGAGATTGGACGATTGGAGAGTAGCAAAACTCTGTTGATGACCAGTCGACCTGTTTGATTGTTAATAAATCCACAACATGCGATGAGAAATGGTTGCTTGCATCAGTGAGTCCACGCCCTTTGCTCCAGACTCTCATATCGGGGCCTTTCGCGTCAGTTCCCTCGCCGTATCCTAATCTAGCCTCAATTTGTCCTGCGAAAGCTTCATGGGAGATCTTGGCTTCCCGATCGAGAATTGTCTCCAGCTTCACAGCGACGTGATGGGCCAGCAGTGTGGAAGTAAGATTAGCAGCGGTTCGAATAGCTTTCTGTGGTCAGCGTGTTAGCATAGTGTCCCTGTCTGATCATGAGAATACTCACGAGCTCTTCCTCATCCTTGGCCGCTATAAAGGACGACACTGCAGGCGCCATGTCCACAAGCTCGGGCCTTTGCTCCGCTTCACTGAGTAGCTTGTTCCAATCGTCTACGAGCTTCCCGCTATGCGACTCCTTTGTCAGCGTGGCTACGCGCGAATGAGCGACGTAGGCTTCCAGGAACCTCGGCACTGCATCAGTAGGAGGATCCTTTGCTTTTGCTTGACCGTAGATCTCGATAGTGACAGGAGGGTTCCCATTCTTGATTTGAGCCAGGATTTTAGCTGGTTTGAATAATGAGTCTCAGGTCTAAAACGCATCGAGGAGTGCAAGACATACCCTTGGATGCCGAACAGAGTATAAGTACTCGTCCCTTTTCAAAGAGAATGAAGGTTGAAGGGAATTCATAACCGAGAAGCCATGTCTGAAAGCAGGCCACGTCATTCCAACCCGTCTTGAAACAGATTGAGTTAGAAGCAACAGCTCGCACCTGGAACGCCGTCCCTTTCCTGGTAGGCTCATCTTCATTCGCAGGGTCTCCCGCAAGTAGCAGAAGAGCGTCAGCATCTGCTACCGAGCTAAAGTCATCATTTTTGCCCGCGTTCTAGTCAAACAAATCGTAGGAGTCGTTAGTAGTCAGGTTATGTCAGTGAACAAGGAGTGGTTACATACGCTCCAGGAGTCAAGAATGAGTTTGAGACGTGAGTTGAACTGCGAAAAATTGAGCTGTACTTGGTTCTGCCCCGACATTACAGGAGAAAAGGAGAAGATAGTGGTAAGAGGAAAGAAGGGCTGTCGACTAGGCGTGCAGAACGCGCCAATTGGACGCGCATCACGTGGTATTTTCCTCAGGGTTAAGGTCGCCCAATGGGAGCCCGAGACGTGCGCTTATGAGGAACGACCTCGAGTACACTGTCGCATACTTCCAACATCCGTTCAGCCGACTCTCTACTGTCTCCTCAAACTTTACCATAAAGTCGCGTTCCGAACCTGCTCGACTGGGGCGGTTCACTGTCAACCATGGCCACGGCTCTGTCAGAATATCTGGTAACTGACGACTTAACTATCATTCTCGGCCTAGTCGCCGCCGGTCTCTTTCTCCTTCATAACCTCTACAAACCTCATTCCCTCGTCCATCCGATTCTTCTGGGGAGGCAGAGCGATGTAGCTCGCATGCGCCACCCGGGCGAAAGTGCAGTTTATAGGAACTACGGCACTGGCATGATGGGAAGGGTAAGGGCGAAGTATGCTCCCTCTCACGACTTCTAGCTAAGCGATCATTAGTTCCCAGCCAGGCCCTCCAAGGATCAACGGATGCTGCTGGACCTTGTGAAACCCGACTTGGATACTCCTAGGACTCTGTGGAACACCAAGGTCAGCCTCCGTGTCCGTTATGTTACTTCTGCCATGGACCTACTAAACCCCGCTGAAATAGCTTACAAACCCCGAGCTCAGGCGACGTGTCTCTGCGATTGGTACTGGTCTTCTCAAGGTCGCTAGTCTGACTCCAGGAGAGTCCAACGTGCTGCTGCTGCTCAATGATGGCTTAGGTACGTCTGTGAATGTAGTTCACCGCGTGTGTCAATGACGTTCGTTGGTAGAGTTTTTACTCTCGGACTTGGCACTGGCATCTCAGTCGATCCCGTCCTTCACATTGACATCTATATCGCTCCTTTCGCCCGTCTTGGACAGCCATCCGCCATCCGCCATCATCACGGAGGCTGAGTTCCTCCCACATCTGCTGGAACTCATCTATGACACCAATGAGGGGTCTCATCATACCATCATCGTGATCGGTGAACCTGATGTCAAGCGCGCTCAAGGCCTCAATCAAGTCCGCGTCCTGAAATTTTCAGAGTTGGAGAGGCAAGGAGCGCTGCTCGAGCAGGCTGCACCATCGGCCACAGGTATGAGACGCCCTCCAAAGGAAAGATGATGGCTCAACAATCATTATACAGACCCTCTCCAAGTTTTCACTGTCTCGTTCCATCAAGCACCGTCGGGAGATCTGCGTGGAGTTCAATTTACCCACGAGAATATTACTTCCGGTGTCACTGCATTGCGAGCAATGATGCCGTCTTCTGGGCCTGTCTCTCCTCTCGACACAGTGGTTTCAGCGCATTCCTTGTCTTCTGGATACGGTCGGGCTGTGGCTTACACTGCCATCTTTGAAGGAGCCAATTTCGTGACCACGTCGAGTTCGAAGATTGTCCAGACCGAGAACGGTGAGTAGCTCTTATAAATAAATGCAACATTGTGAACTTAGTTTTGTACAGCCCAACGTCAAGATCTCAGCGATGTTACGTCCGTTGAGCGGTATCCTATTCCGTCCCCTACTATTCTCTTCATCACACCACCGCATCTCACGACTTTGACGAGTGCAATCATCGACAACACCAAGAAGGCGTCTATCATATTATATTCACTTGCGTGGCGTCACAAACTGGCCGGCATCTTGGAGGGCTTCTTCACGAAGCAAAGCCTCTGGGATAGACTTATCTTTGACGGTGCTCGAATGCAAGTTATGAGTAAGGGTGCGGGAACAGTTCGGGCGGTTGTCGTCAGCGAAGGTAAATCTTTCTATCATTATTTCAAGCACGTCATCTCACACTGTAGTAGGTCCGGTTGAAAATCAGGCTCTCACTCCGGCTCGCGTTGCTCTCTCGGTACCTCTTGTGTTCGCCCATTCTCATCCTCAAGTCTCTGGTCCCGTGTTTGCCACGCATTCTCTGGATGTGCAGACTTTCCCTGCAGATACAGATTCCTCCGGGTCATCTGCTGCGGATAATTACACGTTCTCGTATCTCGCGACTGTTGGTGCTCCTTCCATCAACATGGAGGTCAAGCTGAAGGGCGTGGATGATAATCTGGTCGAGAATGGCGGTGATCCTGTCGGCAACCTCTTCCTTCGTGGGTCGAGCGTAGGCCTGGTACTGGATGCAGAGCCTGAGGAAGAGGAGCTCGATAAGGGTTGGATCGACAGTGGAGAGAGAGCGAAAGTCTTTCCTAACGGCTCATTCAAAGTGGTTCCTGTCAAGAAATAGCCATACATATTGCTTACCCCCTTTACGCGAAAATTTCTTGTCTTCTGTGGTGTATATTCTTGACTCCCCATTTAGACTGCTGTTCCTAGCGTAAATATGTAGAGATGTCTGCCTGTGTTGTACGTGCCGCTATGGCTATTCGTGGGAATATTAACATTACGGAGTTCGCCGAGCGCGCATTTTGCTGCGAGCTGTGTGGGTGACTCCTCCCTGAACGACCACCAGCCCGCTTAGCCTCCTCAAAATATGTCTACTACGTCAGCTATGGAGCTCACTGATACACAGATGCTTGACTATTCAACCGACAGTGACTACACTATGCACGCTACTGGTCACTCTTCCGAATGGCCATCGGTGGAAGCGACTATGAGCGACGACCACATCCCCTCTGCCACAGAATACTCAGAGACCATCGAAATCGACATGGAACAGAACGAAGATGAGGAAATGACAGAATACGAGATGACAGACGGTGTTGACTACGTCCATGAAGGTGCTGTGGAGATCCAGGACGTTGACTTCGCCGAACCATCGCAAGCAGCCTCGCCTTCGGGAGTGAGTGCTATCGACAGTACAGCGTTGGTGGACGCTACATCTTCTATTGCACCTCCGCAATCTCTACCTTCCCCGACAGCTCATCTAGAAACATATGGCTTCCATCACGGTGCACTTCCCAGTGTACCTGAGCATCATATTTCCGATGTCGAAACTCTAGTCCATCCAGCGCCTCTCGACACTACAGAGCAACCTCACGAACCGCCCGTGGAACTATTTGCATTGCCGACAGGCGAAAACACCGATGATAGCGAGGAATCTCGTGCTACTGGACGCCCCGCCTCGCCCGCCAGACCAACTCTAGCGGACCCCGCTGCATACCCTGAGCCCGAGTCGCAGCCGTCTTTCTTCGAACATGAAGAAGACGGGGCGAGCAGTAAGGCTACTGGTAGCGAACCCGCTGAAGCACCAGGCGCTGAAGAAGGGTCCCTTGGGGGGGCAAAGCCGCTTACGGAGTTGGCGCGTTCCTCCGACGATGTGGCTCATCCAGTAGCGTATGGAGAGGCGTACGAAGAAACTTCTAACAATGATCCGCACGAGATCTCGGACGGTGTCTATATCGATCCGCCACCCCCAGTGCTCCTTTCTCTCTCGACCTCGTCTCAACGAGTAGAATGTTGTCTGTTCAACCAACCTTATGCAGGATCAAGGTCTCAAAGCCCTGATACACATGCGTCCGCTAGTACCGCAACAGAATTTGCGTTGCTACTGTCTCAAAAGCCAACGCTCTACTATGAGCCGCTCAACAACGTGTTTGAGGCGCTTCGCCAAGAAGAAGTTATCAGTGGCGTAGCAGAGCTTGCGGATGGGGAGCTGGTCCTTGAAGCGTACGACTTAGACCTGAGAATAACTGAAGTAGGTGTCTCCTCTACGTTCTTTGATAGTTATGCTAACACTATGACTAGGACAATATCCACGTGGGAGAAGTGACGATTCATGAACTGAACATTTTGCATGACGGTATCGACCTGACAGGCCCTCTCCGTCTGCGCCTTTCTGCTACTCCTCGTTTTATAACACGGTACCGCGCTCTTCGAGACCAAGTGGCGCAGCTCAGCTTAGAGGCCGGATCAGAAATTGTGCCCCAATCTCAGTTCGATGCGGCTGAACCTGAGGAAGCTGCCGAAGAAGCTGGTGGGTCTTCAATCTACCTATTGCGCACTATGAAGCGGCGATTTATCGTTTTTATAGTTCGTCACGATGCCCTTCCTGTTCCAGTGAGCATATCTGAGGTCGAACACTCGGGAGCGACCGAGCAAGCATACGATGAAGAAGTCAATGGGCGCATAACAATCGAGACGGCGGAATCCGAAGCTAAGGCATCTGCACTAGCAACTAATGACGAGCCAGGCACGACTGAATCTGGGCAACGTGAGCCGCTAAGCGGCGTCGAGCAGGAGGAACCAAACCGCGCCGTGGAGACTGGTTCCGAAGCACCTGAAGATGCGGCTACCGACTACGAGGCCGAACTCACGGCAGGAGAGGCAGCGCAACATTTCGACGCTGATGAGGTGCACCAGGAGGCTGATGTGGGGGATGGGGGCGATTACACTGATTATGTTGAGAACCCGGATGACGACGGACAGTTCGGTGAGACGCCGCCGGAAGACAGTGGTGCAGGCTCAGATGTGGCCGACGGTCGCTACGAAGTACTTGCAGACCTGTACAGAGAATCTTCGACTGACGCTGCTGGTCTCGAAGCCAATGCACCAGGAAACGAACTGGGCGCCACTTCTGAGGCTGCGAGTTCTGACGGTACGTCTGCTTTGATTTTGGCGCCCCGAAATAACATTGACACCTATTTCTGCAGGCCCTGAACTGTCTACTGGTAATCACACGAGTGTTATTGAAGATGCACAGACAGATGATGATGGTACTTGCTAGTGCTTATCTGGATTTACCTTCTGTTCCTGACGTTGTATTCACAGAGCTGGTTAACCGCGATCCGGACGCTACCTTTACGGGCCAGCCGTTTGCTAACATTGCCTCGCATACAGAATTGGGCGAACTCGAGAGTCTTGAAGGTAAAAATTGCATTTTCCCATGAATCAACGTCTATGGTTGACCCATGGGGTTCAGAGTATGATGCTGAAGGCGAAGACCGGCAAGGAGAAGAATCAACACACCCGCAGGAAGAGTTTGAAGATTGGGGCGAGTTTGATGAGACTGAGCAGACCGCCCACGTCGCAGAAGATGCCTTATCGAAGGGCTCTTCTGAGACGTTATCCACCCTGTCAAAACGTTCTCGGGAGGAAGACGAGGGTGATGAGGATGACGCTGATAGCCACCCGCCGGGCTCTTCAGGTATGTAGTTTTCTTTCGGGAGCACTGAATTTTAACCTTGCTGACCGTTCCCTTTTGCAGACTCTAAACGAGTGCGAGTGGGGTGAAGGCGGCATTGTCGTCACCAATAACTTCGCTTGCCTTTCTCGTCGAAAGCCATATCCGGCAACACCATTGCCTCCTTGCGTCCCTCCTCGCATCTCGACATGATGCGATAGAATTTATATGCCTGTCACCAAGAGCTCAAGATGATAGGCTAAGTATCTGTTATGTTGTGTTGACTGACCGTTCTTTGCTTCAGATCTCATTGAAACTGCGAGCCCTGTTTATCACTAACTTTTTTTTCGCAGTTATTCCGGTGGATTACCTTCGTTCTTGCTATGGAATGTACTAACATAGTTGTGTACATTGCACTGGAGGCTACTCCTGGGAATACAATGCCATTGTACAAACGCACGTCGAGCTGTGTCCTAGCACGAGTGTGGGACAGGATGATAAGCGCTTTTTTGTGAGGAAACTTGGCCAAAACTGGAAAAACAAGAACAAATTAGGGAATTGAGGCCAAAATGTGCAAAAACGACCGAAAGAGGTTAAAATGCGGTAAAACCAGCGGGAAAAGAAACTTTGCCCCCGATTTTTTCAGAGGCTTCTTGTTCAACCAGCTTTTTGCTGATCTTGCACGCGAAAGGCTGCACCCATCGTCCAACCCCTACTTTTGCCCAGGTTTATAACCAAGAGCTCCAAAAAAGCCCGATTTGTGTCTGAATAGGTCATTTATACTGTGAAAAATAGAGATATGGAATTTGGTGGCCCTGACGGCGTCTCCGCACAAAACCGAAGACAACCAGGCAGATAGGAATGCTGCGTCCCATGCCTGAATATCTAACTACTCGATGCCTCTCTCTGTCTCGATGGTCGATGCCGTTCTGATTTTTTGGCCGTTCCCACTGCAGGTCGAGTTTTGTGCCCGCATTAGGGTGGGTTGGCTGCTTACGTAAGTGCACTGATCCCATGCGCGCCCTGGTTCAGCCTAGTTCTGTGTTATCCCAACTATGCAAGACGGCAGGGCTCCTCGGTATGTTAGGTCATACGACTCGAGAATATTCATTCGGTGCTTAGTGATAACCTAGTATTAAAAACCGTGCCCCGGCTGCTATTCAGGTATGCGTTGCGGCATCGTAGGGGCCCGATACTCATCTACAACTTCAACCACAGGTCACTGCAGAGCAGCTCTTGCGAGATGTATGCATGCTTTAAAGTCTCTATTGTGATTTCGCTTACCGTTGATACAGGCTCAAGAGCGCCAAGAATCGCAGTTCCGCGCACCCAAGCAGCGAGTAGAGGACTTCGAAGAGCTTCATGAGTATAGAGGCCGGAAGCGTGAGGAGTTTGAGAAGCGTATTAGGCAGACAAGGGGGAGCATGTGAGTCTCATAAATACCCTGGCCTTCACTTTGTACTAACCGCATTATACAGTAAAGAATGGCTTCAATATGCTAATTGGGAGGTACGTGGCTGCTACTGTGCCTGCTACTGCATTGCCTCAACTGTTCACAGGCAAGCCAAGGCGAATACGCACGCTCTCGATCCGTCTTCGAGCGAGCGTTAGACGTGGACCCTCGCAGCGTTCAGCTATGGCTCAGCTATACAGAAATGGAGCTGAAGGGGCGAAATGTCCAGCACGCAAGAAACCTGTTCGACCGTGCCGTCACACTTCTTCCACGGGTCGATCAGCTCTGGTACAAGTACGTATACCTTGAAGAACTTCTGCAGAACGTTCCTGGTGCTCGTCAGGTCTTCGAGCGGTGGATGCAGTGGGAGCCGGACGACAAGGCTTGGCAGGCGTACATCAAGATGGAACAGCGATATGACGAGTTGGACCGAGCTAGCGCTATCTATGAGCGATGGGTCGCCGTTCGCCCTGAACCTCGAGTATGGGTGAAGTGGGGCAAATATGAGGAGGAGCGTAGTCGTTTGGACAAGGCTCGTGAAGTCTTCCGGACAGCCCTTGAGTTCTTTGGGGACGATGAGGAGCAGGTCGAAAAGGCGCAAGCCGTGTTCAACGCCTTCGCAAAGATGGAGACCCGCCTAAAAGAGTATGAGCGTGCGCGCGTCATTTATAAGGTGCGTGAAGTCGATGTTGGTGTATCTTACTCCTGCTGAGCCCGTTACTAGTTTGCGCTCTCCCGTTTGCCAAGGTCGAAATCTGCCGCCCTCTACGCTGCATATACCAAATTTGAGAAGCAGCATGGCACGAAAACCACGCTCGAATCCACGGTCCTCGGCAAGAGACGCATCCAGTACGAAGACGAATTGGCACAAGACGGCAGGAGCTATGACGTGTGGTTCGACTATACTCGTCTGGAAGAAGGTGCCCTCAAGGATCTTCAGGAGGAAGGTATTACCTCTGGAGAGGAGGAAGCCACGATTAATCGGGTACGCGAGGTCCATGAACGTGCCGTCGCTCAGGTACCTCCTGGAAATGAAAAGCGGTATTGGCGGCGATACATCTTCCTTTGGCTCAACTATGCGCTATTTGAAGAGATTGAGACGAAAGTAGGTGTTCACTGTGTCGAGATGTGCTTCGCGATGTTGAATAATCCAAGGATTACGACAGGGCTCGACAGATTTATCAGACCGCCCTCAAGCTCATCCCCCACAAACAGTTCACATTCGCAAAGCTCTGGCTGATGTATTCACAGTTCGAGCTGAGGCGCTTGGATCTACCTGCCGCAAGAAAGGCTCTCGGTGTTGCTATCGGCATGTGCCCGAAAGAAAAGCTGTTCAACGGGTATATCCAACTAGAGTTCGACGTAGGTCATGTTCGCACTTGCAACGTTCTTTTTTTTTCGCTGACACACCCGATTTAGCTGCGAGAATTTGATCGTGTCCGGACGCTCTATGAGAAGTATATTGAGGTATGTTTGCGATGTTCCATAGCAATGTATGTCCTAACAAGGTGCTAGTACGACCCGACGAACTCGTCGGCCTGGATCAAGTATGCTGAGCTCGAGACTCAACTGGAGGATTTCAGTCGGACACGAGCCATTCTCGAGCTCGGCATCTCACAATCACAGTTGTCTATGCCTGAGCTTCTTTGGAAGGCGTACATTGACTTCGAGACCGAGGAAGGGGAACGTGAGAAGGCGCGTAGCCTGTACGAGCGACTGCTCAACCTCAGCGGGCATGTCAAAGTCTGGATCTCGTATGCTCTCTTCGAGGCAACTCCTCTTCCTATTCCCCGTACCGAGCGCGAAGAACTTGATGAGGAGACTGAAGACATTCCAATGATGGAAGGGGATGTCGAGCTTGCAAGGCGGGTGTTCGACCGGGCATACAGAGACCTGAAGAGCAAGGGCCTAAAGGCAGAGGTAAGGCTTTCCACATCCGATGCAGTAATTCGACTCTAACTCGAGTTAGCGTGTGGCACTGCTTGAGAGTTGGAAAGCTTTTGAAGAGACGAATGGTACATCGGACGACGTAGACAAGGTGCAGAAGATGTTCCCAATCGTCAGCAAGAAACGTAGGGTGGACGAGACCGGCCAAGTTGTGGAAGGTAAATCAACAAAAGTCATACTCTCAAAAACGTTTACTAACACTGCTGTAGACTGGGATATGGTTTTTGCCGACGATGAAAGGGAATCCAACCCCGCTACGTTCAAGTTCCTGCAATTCGCGCATCAGTGGGCCCAGGCCAAGAAATCAGGCGCTGCCCCATCCACTGTCTTGCCTTTGGCACCATCTGGCAACACTCAGGAGGGGGAGCAGGCGAGTGGTTCATCAAACGACTCGCAGGGCAAAGCTGTGGGCGAAGCAGACGCAGACGATCCCGGCAGCGACGTGGCTAGCTCACAGGGTGACGATGACTGATCTATTGTACTCTCAGTATCCTGTTGTATCTCTTTATACTTAATGTTGGTACCCCGGTGCCCTACTATAAATATCTTGCGAGAGAGCTGACTCGCTTTGCCTCGCCGAGATTACTGTCAGTTTAACCAGTCGATCTACTGGTCGAAGCGAGCCAGAGCGCCAACGTAATCTGCACTTGCCACTCTTCCATCGACATGTCTGCTCGACTTGCATGCCACGCCGACAGGGTCTCTACACAACCTCATCGATCCTGCGCAGGGCGATGACCACGCTAAGGTTCAATTTGCTCAGCACAGCCGAAAAGGCAGCTCCTTTTGGACCACGACTCGGTACTGTCTCAGTGCAACGCAAAGACGTCGACGGTACGGTGGAGATCAAGACGCCGGGCCTAATCACAACTACTTCCAGAGGTGTTGTCCCTCACCTCTCTCGCGACCACACGAGTTTCACAGAAGCGGTGAGATGGGTACAGCTACCCTTCGAATCCTTGTAAGTGCTGTGTCTGCCTTCACCATCATCCTGCTTTACCTCAACACTCACCGATTTTTCCAGCCTTGAACGCAGCCCTCCCGTCCCCATATTACAAGGTGGATCATATGCCCTGCACAAATTCCTTGGGTACAAAACCGACAGCATCTACTGTCGCTCACTCTGCGGGATCCCTCGGATGGGCGAGAGATGCCAACGAATGGCAAGGATTACGTAGCGGCGATGACTGTCAGAGGCGTTCGCAAGGTGTGTCACGCCATTATCGGAAGTACTGGAAGTAGACATTGAATAGCCCCGCAGGTCACCCCCGTGCAGTGGAAAGCATACATGCAGGCCTGCGCGCCAGATGTCGTGGCAGCGTTGTCAGATGTACCCTTCACGCGGCCGCCGTATTCGCAGAAACGAATTACGAAAAGCCTCGAGCGGTCAACTGCTTGGTTGGCGGAAATTTTGCGCTTGCAAGGCGACCCCGACCAAGACCGTCTCAATGTCCTTGTTCATCTTGCTGGCGCTCACGATGCAAGAGCCAGGCAAGCATTCTCTGAAGGGCTTGTAGAAAAGATGTATGGAAAGGATGCCGAACTTGTAGTGCCCTTGAAGACTTTGGACGAAGGGCTTTCGGGGTATATTCTCGATCTCGCACATCTCAAGGCCTCTCTCGCTGGTTCTGGCACTCCCGACCCCCACGAAGTGATGTTCGAGCTATGCAAAGCTTCATTAACGCCTCTTCCCGTGCAGAAGCTACGCATCGCACACACTCCAACATCCCCGCATGAGGCTCTTCGGCTCATTGAAAATGTTGGAATAGATCTCCTGGATGCGCCTTGGGCCCAACAAGCTGCAGATTTAGGAATTGCTCTCGACTTCCGCTTCCCCGTGTCGCCGCTTATTCCGGAACTCGCCCAGGCTTGTTCTCCCCCAGTGCAGAGAGAAGGGAGCGGACGAGATATCGGACACAATCTCTTTAGCAGCGCATATGCTCATGACCACTCGCGGTTCGCCTCGTCATTCTTGGATGCCGCGTTTACGTCCCGGCTACCCGATGGACACGAGGCCAATAGCCTTGTCTGTACATGCATGGCCTGTTCTCCTACCACTACTCCGGAGTGCGTCGCGCACAGCTCAGTCGACAGCCTCGGACCAGCCAACTCGCCGTCGCCGAACTTGCCCTATACCCGTGCTTACGTTCATCACCTGCTGCATACGCATGAGATGTCCTCGCACACGCTACTTGCTATGCACAACCTCACCGTCGTGGACAGATTCTTTGCGGACATTCGCAAGGTTCTCTCCGAACACAACGGGAAACTCCGCTTTCAGGAAGCAGCCAAAAGGTTTCTCGAGGAGTACGACGAGCGATTTGTGGTCTTTGACGAGGCTCGAGCGCAGTGGGCCAAGGTCGAGAGAGAGCGAGGGAAGGGCCGGCTTAATAGAGACAAAGACTCAGATGTAGGTGTCAATGCAGATTAGCTTCGGGGGTCCGTCCTCGAGAGTGCTTGGCATTGATGCAGTACTGTTACAAGTTGTGAATTAATCTACAACAAAGACAGACTCCACACTTTACGCATGTGCGCTCAGCCCGCCTCCAATTGTCGCAACCAGCATCACCACACCAATAACTTGCGCTGCTCGCCAGAACGTGGAAACTCTAGAGACATGGTCCGACTCCGTATGTTTGTGTTGTCTCGAGAAACCCGTCGCTCTCCTCGCGTTTGGGGACAAGAATGGATCTTGGTGATATTGGGGTCCTGCCTGCGAGTGGGTATATGGTGAGGATCGTGGGTGAGAATGCGGAGGCACATGTCTGGAGTGGCTCCATCCTGAAGACGCGGAACCTTGTCGCTGCCATGCGTGTGTCGCACCAGGGTGCCGTCGCGTCTCGTACGCCCAGTAGGCGGATGAGGTCGGTTGTACTGCAGCATGGTGTCGGTTACGTGACGAGCTTTCCTCTAGCATGCGGTCGTAGGCTCGCCTGCGAAGTCGTGACGTGAAGTTGAGATCGCCTGAGAAGCTGAGACGTACGCACCGTTTACGTTCGTCTCCTAAGATGACATACGCTTCACCAACCCTATGAAACTTCTCCTTAGATGCAGGATCCTTGTTCATGTCGGGATGATACATCTTACTGAGCTGCATCTTGCTTGAGCCTGTTCATTTATGAGGTATATGACCAGTGTAATACCTTGTAATAACTGGACTGGGCTCTGATAAGTAATCAAGTCGGTTACAAATGGTACAGTGGTCTGACCTTGATCTGATTCCTTGACGCGTTCTGAGGCAAGGATAGTGTGTCATAGTGTGTGCACCAAGACGTAGATGACTGGAAGCCACGTCTCTGGGAGTGACTAGTGCGCGTGGTCATATACCTGCTCGCCCACCATGCTCGTTCCAACTGGACCTTGGACGAACTTGATAGGTGACGTGCATGGTTAAGACGGGTCGTCATCGGCAACAGACTCGTATTTCAAGCTGAGAGCAGGCACAATTCGGCGGACCAATGAACCCGAAGCTTGCTCGGTAACGTAGAGTGTAAGCGGAAAAGAGGCACAGCCCTAATGTTCAGATTACAGCTAGTCAGGAGTGCCAGACAAATAAATGATTTGACCGGTCCAAGTCACAGTGAGCCGTGGCGCTGATGTCGTGAGGACAAAGCTGAGGTTAGGGTCGACCACGCCAATCCCCCGAGGCGCGCGGGACACAAGCGTGCGGCTTTCGTAAAGCTAGTACATCCCACCTCGACCTCGATTTCCAGACACGCGCCCGGTGCGCGCGAATGATGCGAAGATAGACAATTCTTGCAAGAATCCGCCATACAAAAGAAAGGCCAACATATACCCGCCAGAGCTGGATCGGCTCAAGATGACAGACACTAATACAGCAAACCTCTGCGAGCAGATCATCACGAGAGAGTTTGGGCCACTGACTGCGGTGTGTACGCTAGAATAGCGTTGATGCCACTCTATGCCTGACTGTATACGCTCAGAAAGCTGCCGCGGTACTGCTACATCGAGGCCGTCTCCCGCTAGCTCAAATCATCCGCTTCTCAGGACTGAGGCCTCGGACGGCGCGCACGTGCGTCATTGTGCTCGTGCAGCACAATGTGCTTTGGCATGCGCAGACCGATACCGATGGCGAGGTGCTCGAATTCAACACAGACGAGTGTCTCATGAGGCTAAGATACGGACGCTACGCCTGGCAGGCGGAGCAGTTGTTCGGGAAAGTGGTGCGGATTTGGATCTCATGAGGCCGCGAAGAAAGACTGTTGACGCATTGGTAATCTACCTTTCTTATCACAGGGAGCGGAGATTGTTCAGCTAATTCTGGATAATGGCAAGCTTCGTCGTCCAGATGTCATTTCGCGGCTGTCTATATACGACCCAGTCAAAGGTGTACAAAATCTTGTCCGTAAACGACCAACTTGTTAAATATTGCATAGCGCACTCCCTATACTCTCAGGCCTTTCACAAGTTGGTCGAAGCATCCTACCTCAAGCCTTCCACCGTACTATCACACCAATCTCCGAGAGACAAGCGCATACAATACGGAGCGGAAGAGAAGGCGAAATTATCTGGCTTTCCTACTGCGAAGGAGCTACGCCAGGCAAAAGAGGTGGCAGAAGCGCGACTACGCAGAGAGGAGGAGGAAGCGGAAAAAATTGGAACGGTAAGAGCATCCATTAGCTTGGGAAACCGATATTACATTCAGTTACCCGTAGAAACGCAAAGCGAGAGAGCAGAGGAGCCACAGGCTCAAGAAAGTAACTACTGTTGTGCAATTTTTTCTTGCTCTGTCTAACTTTTTTTTTTTGGCAGCGGAAGACGACCGAGGAAGATGTAGTCGATGTAGGTCGAACTTTCTCGTTTGTGTGGGAATCTGCCTTGATAAATCCTCTAGGACGACGTGTATTTCCGTATAAACTGTGAAAGGTTCAACATCCACGTCCGGAACAAGGTATGTGCTATTGATACGTCCGCAATTAGCCTCCTGCTCAACCGAGGCCAGATTATCGAGGACGCCGTGAGGGAACGTTACAACGATTCGGCGGCCTTAGTCATGCGCGCTGCGTTAAAGTCGACCGAAGCAAAGCAGCTGAAGTTAACAGACGTCCGTTCAGGTACGTTGGCGCCGGCTCCTCTCTTACTTGCTCCGTCGGCTCACTCGAGCTTGTGCTAGACCCAACATCTCTGGCAAATATCGCCACGCATATCTCGGAAGACGAGGATCTTTCAATTGGTCTTGCTATTGGCAAGAGGCCATCGCAGATGGCCATGCTGAAGGATTACTGCGGTATCCTTGCTGCCGCAGACAATCCGACGCCGGCCGGAAAAGCTGCTTCGTTCGTGTCGCTGAATGGATCGAAAGTCCAGGTCGAATTCGAAATCATAGACAACCGTCTGCGGCGACGAATCCTTGAGGCTGTTACTCGTGAACGCTACGGAGACGATGGCGTGAGGATCATTAGCTTGCTACTCAGTACCGGCAAACTGGATGAGAAGCAGGTACGCACTGGGTGATGTGCTCGTTTGCTTCTTGGCTGAGTGGCTTGAGTACAGATATCCAAAACTGGCATGATGGCGCCAAAAGATGTCCGACCGCTATTGTCTGCCATGGCCGCTGACTCGTTGATCAGCCTTCAGGAGGTCCCGAAAAGTGCTGATCGAAATCCTGCACGAACGTTCTTTCTCTGGTCAGTCGGCCTCGTTCATCTTGGCGTAGAGCGTGCTCATTCCTCTCATAGGTACGTGGACCTGCAAAAAGCGTACACCGTCCTCGTGGGAAGTCTGTACAAGACGTTATACAATGTCATAACAAGACGGAAATCGGAACAGGAAGAACCACTGTTGAAGGCGGTGCTGGAGAAGCGGCAGCGGACTGATGTTATGCAGGACGAGGAGCGACTATTGACTCGCAGCGAGCGGGAACTTCTGGCGCAGTGGGAGAAGAAGCGAGAGAAACTTACGGTGCTCGAAATGAGGGTGGAAGAATCAGTGTTTATTCTAAGGGACATGGGTTGTTTCAGCGCTGAGGACGAGTGATCATTGACCTTCCACTGTGCACTTGCCAAGCGATCCAGGCCTATTACATAAGCCAGCGACCCGAGACAATGGCGCAAGAAGACGGAGAAATAGAGTTCATTCAACAAACGCGTTGCCCTGTTCACGTGATCGCTACGCGTTTCGGAGGTATATAATCGGGCGGGTTTTCAACTGCACTCCACCGAACGCTGCCCCCGCTATAAGCTCTAGTTACCCCTCTCTCGCCCCAGCACCCCTTTCTTCTCGCCACCATTAAGGTCGAATTCCTCAAGTCAGTTCTAGCGATGGCCGCCGACGCCCCCGCATCTACCACCACTCCTCGCTCTCGTAGGGTCGCTAACGCTGGTAAGTCCAACATCGCCAAGGACACAAGAAAGACGGCAACAAAGAAGCCCGCTGCGAAGTCGAAGACTATCAAGCCTGCGACTAAGAAGGCCGTCTCTACTAAGGTTACCAAGCCTGCTGCCACCCATCCATCCTGGAAGGACATGATTAAGGTGCGCCTCGTCAGCGTCGTCATCCCCCAGCCAAACGCTCATGTCTTTACCCAGGAATGTATCGTTGCTCACAAGGAAGAATCTCGTCAGGGCGTTTCCCGTTCACTCATCAAGAAGGTTTGTTCTCGTTGCACGCCACATTGACCTTTCGACATCTGATCTCCGCCACCAGTTCGTTGAAGAGAAGTATATCATCAAAATGAACGGTCTCCAGACCTCTCAGCTCAACCGTGCTATTGCCCACGGCGCCGAGGAGGGCATGTTCAACCTCCCCAAGGGCCTGTCTGGCAAAGTCAAGCTCGCATCAAAGAAGACCTCCACCAAGGAGGTTAGTTCACACCGTCATCTACACCACATGGCATTGTCTTGATGTCCGGCATGCAGAATACTAAGCCCCCTGCCAAGAAGGCGGCCGAGAAGAAACCTGCCGCAGCTGATAAGGAAGATATCGAGGAAGAGGAAAAGACTGAGAAGTCAGCTAAGAGAGCTACAAAGAAGCCTGTCCTCAAGTCCTCTGATAAGTCTGCGGCCACCAAGACTACGCCCAAGAAGAGAGCCGCTGCTGTCAAGCCTTCTACGAAGAAGACCTCGTCAACGAAGACGGAGAAGAAGAAGGTTTGTATATGCGTGCTGCCTCGTCTACCTGTGCTAACTAATCTTCCGCAGACCGTGGCTAAGGCTGCCGCCGTGAAGGCCAAGAGGACACCCGCAAAAAAGGCTACTAAGGAGAAGCCGGCCTCCAAGTCAGCTTCCAAGCCCGCGCCCAAGAAGCCCACGTCCAAACCTAAGTCCTTATCGAAGGGAATGTCGGTCTCGACAAACCAGTCGTAATCTGACCGATGTCTGTCTCCATGTCCGGGTTTCTTAGTTCCTGATTCCGTATCTTATTGTACTATGTTACTCTTGGTGTTTCGCATAAGTAGACTCTTCGCTTCATCTACCCATGTTGCTTCCGCGGTACCGTGGTGTATCGTGTATCCAGAACCTACCCTTCGGTGTCTGATATCGCGCTTGTAGTATATCTTCGCTGAATGCTAAGACTCCAATGTAGCATTTTGTCTGCGTTCCTACTTTGCGCTATGAACTTCGCGGGTCGTGCACCGCCTCAAGGACGAATGAAGTGCTCTCAACGATGGCCATTGGCTGCTGTCGGCCGGTAGTCATGTGACACATCTCCCAGTCTCTAGTCTCCCTGGGCCTAGCTTGTCTTGCGCTCGTCCCCCACATCGACGACTTCCTCATAATCCAACCACTTCTCTTTCATGTCATCTGTCTCGCTTTCAGCCGATACGGATAGTCAAAGCATCTGCTAGGCAAAATTTTGTTAAATTTGATCCGTTCATGCTCTCGATGAGCGGCGGCGGTTGACTTCGACAACGCCAGCCGGGCTGCCTCTCCGCGACCTGCGGACGACTTTGACCACTGCCAGACGCGACGTATACGGCGAGTAAGCGCAGATTTTCGATACTCATTTGGCAAAACCATCCTCTGCGGGTGAACTTGGTCCTCCCGAGTTGGCTGTTGTCGCCTCCATAACTGCTGACTTCATAAGTTATACCTATGCTCACGCTTGAGGGGGACGCAGGCGCGATATATAGTATAGGCAACATTCCTGACCCCGGGAGGGTGAGGGGGGAAAGGCCGGAGACCTGCTGGCCATGACAACCGGAAGCATCCCACTGAGTAAGTCGTTCGTTCCAGCACTGTCCACCTTGTTTCCAGTGCTCACCCTCGGCAACATTTGTACTTCAGAACGTGGTATCGTACGCCATATGTCGAGTGCGAAGTCGACGTACGAGCACTGCTGAGTGTTGTCTACTTCTTGGCTGTTGTGCGCCGCATAAGCCGCTCGCTTCGGCCTCCACTTCCGCTCCCTGCCGTCTGCATACCCGGAGATGAGTACTCACTGGGCAGATCAGCTCTCTGAGCACGATAGCACTTTCAACGAGGTCGTCCTGAGCTGTATTGCAATTTTACATGGGATCTGTACAGCCGTCCTCACATCGCCGTTGACCATTTGTTACAAGAGCAATGTGGAAGAACTCAGCCAGACAGTACAAATCCCACAGGTAGAGATCATCGCTCCAGACTTATGTTCAAATACTGACTGAAGCTCATTTGATACTAGGCACAGCCCTCTGTGCGATACGATCTGAATATCGCTCGTACATGAACGGCGTAAGCACGTATGGTAGCAGCACAGCCGGGGCACATAAAGCAAGACCGTACTTCAGCGATTTGGTGATCCTGGTTGCGCTCGTCTCAACGAAGGTACTCCCCACGAAGACAGCACTCGTGGCCGGTAGCCCGCTTTCCCTGGTTAAAACACCTCAAAGTTTTGCAAGGACAAATCCCTATCAGCACCCTTGCCAGCCCTGGACGGATCTGGACATAGGATGACGGATCTGGACATATGATGACGCGCTCTAGATATGAGTTTTCACGTAACTCGAGATGAGTCCTCGAAGTGTTTCACCGTCCCTTGCCCTGCTGACGTTGTGAGCCAGCGACAGGCTACGCAAGGTCGAAGATATTTAAGCTACGCAGGTTCGAACTGGATGGCTGATGACGGAGAGTGTGCCGTGACGAAAAGTGAGTGTACGTGTATTTGTCGTGAGGCTATGCCGGACAGGTGACTCCCAGGCTAAGGTTCGGGTGAGCCGACAGGCAGTCTGCACGCGAAGCGAGACATGCCCGTCCCGCTGAGAGTGGACTTCGCCGGAAGTGTGAGTAGACGGCGACTGGAAGCGGGGGCAAGCTTTTTCGAACGGAGTTGGGGACGGCGATTACGCACGCGGTTCGTCTTAGGCAACCCTTCCAATTCTGGAAGGCTGCCGGCGCCGTCCGGTGATCTGACAGCGCACAAGCTCCGAGACGTGTTGTGCGGGCGTCCGGGGCCATCGACGGCGTCCCCGCCGAGTTCGTCGCCGACAACGTGGTTGGTGGGCGTCGCCGGCGGGAATGTCCCAATCAGGGCTCGCCGAAGGTCGGGACTGCCGCGTTGGGCAGTTCGGAGCTTGGATGGGGAAAAAAGGGGGACTGGTGCGTTTTAGGTTGCGTCATCTAGATCCTTGACTGCGGCCATCAGCTTAGTTCATTTTAGGCACCGCCAGGCTCGCCGCGCGGTTACCAATGTCACAAAGTCTCGCGTCTCTTTCCCCTTCTTGCCCTCTCCTACCAACTGCACCTGCCCCCTCTCTGTCCGCCCATCCGCTTGCCCATCCTCTGTCTACTGCCAACTAATACTCACACACGACGAACATTCTTATCGCTGGACGACGACCTCGAACACGACACTACCCCTTCTTAATGATCTGCGCCGCATGCTCTCTGTCGTCGCCACTCCAGCCCTCCCCGAATCTGGCTCAAACCATCAGGCTCCCTCCCAGCATCAGTATGGGACTAGAATACGATCCAACTCTGTAATAAAACCTTCCCCACGTCTCCGCCAGTCACCAGATCCTCTTCCACGACGTATCAAGCCCGCTCCCGTCGCGAAGGCCAAGGCTTCGGTGATGTCGAAAGAGCCCACACCCGTACAGATGCCTATGTTCCCGCCTGCCAACGTCATGCTGCACTCAGACGATGCAACCAGCAAGGTGTTTTTGGCTATCGGTCGTTCCTTCGTCTCAGTCGTATGTCTTGGTCGTTTTGGTCGTCTAACGAACTGCGCTTAACGCTTTCCTCAGGATAATAAAGCAATGACTATCAAGGACCTTGCAGAGATGACCATGAAGTTTGGTCTCGTGTGCCAAAAGTACGTATCAATCCTTTGTGAGCACGATCTGAGTGTGATATATCATTACTCCAGTGTGTCTGCTGCTGGCCAGGCCATCACGACGTACATTCGCAATCACCTCCAGCGGTGTGAAATCCAGAAGGACCACCCGCTGCTCTTGCGCCACGTTCTTTCTGGGACCCCTTCTGACGACGACCTTGTATCCGCTCTGTATTCCCGCTCTGGCGGCGCTCATTGTTCTCTATCTCCTGGCGAGAAACGCGTCACCAACTTCCGTCGTGGTACCGTTGTATGGTACTTGAGCAGAGCGACTGGCATACCTTGCCCCTTCTCACGTGCGGGTATTCGCCTATGCGACTACACTGAGAATGGTAAGGTCGGCATCACTGTCAATCCTGGAAAGGAGAGGAAGCGCGAGCGAGATCGTATGCGACGGGCAGAACAGTCTGGACAAAAGCGCAAGCGCCTTCCAAGAGCCTGCGCCGCGAGACCAGGCTCAGATTCAGAATCCTCTGAAGAGGAAGAACAACCTCCGCCGAAAGTCAAGCTTATGTTGCGACTCAAACCATCCCTTGCGTATAGCTCGAGCGCTTCTCCTTCCCTGGCGCAGTCGTCGTCGCCTTCCGATATCGTGGACTTGTCGACGGAGCCTGACTTGGACGACGAAATTACATCTGATTCCTCTTTGGATGATGAAGAGCCTACGCAAGCGGTTTCGTTGCCGTACCCTGTCTATCCCCGGCCACCGCCAGGCACCTGTGCTTCTATCGGTGATGCCTCACCTTCATTCCCACCAGTCCCTTTCTGCGCGGCATCTCCGTATAGCGACCGGTCGTGGCGTTCGCCTTCCATTCCGTGTAGTGCAACCTCGGCGTCACCCCCGCCTGACTCGGAAATGGAGGAAGAGGAAGAGGAGGACGAGGACGAGGACGAGGAGGAGGCTGAAGAAGCGGAGCTAGAACAGGAAAATGATGACGAAGACGTTGACATGACCGCAATGGAGAGTTCTTCATTCACACACGACCCTGCCGGATACGACTCGCCAGCTTGGGAAGATGAGGACGACCTCGACCTGGATGACGACTACGACACTCAGTGGGGTGAAAGTCCTGGACCGACATCTCCGCCTGCACATTTCGAAGATGATATCCAAGTCAAACAGGAGCCGCAAGACGTTGGTAGCATTCTCGCTGCGTGGGAACATGAGGAGAATCTTGCTACTCAGGCGCATGTATTAGATATCGTCGCGAAGGCTTGTGCCAGCCAATATGTCCCTCCCGAGGTCAAGACCGAAGAGGATGAATCGTGGCTCTGGCACAACTTCCGCAGTCCTTGCGATGAGTTTGTCTATACCGTGGATGGGGATACCATGCGCATCAAACAGGAGGAGGAGGAGATCATGTTACCGCCGATGGAATACGACCCAACATCCCCCATCTTATCCCCAGCAACGGCCTACTCTTCCCTACCTGCGTCTTCTACCCCGTATGATTCTCCGGTGGTCGAGAGCTGTACGCCATCACGATACTTCACTGAGCCACCATGGCAGGATGTCGAGTTGCTCGGGCCTGATAGCGTCAAGCTTAAAGATTTGGACGACGGAATTTGGCAGATCGAGAGCTCCAAGCAAGACCGAAAGTCACGTGCAGACGTTGTGAAGTCGGATGCTCCTGCGCCTTGCCTGCGTCCGGCACAACCAGTAGAGCCTCATAAGATACACGAGAGATTGGTTATCATCACGCGATCTCAAACGCCCCCTACTGATGCCTCAGAATCCTCATCCGAAAGGGAAAACTCCAGGGATTCCGTCGCCTCTATAAGCTCAAGCGCGTCCCAAGCGAAAGCTGGGGATAGCTGCTCAGCGTCCACGTCTTCTCGGCCTGTGGTTGTGCGCACATGTGAGCCATGTAATCCGTCTGTATGTGCCACGGAGCTTGAAGGTACGGTTGTGCTGATCGCCTCGCCCGAAACACGTTTTGCTGACATGGTATTCCCCCTAGGCATACCTGTGTACGAGATCACCCTCGGCTCATCGGTGTTCCTCCGCAGAGTGGACACGGATTTTGTCAACATCAGTCCCATGCTGTGCTTCTTCGACATGTCCGCCCCAGACATGTCGGCAACACAATGGCCAGTCTTGGTTAACAGAGGCAGCCTTGCAGTATGTGGGACGTGGGTCCCGCTCGCGTCTGCACAGACGCTATTCCGCGATCAAGACTCGCTCAGCGTGTTCCTTTCCGACGATCTGCATCAACGATTCCCACCAGCGCTCCAGGATTTCCACACGTCCAGCTCACATGAACGCTCGCTCGTGCGCTTTGGCCCCAACTTTCAATCTACGCAGGAGGCGAAAAAGCAGTTCCTTGGCTCTTTCCGCGTGGAGCTTCCCGCACGTCCCGTGTACAATTTAGCGGGTGAGGAAGAGGATCCTATTCCAGAGTCGCCGTGGGACGCACACTGGCATCTTCTGCATCTGCAGGACACCCCCCTTCCAGCGCCAGAAGAAGCTCAGGAGGTGCCGGAGACCCCTTTGAGCCCTGCCGAAGAGGAGATGTTCCATGTGCTGTGCTCCATACCCGACTGGGAAGACTCTGAGAGCCCAGCGTCTCCACCGCCGCCGCCTCCAGCTTCCTTACCTCTCCAACCATTGCTTTCCCCCCCACAACCCATCGAGACGCCTCGTACCGAAGCCGTCCCTTGTCGAGAACGTCCATTGCGGCGATCTAGACGGGTGATCCCCGGCGTCGTCAATCGGCCCCGCACACGTTCAGTGGCGAAGACTTCTAAATCCAAGAACGCCTGAACCTCGAAACAAGGTGTTACATTTTGCATCACTCACGCACGTACTTTCGATCTTCATGACAAACTCACGACTCTTCGATAGACCTAGTATTAAGTATGGTGTATTTCTTGGTACTCCAACCCGCCGCTGGACTGGCCATGCCCGTCGAGGCTCAGACATCATTCCTTTGACTTGCTCTACGATGGACAACGCATGCAATTTGCAGTCTGGCGGATTCCGACGCGCTGATACCCCTGTTTCACGCGATGGCATCGCATGCAATGGCGAACGGTGCTGTCGTCCTCATGTTGCAGTTGTAAATCGTAGCATAAATCCGTATGCTATACATATGCGTATGCCAATAGTCAGCCTGCTTAGTAGGTAGCGTAGGATATCGTCTGAACAATCGTGTACAGAATAAACGACTAGTTCATGCCATTACCGAGCGATTTGCGAAGCGCCTGGAGTGATACGTGTGAGTCTGAACGCTCCTCTCGCTTGTGGTGTGCTCGCTGGCACCAGGCCTGGCACGGCGAAACGAGGGCCTTGAAAAATTGAGTATGTGTCGCGGGATATATGTGGCAGAGTTGGGAGTGGTTGATATACGTTTGAGCAAGAACAAGGCATGACTTCGCAGCGGCGGAGTTTGGATGCGTCTGAGAAACCCCTCAGGTGCTTGCATTCGAGCTTGCTCCCGACCACCACTCTACTTAGTCCACTATTTACTGGAGTCCACCCTACTGTAGTAGTCCTGGGCAGTCTCTTTCCTACGCCCTTCAAAATTCGTTGCTTTTTTTGCTGAAAATCCTGCATAGTTCACGACCGTCCTGCTCATAGTTACCCACGTCGCTCTCAATCGGACTCCCGGCCTTTGGTTCACACCGCTCGGTTCGCTTTCGCAGTTGGCACGGTGCTGCTATCCAACATTCAGTAATACCTAATCGCACCCATCTCTTCAAAGCCTATAATGTCACTCTCCGCCTCGGATAACAACGGCTCCTTTTCCAGAGTCTCATCTGGGAAGACGCCCCCTCCAGCCCCTTCTGCTGCTTATGCGAAGAGGTGCGCTACCATGTTACCGCTGCTTAAATCATCTGACACTCCCAGCAGAGCTCGCGAGATGGAGGCAGAGGAACGGATTGGTGCCAGATATCGGCCCCCTGCGCTGCGCGCCTTGGCTTCAGGCGGCGACCCTTCTAATGAACCCCCACCTTCCAGTACTACTCCAGGAGATGCTTCTACTCTTCCCCCAACCAATTTCCCCACGGGATTCAGGAGGGCCAGGGCTGGGACCTTACCCTCTAACGTCCAGCTTGCTGCCCAGCGATTCGCGGCTGCGTCCGGCAATCTCAGCAGTGCTGCTCCATCCACCGAGTCTTTCTCCGAGCAATTGCAGCAGAGAGGGCAAGGCATTGGTTCCACCGCACCGGTACGACCCAGTCTGCGTCACTCAGCCTCAGTCGCGTCTTCTGCTGCTTCGTCAGCTCTCACGGAGCGCAACAGTCGTCTCAGATCTGGGTCATTGACACTTCCCACTGGCGGATTGTCCAACGCATTCGGGCCTTCCATATTCTCATCATCATGGCTGTCCTCCCGGAACGCCAACGGCCTGCCCGTCCTCGATGATGTGCACTCGATCGCGTCGATGGAGTCTGGCAACGACGATTTTGATGTCCACACGCTCGACTATCTTGGCTTGGATGATACCCTCCGCCCGCCCCCGGCCGCTACCATCACAGAGTTGCGCACGCAAGCCCAAGCTGCTATCGCGGGCAATCTTGCCACAAACCCGTCTCGCCTTCGTGCCACTACCGTCTCTCATCCGTATCGTTTGGGATCTTCCGCCGGGGCATCGCTCCTTTCTACCCCCGATGCCGAAGAAGAGCAGGACATGTACAACCAGGAGTTGTACCATAGTCAGAGTCTCGATCAGTATGACGATGGTGGCTCTGCCAACTACCTTTCCGCCGGCTACGTAGCCAAAGGTTTCAAAAGTTCTGAGCATCTCAGCGCTGGACTTAACTCCCGTCCTCGTGCCATTTCAGTAGGCAATCTCGACGACCCCTCACGTGCTTTGCATCGCCGCGTCGCTGGTGGTGATCTCAGCCCATCGCCGTATGCGTCGGATTTGTCGTCCGCCGCGCTTGGTTCTGGTAGCCTCACTCCTGGCATTTTACGTTCCGAGCAGCTGAATATGCGTGCTGGAGCAGGACCTTCCGTTCATTTTAATGCTGGCGACATTCCCAGTAGCCGTGCATCGCCATATTTGGCTGCACCGAATAGCCAGGGTCGCTCGATCTCCCCCAAGAGCTCGGACAATGCGGCGACGCAGATGCAAACACCGACGCGCTCGCTATGGATCGGCAATCTTGATAGCTCGGTAACTAGCGAGCAGCTTATCCATGTGTTCGCTCCCTACGGAGCTATAGAGAGTTTGCGCTTACTACCAGAGAAGGTGGGCACCAGCACTTGCCTCGCGCTGTCACTCTAACAAAAAAACTTAGGAGTGTGGATTCGTCAACTTTGTCGACCAAGCCGATGCTATTCGCGCAAAGGATGATGTCCTTAACCGCCTTGGCGGCGATATTGGTATGCCCAACGGTCAAACTGTCCGCATCGGCTTCGGTAAAGCAGACAGCGCTCCCGTTGCGCCTGCTAAGGGAACGAATCTCAACAGCCCCGTTGCCACCTCTCCCGGTGGTAACGTCAGCAAAAACGCGAGCAACGCAGGCCTCGCCGGCATGGACGCACAACTCCAATCCACCCCGACTCGTGCGCTTTGGATCGGTTCCATTCCGTCTACGACGACTCCCGCGACTATCCTTAGCGTTTTCAGTCCTTTCGGCCCGATCGAATCTGCGCGTGTGCTCACCCACAAGAACTGCGGTTTCAGTACGTTCCTGCTTTGATCGCTCGGCGGTTGAAGCTAACTAACGTTCCCAGTCAACTTCGAGCGTTTGGACGATGCTGTTAGAGCTAGGAAGGCACTCAATGGTCGCGATGTTTTGGGTAGCGATGTCGGTGCCATCCGTATCGGTTTCGCGAAGGTCCCGGTCAAGAACGGCCAAGAGGGAACCGGTCAAGAGGAGGGCGCTGCACCCAACGTCCAAGGCGTCGGCGATCTAAGCGTTGGGGCGACTATTCATGCGCTTCGCAATATCAAGGGCGCGTCCACAATACCGGTTGATCAGCAAGTTTTGAGTGGCAACATTGAGAACTACCGCTCTAACCTTCTTTTGAGCATGATTGGATCCGGTTTGCACAATACTCAGCTTGATGCCGTGAACAAGGCTGCGGGCTGGCAGGCCTCCGTCACCGAACAGCAGATGATTATGAGAGAGTTGAGTGGAGGTGCAGCGGACGCCGAGCCCGACGTCCAAGCACTTGCAGGCGAGTGTCATTCCTTCTTGTGGAGTGGCTGTGGGCTGACGCCACGTAGAGTTCCGCCCGCCCACCATGTACTATACTACTATCCCGTTGGTCTCGGAGAGGTCGCACAACAGGCGTTGGGATGCATCCAAACTGCGCGAGCTCCGCAAGCGTCTGGACGCCAGCAACATCACCGTGGAGGAGATAGACAACGTCGCGGCTGATTTTCTCGATGGCGAGATAGTGGATCTTGCCTCGGATTGGCTGGGTAACACGGTAAATACTTCCGAAGGACCTTGAAGACTGCACCAGCTGACGTGTTTGTCTCCAGGTCGTTCAAAAGTTATTCGAGAAGTGTTCTGCCGGGACTCGTCTTGCCATGCTGGAGCGCCTCTCCCCTCATCTCGCAATGATCGGTATCCATAAGAACGGTACTTGGGCGGCCCAAAAGATTATAGAATGCGTGCAGACACCGGAGGAGGTGGCCCTTATTACACAAAACCTCCGGCCGTACGTACCGCCGTTGTTGTTGGACCAATTTGGTAACTATGTTGTACAGTAGGTGCTAGTCTGTCCCAGCCTCTTGAGCTTGCTAACCTGTACACACGCTAGATGTTGCCTTCGCTTTGGCTCCCCTGCGACCGATTTCTTGTTCGAGGCTATGGTTGACCGTCTATGGGAGGTCGCACAGGGACGTTTTGGTGCTCGCAGTATGAGAGCTTGTTTGGAAAGCTCTCACATCACTGTGAGCCAGCAACGCAAGACCGCGACCGCTGTCATCCTCAATTCGATCCCACTCGCGACCAACCCAAATGGCGCTCTCCTATTGACTTGGTTGCTCGATACCTCCAACTTCCCGTCGCGTTATAGCCTGCTGGCGCCCCGTTTTACACCCCATCTGTCACACCTCTGCACGCACAAGCTGGCTTCCTTGACTGTCCTCAGGATCGTCAACCAAAAGGTGGAACCCGAGGCATCTGCTCAGGTTGTGGAGGCACTCTTCCAGTCTCTGAACGACCATGTCCTCACCGACGTCCTCGGCGACCAAGTCAACGGTGTCGCTGTTGTTCACAAGATCTTGACAAGCCCTTTCGTCAGCCCGGAGCAGCGTCCTGCTTATGTCGAAGCCACCAAGCGTGTGCTCATCGAGTTGAAGGTGATTGCAACTCAGGCGTACCGCCGTCTCATCGAGGAAGTCGGCCTTCCTGTGCCCAACCTGCAGCCCACGTATTCTACGAACGTGCCCCAACCTACGAAGACGAAGTACAACAACCAGAATAACTTTGGTGTTCCTGGCTTGCCTGCCGGTTATCCTTCGACCGATCAGGGATTAGCTTCCATGATGGCTGCGCTGCAAATGGGTGGTCAAAATGCGGCTGCGGCTCCCCCTCGCCTCCAGATTGACCCTGCATATGGCCAAGCGCAGCCTCAAAACGGCAATCGCGCTCGTAGCTCCAACCCCTCGACGGCATTCTCGCCTTCTACTGATCCTTTCAACCCCTTTGCCATGCGCTCTCCTGATCCTGGCACCCCAAGGAACGGGGCGGGGCGCCGCAACGCGTCTGCTCCTGCACAGGCGAACAACGCGATGCCATTCGGTGCACAGTCGCCTAGCCTCACACAGGCTGCGAATATGCTGAACATGACCCCGGCTACATCGTACAACGCGCTGCCAACCCCGCAGTCGGTTCCTCCTCAGCTCTACCAGGCCTATTTGTATCAAATGTACCAACAGAATTCTCCCAACCTGGGTACCTATCACACATAACGTCGTCGCACATCTTCACGGATCATTCCTGGGATTTGGTCATGAAATAACACGAACTTTCCTTCGCAGGCATCAATCATCACTTCCGATCCAACTGGCTCCGCTCGCTTCCATCCTCGATCTCTGTCTGTCTCTTTGCGTGTTCTTCCTCCGTGTGGGTTAACCCGCGGTGCTCAGAAGCACCTACATTATACCCTCTGTTACTCACTCTCGGCCTCAATATCCCCTCCTATGCTCGCAGCGCACACCTCCATCGTTACGTTAGGCAGGGACGATCGTAACTTGCAAGCTCACGCTCACGCCTTTCTTACCACTAAAAGTCGCAAACATGATTTACACGCACGGTTGGAGACCCCTATCGGTTACTGTGCGATCGAACGACCATCGTTTGTCTTGCAGGATTGCGCGGGGTGGATGGCTGGGTTATATCTGTTGATGACATTTTCTGAGATTATTCCACAATGTCTTTTTGTTTCTCGTCTCTGAACGTTTTCCGTCCTCTCTCCTTTCAATGTCTGCTATGACAATGTATAATATGGGATGACTACGTATCAGCCAAGCCTAAGAAATGTATAGAGGATTTCCTGTCGTGCAACATCCCTAACAGGTCGAATAGCCCAAGATAGAATGGTCGTCAGCGTGTTCGGGACCACGAGCAGCCCTTCGGAAGGGACACAGTAGGAACGTTTGCGCTGAGAAGTGGTACTCAAGGATACGTGACTTGGCTCAGTCGAACCTTTCACGATTGCAGCCCGGGCCCACGCCACATCGCCTAAACGTCTAGTGAAAATTCGGTATGACTGCTACATCTGCTTGACCCACCTTCATCGTGGTGACTTCAGAGCCATCATCCTTGAGTATCCTCTTCACAGAAGCGGGGTCCACGGTGGGCGTATTCACATAGCGAGCAAGACCTTCAAGCTTACTAACGTCGATGTCATACCGCTTTGCCAATTTCTCGAGTTGCTCTTGGCTTTTCACAGATTTACGCTCTTCCAGCAGATCACTAAGGGCCCCAGCGAAGAGATGGCCCTTTGCAGGCTGAGAGGTACGCGCCTCCAACTCTGATTGGAGTCGCGCTTGGTATACACGGTTTGCATGGTCAACGGCCTGACAGAAATGAGCCCGACGTGGATTACTGCGATAGATGTCCTTGAAGGCTTACAGGTCGTATGGTCTGCATGTGGTGGTCGACCTTAACAGGGCCGAGTTGGCTCAGTTTCTGGAGGAAGTGCGGGTCCCGTGCGTCTTGTTCAATGGCTAACTTCCGCGCGACCCGCGCCGGACGTGTGGGTGTTGGCCCAGTCACAATACTCGGGGCGACAAAAGGGCGTACCTGCAGTCCTAGTATCGCTAGCCTCCGATGGTCTTGCTATCGAACCTGGCCCCGGCGGCTCCGGGTTTTCTCCATAACCAGGTGTACGTGCCCCCGCCCATGATGGCTTGGGCTTCGTTGTCGTCTTGGGTAGTTGACGTGCAGCCTTTGATGATGCCGAACCCATCTTCGAGGCCGTCCAGAGTGGTGATGAAGATATGAGGTAACGGAGTTCCGATTGGAGACGCCCATCTGTACATCCGCGATTCGCGTCCGACGTTCTACTTCAGGAGACCCAAGCGCACTGTATCTTCTCTCTATACCATCGCCAGTGCTCCTCTATACTATTGCCAGCGTTCCTCTCTGCTCTCGGACAAGAGTCCATGATGCTGCGTTCGTCCCGCACCCTTACGCAGTCCGCCCCTCTGTCTCGGAAGCGGTTATTCTCCCAGGCATCAACATCCTCAATCTGTGCTCGCAAGCCCTTGCAGGGGCGCGCAGCCCTAACTTCAGCCTCTGCGATTGCAGCGGCTGGAGGTTTGTGGTACGTGACGCGCGAAGAAATCCACAACGACGCTGTCATAGCTCCTACCGCTGCGGCTGCGGGCAAAAAAACTACCGTCACGGGTGTTTCTCGTCAAGACGGCTCTCTTGCCACGCTCGTTTGGGGGTCAAACAAGTGCGTCTACATCTGCGTACGATTTCCTCACCTCTGAACGCAAGATAGGAATCATCTCCTTTCTGCAGACAGCCAAATACCAGACTCCGTGCGAACTCCCGCCGCTGTAGACTGGCTCCAGGACATCGCGCTTCGTGACATTGCACTACAAGAGAAGCATGCCGCCTGTATCGACGCCAATGGGGACGTATATCAGTGGGGAGACGGCTTCTTTGGGTCCTCCGGTTCAGCAAGTTCATCTTCTGGCAAGCCTGTCTTGACTCTTCGGGGAAAGGTGTGCACCCATACCGCATGTGCCCACAGTTGAAAGCGAGCTTGATGATTCTGTGTGCTACAGAATGTTATGTGCCTTCAGGCGACCGCAGACCGGGTTTTCGCTTTGTCAGCATCCGGTAGGATTTACGCCCTAGCAGCGAACCAGGTCAAGCAAGAACTCTCCGCGGGCCAGCCCATCCCTTCGAGCAACCCGTGGTGGGGAACAGGATGGTTCTGGGGAGAAGAAGAAATCATTGACTTTGCGGAGATTATGCCACAAGAAAAGTTAGGCTGGAACGAAAGGTCAGTCATAATCGAGCCGACGGAAGACGAATGCTAGAACTATACACAACAGATTTGTTTCAATCTCTGCTGGTAAAGATCACATACTGGCATTGACTAATACCGGGCGTACATTTGCCCATCCCATCAACCTTCAGGCTAATGCTTACGGACAACTGGGTATGCGGAAGGTGGACGTTCCCGACCACTCACACGATGGGCACCCCCACCTGCACCACATTCGTAAACAGCTTGATCTGACCCCCAAGGCAATCGCCGACCCGTACGCAAAGTCCACGCCTGCGGTTCGCCGAGCTACAGAACCTACGGAGTCGAAAAGCCTAGAGCTAGCTGTTAACGACTCAAGTATCCATTTCTCCGATCGGTTATTTGAGGTGCCCGCCCTGGAAGGCGTGAAGGTAGATCGTATTGCAGCGGGCGCGCGAAGTAGTTTTGTTCTATCAGGAGGCCGCGTTCTAGGCTGGGGGGCTAATGAGTTTGGGTACGTGTGCGTTTCATGCTTCGTGTTCTTAGCATGCTGATAAGTGGTGGTTGCAGGCAGATTGGACTAGGAGGCAACGTCACTCTGGCGGTAATCACTGTGCCCACTGAGGTTATCCTGTGGAGGACCACACCCCGCACGACGAAGACAACGTGTCTGGACATCTATGCCGGTGCGCAGTTTCCTCCAGACCCAGAATGTGGATATCACCTTACACGATAAAGTAGGTGGTGATCTGGCTTTTTTCAAAGTTGAGCGAGTGGATGGTACGGCCATGCCGTTTGTCGACGTCCTCGCCTGCGGTAACGGACAGTGGGGTGGGCTCGGTAACAACCTGTTCAGTAATGGTCAAGGTACACCTGTCCGTGCCAGGAACGTCAGCGGACTAATGGAGTGTACGTCCAGTCTCCATCTCGTCGTGATCCGCCTTAGTCGATATTAACTACTACACGCCAGATGACGAAGGCTCAAAGAACTTGCAGCCGATATACCCGCACCAAATATCTGTGTCACCGGATGGACACGTCCTACTGACCCTCGAGACGCTCTCGCGAGGAGGTCCAGGCGGCGCAGGCCGAGACTTACTCGTGTGGGGTGCAAACCAGGAGTTTCAGCTTGGGAATGGCAAGCGTGGAAGCCTTGCCGTTCCAACGGCCCTGCATGCCCTTAATGGTGAGCGCGTTATCTTGGGCAAGCGCAGGGCAGATATCAGGGACATGAAGGGCAAGGTCTGGAAGAAGGGCGTGCAGGTTGAGCAATGCGCAGTCGCTGGTTGGGGCAACAGTGTTGTGTACTGGAGGATATGCCGGTGAGATTGTTTGGTAGTGCTCGCGTTTATTTCTGCCTCAAACGGGAGGTCGCTGCATCCCACGACGGAAGATTCTCACCGCTCCGCCGGTTTCTCATCATGTTCTCAATGCTCATTATTCCGTGTAATCTACTGTGTCAAAATCACCACTCAGCGAACTTGTCGGAGTGACGAAGAGCGTTGGACATCAGGCTCGTGGACACCTCATGGTGGACTTGTCTTTATTGTGGTTGACATCACCTGCCATCGCTATACACAAAGTCGGAAGAGAGGATAAGTTCTACCCAAAGTGGAGACTGACAGGGGTGCGACGATCTTGTCCAAGGGAGCTCTCGGTACCCATCCTGTGCTTTATTGCCACCCTGCGTCACAACCGCCGTACAGGCCGCCCTTTCTCTCTCCTCCTCTCCGTACCTCTCTCTACTACTCTAGTCCTTAGTCCGCACAATATATCTATCCTTAGTCGTCGTCACCCAGCTGAGCCCAAGCAGGTTTCGCCCAGCCATGGCGACCGCCCCCAGTTCCGCCGCCATGTCGCGCGTCCGTTCGCCATCCTCCCTCGCTTCATCCTTCAACTTCATCGCGTCACCGAACGCCATGCACGCCAATGATCTTGCACTCAGCTCTGATGACTCCTTCGAGAGCCTCTCCGAGGATAGTTCGTCCGACGACGAGATCGTCTGGTCTGTTTCGGACCTCTCTGCGTCGTTCATCTCGAGTCAGCGCGACCCCCGCTCGCCGTCCATCTTCTCCGAAGACGACTTCATCGTGCTCGGCCAGCCAAGCCGTGCCGATGCACCCACCAGCCCGCGTAGCTCGGACGCCCCGAGCGTATCTGCGGACGGCCTCTCGGACGTGTTCAACGACCTCACGATCGAGGATTCCTTGGACGCAAGTAGCAACTTCAGCTCTTCGAGGCCTGCGTCACAGGCAGCGACCCCTTCTAAGCGGAGCAGGAGGCCTAAAGCGCGAGCCGCGGCAACTGTATCAGCAGCACCGTCGCCCGCACAGATGCCTACCGCGCCGGTCACACCGAAGCGCAAGAGGAAGGTCAAAGCCGCGCCCGCTCCCGCTGCAAAGGAGGTCGTGCCGAAGAAGAGCAGGAAGAAGGCCAAGGCGAAAAAGGTTCAGCCTGCTACAGAGGCCGGTCTGGGCGCACGGCCTATTGTCGACGATGTCTCGGAGGCGGGAGACGTAAAGACGGTTTCGCTTTATGACGATGCCGTCCAATACATCTCTTCGTGAGTCTTTCATACTCTTATGACTCTACTTAAATTAACAAGGATGATCTATACAGCTTCCTCTCGTCTCCCTCCACCGAAGTCAAAGAGAGGGGTAACCTCACGTTCCTGCAGGCTCTGATCGTCGAGCTCGGTCTCTGTTCTGCGACGACGTCTACGTCGGAACAGTACTTCTACACGCTCCCGAGCCTCCCGCGGAGCATCAAGGCTGCGAAAGCGCTCCTCAAGTCAAGTGCATTTCTTAATGTGCGCGACTACCTCGAGCAACGCGACAACGGCCTTGATGCGCTCCGCAAGGTCATGCACCCTAGCCGCAAGGCTCTCGTGAAGGATCTTAGTCGTGGTAAAGGCTGCCGGAAGGTACCCCGCGACTTCGTGAAGAACACTGGCCTCGGTGTACTGCTTGTGACGTGCTACTCGTAGGCACTCCTTGATTCCTGGGTACCAATAGTAAGATTTCGCTGCTCTTGGTCCTTGTATATTAATCTCCTCGCCTCTTTGGCTTTCGTCACTTAAATATTTTTATGTACGATGTTCGACCGCTCATCTTTCTTGGTCGTCTGTCAACCCACTTGCCTTCTATCTAACTCTCGATGACCACCACTTTCGTATATAATTGTATTATCATGCTGTGGAAACTTCCTCTTGCTGCCCATGCCGTATATAATTTCCATGGGTACTGTATCATCTCGTAGCCGATTCTCGACCATTCCCAAGTATATGCTCTTTTCCTAACGGTCTGATATGTGCACATCGCGATAAGTCGCCCGCCAAGTTCCTGGTAGCTTTAATTTCAATGCGGGCCATTACGCGACGTGAATTAGTCGTACGCATTTCACCCGCGAAGCCTAGTGAACACGGCTGTGGTGGTCACGAGATGCATCACACCTCCTCATGACCCTTGGCCACAGGAGACTCTCAGAGAAGCGTGGCGAAACCGCATCCGCAGAAGAAACACCGGCGAACTGCACTGAGAAGATCCTCGACGAGCCAGCTGCGCGCCGAGGGGGGCAACCAACGCATGACCGAGGTGGGCGGTGGGAGGAGGGCCTTGCGGCTGCAGCCCATGCACGTGCGCACCATTGGTGTACTGAGGATGAAGGATGTGATTGAGCAGCGCGCTGCCAGGGTCCATCAGTCGTCGTGTCAGCTCTCATTTCTCAGTAGATTAAGCTGGAACGAGACGTACGCCAGATGTGTCCGTTCGGACACGTAGCGGTGTTAATGTCCTGCAACGACACCTTGCCACGGCACGCAGGACACTGTTCATCAAGCCCCAGGCTCGTCGCATCTGTAATCGTCGAGGGCACCGTGGCCTGGATCTGCGTCGAGAGTTCGTGTGCCTCTTGCTGGAGATCGTTCGGGATATCCGGCAATAGAGCCTGCACGATGACGCGGAGGACGAAGGGCACGTCGGGCTCTGTTCGCCGGAATCAGCTATGAAAGTGGCATAGTATGAATATACAGGACTACCAGTAAGGAGGGAAAGCACCGCGGCGATGTGCCGGAGGACAATACGTAAAAGCCTGGGCCAGAGCGTACCGACCGTGTCCGCAACAGCCTTACGGAAGGCTTCTCGTATCGCCTCATCTTCGCTCTCATGCTAAATTGCAATAGCCACCGACACGTCAGCTACGTTTATTGATCCTGGGGTCGCCTCGCGCGGACCACGCACCTCGCAGAAACTCGCCAGCATGACGCACAGGCGTTGCGATAGGAAGCTGTTGCGGCCAAAGAGGTGCGTCCGCAGTGATCGCCGAAACTGCGCCCGGAAAGCTGGGGTCAGTGGACCAGTCCAGGCGGAAAGCACGGTGTTGGGGAAATCGTCAGGAAGATGCTGCAGGCGCACGAGGGGGAGAATGCGGGGGTGCAGGCGGCGGAGACGGTCGGGATCACGGAGCTCTAGGAAGAGAGGTCGAAGGGTGGCTATGGGAGATTCGCCGGAAGCTACAAAAGCGTACAGAAGCAATCAGCTTAGAAAATGGGGATGAGCTCAGGGAGATGTGCGAACATGCTTTGCACCGCGAGAATACATCCGCTACATCTTGCATGACATGATCATCGCTCTTGCCGTCCCAGAGCTGCGCGGCGAGTATCATGCTCGTATGTTTGGCATCGTGCTTGTAACTGAAATCTGTCGGTCGAAGACCTCTGAAGTATACAGTGAGCATCCACCTCTCAGAAAGTAACGAAGAACAACCCACTCATGTATCCAGATGTAAAAGGAATCACCATCGTAAGATGTCATCCCATGTATCGCGTTCACCTGTTGTTTGTCTACATCATCCTCTTCGACCTTTATGAACGCTGAACGCGCCGTCTTCGAGATCGATTCTGAGGTCAAATTGTCTTCCGGGATTCCTAAGGCCAGCGTCGGATCGGAAGTGACTTTTCGCACAATATGCAAGGATCCATCTGCTAGGCTCACGACAAGTGCGTCGCATCGTGGTGAATATGTGACGCCAGTAACTGTTGCGAGTGGCGTAGAACCGACTGATAGATTCTGCCTGTGTAAAAGTATCGTACGGAGACCTGACCACGCCGTGAACGCCGAAGGCTTGGACCAGAGATGAAGGACGCCAGACTTGGTGAATACAAGGATGGGCTGGACTTCATCCGTAAGTACATAGCGAGTAATCATAACCACAAGACTAACCTCAGCACGAGAAGTGTTGATCCAGCGCAGAGATGTTGTCGCTCTTTTGTCCCCATGAATCACCTCTTCCTTCACATCTTCTGTAGAGGTGATGAGATCATACTCAGGATGGAAAGCCGGCATATTAGAGCACGCTGCGAGTGTTTGAACAACAGCCACGACAGTCACCGAACCGTCAGCAAGTGCGCAAGCTAGGTATGTCTGTGCTACACATAGTGTAAGCCGCCGTACCAGCGCAGAAGTGCGTGACCATGACGGACGTACAAGTCTCAGGACGCGTGCATATCGCGGTGGACCAGGCAAGATGAGTTACCCATCGTTCCCCGATGACTACGCTTGTTACACGCCGCATAAGATGTGACGAGTTAAGCCCTTGGTTGTACCTGAATGCTGAGGTAAACGGTTATAATTCGCGAGTACGTGTTGCGCACTCGTCACTGACCGTAAAATATGAACGCGGCCAGCTCTGTTTCCGATGGCGAGAAGAGAACCATCCACATCCGGTGCAGGGGACATGCCAAAGTCTACTGACGGTGACCATGCAATGCCTACACGGCAAAGCAGTGTCAGGACGTTTGCAGGGTACTTCGTATGAGCAGCATACATGTGGATTGTCTGTGAAGTGTCTGGCAAAGGACCTTCTTTTCGTCGTCGTCCGGTATCAATGTCTCACTAGCGTCTGTAAGAACCTGATGCAAATCGGCGAACTGTGTACAAGAAGTCAGAACTATTGACTCTTGTAGTGATAAACTCCTACCTTAAGCCACTGTCCAGTCAACGGATCCTTTACAGGCCTGAACAGAAAGATTTCTGCATTGGAATCCAAGACCGCATATATGCACCCAGCATCTGCGTAGATATTGCTCGGTGAACACGTCACAGCACGAAAGGACGGGTCCGTGGACCCCAGCGACACGGATCCCCACCAGTCTGCGGCATGTTAGCGACATGGGACAGCTCAGTCCAGTTTACATCACCTTTGGTCACTTCAGCCCAAACGTGCAGATCAGACTCCTTTCCGTTCCCAAGCATGGTGCGCAGCCAGCCAATAGGTTTTTGACCACCTATTGTCAAGGTTCTATCCAGAGTCTGCTTAATAACAGACGACTCGTCGACAGCGATTCCGGGCTCTGGTGTCTAGCACATGAATGAGTCGCGCACATGGAGAGATAAAGTCGAGCGTATACGAGAATATAGATTGCAGATTTGCTAAGCAATATTGCTTGCCCGTCAGCAGACCATTGTATGCAGCCTGCTGAAGGAAATGTAGAGACCGCAGGCAGACTGAGCGCAGTAAGGATGGGATAGCTGGGCATTATTGAAGACGACGGTTGACCGGTGACCACGGGCGTGTCTGCTTAAGCTTGCGACCATGAGGAAACAAAACCTTGCACGTATATCGCGTTTCTTACCAGTTTCCCCGTCTGTGCAGTGGGAAGTCAAGGTGCTGACAGCCTAGCCAATAAAGGAAGATAGGATTTCAGGGCTCCGCGACCGTCGCGTTGGGGTTGCCGCACGCGTCGCGTCTCAAGCGTTAAGTTCCTCTCTGCCAAGTACAACAACGATGACCGTAAGAAATCAGGCCACACCCCGAGGCCGTGCTCATAGCTTACCCAATAGGATCTCACATTCTGCTATCTGCATATGAACGACCATGATTTCGACGTTATAGACACCATAGGCACCTCTGACTACCTCAACGGAGAGCTCTCAGATGACGGTATGCGCTCAGCCACTTCGGCGACGGCCCCATGCTAAAGATGTTTTCCAACATTTAGAGGTAGATATACCACCACACATGGTGCCTCCGAACCCGGACGACTCGGATGGTGCGTGCATGTCCACGCCGAGGGACGACTCCACTTACGACGATCTCTGTAGTCTTGCCTTCTCAAGTGCACCCGTCATACCCATATGGGAACCCAACATCCACCAAACACCCTGCTTCTCTTCCACGAAGGCCATATGACCCAGCGTCCCGAGCTCTGTTTGAAGACATGGGCTATGCGGGTGGCGGCGTCAACGGTGCTCTCAGGTGGAAGGACCTCGCCCTCGACACATTGCTCCCAGTCGATGAGGAGAAGGAAGAGGCCGAGCGAGCTGCCCAAGCTAGAAAGATGGCGAGTGGAGCATCGCAGCACCCTCCACACCCGGCCCCTGCGCCTGCCGTGCCCGTAGCGAATGCAGATACAGATGAGGAAGACGATGAAGAGGACTCGGAGAATGATGAGAACGAGCACGATGATGACGAAGATGAAGAAGATATCGAAGGTTCGGAGTCTGGACAGGGGGAAGAGGAGGAGGAAGAGGAAGAATAATAGACCGCTCCATGGTCAATTATCGAACGTTGTGCGTATTTGTGGTGGGCCCCTACGATTTAGCTATACTCCTTCCGAATCTCCCTAGCTGCTTCGTCAAGCAAGTACCTCGCATATGCGCGGTGCGCCCTCAATACCCACTGTGGGACAACCTTCCCTGGCTCCTTCTCTCCTTTGATAATCTTGTAGTCGTGCGCGACGGCAAAGCGAACCTCGACCATAGTCTCATCCTCGCCCGGATATTGGCTCAGAGGCCCAATACTCCATTCATGCCGGCCTCCTTCCATAAGCCTCCATGGATAGCCCCATGCTGCGAGCTTCTCGAAGAACCGTACGACGTGTGGCGGGTTCTCCCATTCGACAAGCAGGGGTACGTACTTGGCCGTCGGGGCGCGGACGACGTGCATGACATTCGCCAGAAGACGCTGCCCCTGATTGAACCCCTGCTCGCCCAGATCGCCCTCGTCACCGAAGCCAATGAGCTTAGCTTCCAGCTTCATAGTGGGCGACAGGAAAAATGCTCTAGGCCACATCTCCTCGAGCGGCGTCCGGCCTATCGCGTCGGGCCTACGCAACCGACACATGGCACCCAGGGGCACGCGGGTGGCGTAGACGTCGACATACGCTGTGCGGAGGTCCGGAGTCTTCGGTGTACGCAGTTCGGGTGTCGATGTGTCTTCAGGCGGAAGAAGCGGATAGTCGCGTTCGAGCGCGAGGATTCGAGATCTGATGTATAACGCTGGCATGGCTGCTAGGCCTGTGCCGATAACCAGAGTACGGAGACGTGGCATCTTGGGTGGGCCTCACAAAGGCTTTGGGAGTGTGAGCTGGTGGTGAGGGCGTGGATGAATCAAGATGCGAACGCTCCCGAACGAGATCCGGAATCTTCTGGCCGTACTGTGAATGGCTATAAGTACTCATGCCATGGTCTTGTGAGGTGATTGTGAGTACCAAATGACAGTGACGATTGAGTGCCGAGACGCCCACCAAAAGAGAGCGGGGTAGCGCATCAATGCATCATTTCTGATCTGGGCGTATGGCGGGATTGTGTGACGGACCTTCAGGGTACCAAACTCTTGCTCATTTACCCCGTCCTCGCCCTCATACATTCTTGCATGCTGCCGGTTCATGCGCTCACTCGTCTCCGGGCTAACTCAAGTTCTGGGTGCTCTTCATATACTGCAGAGCTCGCACAATGTCTGCGAGACATCGCAGTGTACCCCTGGCCTTGCCCTCTTTGAGAGATCCAGGTATTTCTGCACGCTGTGACAAAAAGAAAATCATCTAATGCAATTTCAGCGGACCTTGAACTCGGTCGCTGCATCCAAACAACGGTTTACAGTCCTGCAGCTGTTAAGCACAACAAGACATCATGCGCGTTGAGGTTTGTGTTGAGGTGGTCTGGGACACAGCCGCGTCTGACCGTTGTCTATGCTAGATGCGCCACACCATCCCTCTCGTAAAGTATTCCTCAGACGAGGGGATTGTTCCACCCCTGCTAAGCCACTACCCGCCATTGCAGGCATACCTCAACCACGGCGACTTTGAAGTCAGAACACTCCCGAAGACACCTGTCCTTCCAGAGGTTACGCACGCGCATGCGAGCAACCTGTCTAAGGCCAAGTCTGCGTTGGACCCTTCCTCGGAAGCGCCTTCGACTCGGAGGGAAAGAGAGGGCAAGAAGAATGTCTCTGTGGACACGCCCCCCACAGGGCCTTCTCCGTTGGAGTACATTCTCTCCGCCAACATCCTCCTCGTGCAGTCGCTCATTCTCATCCCACTTATGTTACCCACGGGCCTCAGCTTTGCCAGGCGCTCGGTGCAAATCCTGCTCACCGGCCTTGCAGTTCACTCCACAATGAAGCTTCTATTCGCATCGCCCAACATGACACTATCCGTCCTGGCCCCGTTTTATCATTTCGCAGCATCCGATTCCATTCGAAGTTCATCCTCCTTTGTACCCGCTCTTCTCTCTCGTCTTGCAATTGCCGCGCTTGGAGGGGCGGTCACCAGAGCTGCGATGGCCCACGCCCTCAATGCGCTGGTCATCGGACACACCATTTACCGCCTTGCATGCGGGCGTGAGCCCGACGCGATGATAATGCTGGCCTCGATGGATGCGCGCATCCAGCCCATAAAGCCCATGCTTCTCGACCTCACCACAGTGGGCTTCATGGTCCCGACAGGCCTCGCCGCACAGCGCTGGGCATGTGCCATCCTGCATCTCCCAGCACCTATCCCGGACACCACAGCCTGGGACATCGTTACGATTGCATTCGCAGGGATGGCTGCGTTACATGGTGCTGGCTTGGCTTTTCGTGGGGGATATAAGCAGAGTACAGGCTTGTCTGCAAAGCCCAATAGGTCCTGACTTCTGATCGGCTTTTGGCGACTCGAGCCTGGCGCCACAGCTGCAGCCATACAGCGCGCTCTGACACGACTCGAAGATTAGAAACAGAGATGTACGAGGGCCAACCATCCCCTGTGCTGAGACATTGAACCATATTACCAGCTGTTCACCATACATGGGATATTTTTATGACGGGCACACCGGACACCCGCCCTTCGGGCGTATTCAGTGGGACTATTCGGGTTTGTCGTCTACAAATCGTATGTGGATTGATCTTCGCCGTCAGTCTCACTATTCTATAGCAGCAGTGCCTTGCATGTAGCTGATTAATATACCTAATGATGAAGGCATTTGCACACGACATCAACGTTCAAATCCAGCATCAAGCTATCCTCGGGCAGCATTCTGCTGCAGTTCAAGCCGACCAACATCTCACTGTGCCGCTTTCTTATCGAGAATAATGTAGCTGATGATGAACGCGTCATGACAGGTCACGATATCCCTCTCCTACGAGCCGAAACACAAACGTGTGCGTCATGCAAGCGGCAGGTGGCGTACACGACGTTGCCGGCCACTCGCAGCGCCCACTGGGTGCCCCCAAACGTTCGCTAAGTCGTGGAAGTAGTGTCTAACCTCGCCGCCATCAGAAGACTAAGTGAGGACGGCGAGTATAGAATGTTTCAGCCTGCACAGGAAGGAGGTTTCCACACCAATATAAGAAGGGACTCGTCTGGAGACAGATAACCCATCGCCCCTTGGGCCTTAGTCTTGACATCCTCGAAATAGTGACAGTCTGCGCGGTATCCACCATGACCATCCATACACAGCAGTTCGACAACTCCCTCTTCAATGGCTCAGTCTCTGTGAACACCAACCTGTTCATCGATGGCGAGTTCGTTGACCCTCTGGAGCGGCACGACATAGAGTAGGCTTGTAATTCTTATCACCTGAATGTTGCTGATGATGCTCGGGCCATAGAGTCACCGACCCAAGTTAGAATTTTTAGACTCGGTACAAATGATCGATCTGACCAGCTGTTCATGTAGCCACCGGCAGGGTCATCACCACTATAGCGGCGGGTGGCAAGAAGGATATCGACAGGGCTGTCGAGGCTGCCCAAAAGGCAGCCCAAACGACCTGGGGCAAGAATGTCTCCGGGACGCAACGTTCGCATCTTCTTTTCAAACTTGGCGAACTCATGGAGAAGCATAGCGATGAGCTGGCGGCACTTGAGGCGCTGGACAGTGGTGCGTTTGGTCGTAGGGCCTTCGTGCTATGAGAGTACTGAGGGATGTGATAGGCAAGCAATACGTTAACATAAAGACAATGGATCTTGCGAATGCTATCAACACCGTAAAGTACTATGCTGGCTGGGCTGACAAGCTGGGCGGTAAGACAATCGAGGTACGTCGGACTGCCAGCACTCCGAGTCCATGTCATACTCACTTATCACAACACAGACCGACCCTACCAAATTTGTGTATACGATTCACGAGCCGATTGGCGTTGTGGGGGGGATCATTCCCTGGAACTTCCCTTGTGAATAGTCTCAGTCTGCGAGCTGCCCGTCTGGCTGATGATGTGGTAAACAGTGATGACCGCGTCTTGGAAACTCGGCCCTGCGCTCGCCACCGGAAATTGCGTTGTCCTCAAGCCGTCGGAAGTGACGCCTCTTGCGGCGCTCAAATTGGCCGAGCTTATCCAAGAGGCAGGCTTCCCTCCCGGTGTGGTGAACGTTGTCCCCGGTCTCGGCTCTGTCGCTGGCCAGGCCCTCGCAGAACATCTCGACGTTGGCAAGGTCTCTTTCACCGGGTCGACTCTCACGGGTCGCAAGATCATGCAATCGTCGGGCAACAGCAATCTAAAGCGTATCACGCTCGAGCTTGGTGGCAAAACGCCCAACATTATCTTCGATGATGCTGATATTGAGCAGGCCGTCAGGTGGACTTTCGCTGGTTTTACGTGGGTACACTTAGCGGTAGCCATAGCGGTTGTTGCTAAAGCACTACACTGCCAGCTTCCATGCCGGACAAATGTGCACGGCTGGGACCAGAATCTATATTCAGGAGGGAGTTTACGATAAGGTCATGGAGCAACTCGTCGCGGCCGCCAAGGCCTCTGCCAATCCCGGCACCGGATTCGACCTTACCCCGCAGCTTGACCCTGTCGTCTCACAGACACAGCTCGATGTAAGCTCTTTGCTATCTCTACATGTCGTACACAATCATTCAATTCCAACTCAGCGTGTTCTGGGTTACATCAGCTCTGGCAAGGACCAAGGAGCCAAGATCGCCGTGGGTGGCGGCAGGCTCGGCAAGGAAGGCTATTTCATCGAGCCGACACTGTTCACGGACGTCAAGCCAGACATGAAGATTGTCAAGGAAGAGATCTTCGGACCGGTTGGCGTTGTGATCAAGTTCAAGACTGAAGAGGAAGTCTTGCGAGCGGCGACCGACTCTACGTACGGCCTGTCGGCGTGTATCTACACCAAGGATGTAGACCGAGTGGCGCGCTTTGTTTCTGCTCTTGAAACAGGAAACGTTTACGTACGATGTCATTCATCTTTCAGGCCTGGCTGGAACTCATTATATTATATTGACAATGTCAGGTCAACGTTGTCAGTATGCCTGACTATCGAGTGCCGACGGGTGGTTACAAGCAATCCGGCTTTGGCAAAGACCTTGGCGAGTACGCTCTCGAGGGGTACGTAATACTGGACGTGGAATACTGTTGCATTCTGACCTGATCGTATGCTACAGCTACACCAACGTCAAAGCTGTTACAATCAACCACGGCCAGAAGTTGTAAACGGGCCTTTGTCCACCATATTTTGCACTGGCACTATATGTTGTTTGTATGTTTAGCTGCTTCACAGAGGTTACATATGAGGTGTATCATGTACTATGCAATAGAAATTTGGATATTCCGTGGTAACAGAAGACCTCAAAAGATAGAAGTGAGGCGGGCCTATCACTGGACTCTGCCTTTTGTGCTCTTCGACTGACGCCCACCCATCAGACTCTTCTCTTGACCGTCACCACATCCGCTCTAGCGGTCGAGGGCGGGAAGGATGTGGCCCGACCACTTCACCAGTCACGCAGGGCAAATCAGGCGAAGCATCGTTATGGTCCCGTTCAAGTTGTGCAGGCGTCCTTGGCTCTCTGCCACGTCAGTAAGACATCAGTTTAGGGTGCTAGTACTGTATTACGCAGCCTGCCCTAATGACGGCCATATTCTCAAGGTTCCGAATAAGCTTTGCTCTTGACTCGGGCCGAGAGAACCCACGAACCTTTCAAGTTGCGGATGCAGCGTGTCCGCCTGGCGCCGGCGAGAGACTCAGTCATTCTGGCAGCAGCGGCAGAGCCAGGCACCTCCGTTCAGTCGCACGGTCGCCTGATGCTGCGATCCCCTGGCCTCTTCCCTGTCTCCGTACTCCTACGCCGCAGCTTCGCTGTTGGGCCCTAGGGCCTTAAGGTGGCGACAGACACGAGATCACTGCCTCAATATCTGATGCAACAGCTGCGGCGAGATCCTACACAGCGCAACAAGAGCGACAGACGCGTGTGTGCATACGTGTTCAACTTCTTGCTTCTCCCTTGTACCGACCATAATCGCCTCAGCACTTCATACATCCAGCCGTTCTGGCAAACGTTTACCGGCGGTGAGCTGTGCCACTCCTAGCTTTCAGGATAAGTCTTGAGCATTGTCTTAAGTAGTACAGTGCTAGAGATAACTCTAGATACTATGGCAGAGCCCACGAGCGTGGCAGCTCCTACCGCACCAGAGGTGTCACCGTGTAGTCCCTCAGTTCCGCTCGCCATCAGGATCTATCGCCGAATTGTTGCCTGTATTCTGGCGGCGACGCTTACGTTCACATTCATCTCATCCACTGCCGCCATCCTGCTTGTCTTCCGCACCATTAAAGCGCTGCCGCTTACTCTCTTTTTTGTCGCCGGATGGCAGTCCTTTCAAACCAGCACCTTCTTTCCTATTTCTCTCAACCTCTTCGGAGGCAGCATCGTCGCCTTCCTTCGAGTGTCCGCGATAGGCGCTGCTCTGATAGGGATAGCGGTCGGCTCTGTGACCTCTATGCTGATGGGCACGGCAGCGCTGCTAGCATCGTCTCGCTGTCGCAAACACGTCCGCGACTACATAGACCGGGCAAAGGCCAAACATCTTGCGAAGGACTCGGACCGGCCACTCATCATCAAGCTCTCCTGGAACATCTCCACAACCGCCGCCCAGATGTCTCTCGGGATGCTTGTCTCACAGTGGTATGGCAATGATCATATCGACACCGTCATCTCCAATCCCGTGCGCTCTGTCTCCTGCTCTGTACTGGGACTCATCTTGTCCGAAGCCTTGATGGACAAGTGGGTCTGGTCTAAGTACAGAGCGCAGCTACTTGAACAAGACCAGAGTCCGGCACCCGCTGAGCAGACGCCTATCTCTCTTCCTGATGCCAAGGTGTAGCACCGTTTGCTGGATATGGTGAGCTACCTTTCCCGGTTTGGCTCACGATCTTAAATAAGCTGCACAGATCTACCTCTTGCCATATCTTGACCAGTATCCCCGTGCTCATTTGTTGGTACCTTCAATTTTCGCCAGCTATAATTTACCGCTGTTCCGTGCCATCGCGTGCTCCCCCCCGGCTCAGCTTGTTCACCTACATATGTCATTGATTCTCATGTAGGCCATTAACTGTTGCAGTTGTAGTTATATTCTAAATTATGCTTCCGTTCGCAACGCCCCACTCTTGACACTTTACCTCCCCACCCCATGTTCAGCAACTCAGCACACCGCCTCATCTTTGTATGCCGCGGACTCAAATCCAGTAGTGTATCATGCAAGACGTAGTCTGAAAACAGAGGCTGGTGAAAAGCTAACTTATAGACACGTATGACAATCACCTGACCTCGTCTGTATAGTATTACTCTCGAGGTCGACTCAAGGTTGACAGACAACGTTGTCGTCAACAACTTTGGACAGCTGATGACCTCTCCTGACCCCACCTGGAGTCTTCTTCAAGCCGCTCTTGCTACTAGCAGCGGCTCAAGCCACTCCTGAGCTGTGCTCAGAACCGGTAGCTGATACTCCAGCAAAAATTGGTTTCATTTCGCTGTCAAAAATTTGCAAGTCAACGAGGTTCAAATTGTTGAGATTGACTTTTCCACATGCCCTTGGACGCAAGACTTTGAAGTAATCTACTTGCATCTTGCGCTCAAGCATCAACTTACACGCAATATATGTCGCTTCGCGTCTCGGGCCCTGTCGTTTGCTCGGCTGACATGAACCCACAAGTCACCTCACAGCTCGAAGCCAGAGCGAGCGAGAGATATGCATTTGGCATTCGATAGGTCGCCAGCCAATTCAGCACGAGACAGCAAAGATCGCGGACTCGCAGCGCTATGCATGACACGGGTGAGTAAGCAACAGGCTGAGAAACGCAGGCTTGCCTCAACGCCATGCCAGCCAACCTCGCCGACGAACTTCCTCTCGTCCTCAACGACTGCGCTCTAGCCGCTCTTGAGTACCTCACCGCTCGGACCTCTTGCAGGAGCCGACCGGTGAATTTCACGGCTGCCAGCTGGAGCTGTGCGCGGTTCGTAAACTCCTTGAATGTTCAAATAACGAACTCGGTTGCGGGCGCGGTGGACGTCCTAAGTAAATCGCTTGAGAGCTGGACCCGGCACATGAGAATGAGCTCTGGCAACCTTGGCAAGTCTGAAGTGCAGAGCGGGGCACTGTTCTTTGTCTGCCACCACGAGTCTATGTGTCTCCTGTGCTTCAGAGGGGATCTAAAGCTTGCGAGATGTGCTAGGAGCAGCTCACCTATGGCGAGCCAAAGGTATTTTGGCTCCTGGATATTGGCTATACCTTAGCTCCTAAATGCCGAGACCCTATCAGGTCCTGCTGAAGGGGTTAGTACATGTAGGCGAAGGTCAGGACTCAGCCATCTCCACATCTTGGCTAAAAAGCGGCAACCTCTATGATGATGGTCCAGTCAGCCAGATGGACATCGAAAGCGACGGTCTTCACAATTTTGAATGCTGGGCGGGACATGGCGGGATGCGCATCAGGAAAAAGACTTAGGTCTACAATGCTACAGAGTGCTACAGGAGCATTTTGGAGCACTATGGACCCAAGTCCTGTTTCCTAATGCGATGAGAAGGTGAGGGCACAACGCACCCAGATGGACGTCGCTGTCATTAAGTATGTGTTTGCACCAATTCAGTTAATACTTGCTGGGTACGCCATCTGCATCAAATGCTGGTGTAGATTCATCTGTAGATGCAATCAAAAGCTAGAAGCATAAGAGGTACGTCTTAGCACGGATCGCGCTCGGTCAGGACCCTGTGTACCATTGACCGTGCTGTATCGCGCCGTGTGCGGTTCTGCGCTACAGATTATCTGCAACACTGTGTTGCATTTGGTGCATGTGATATTATATCAGTTTGTAGTCTTACATATGCTGCGGTCTAATCTCATGATGCCCATAGCGGCGTTGTCAGTGACACAAAGCGTGTACTTAGCTCAAGTATGGCACAGCCTAGCTTGTCAGCACAATGCCATAAAGTATTGCCGTTTGGGAGATCTCACGCAGCGGAAAAAATGCCTCGAGGGCATGGCGCGTCACTGTGAATGTTCGGAGACGACTCGCATGTTCTGGTTTGAGGTGCCGCACTACTCTAATACTTGGTCGGCTTTGCATGCACCACATGCACTGCAGCAATTTGCACAGTAAGCTGTGCGAGGAGCTCAGGAGTATCCTGTGAGGCAAAAAATCATCTCTGCATGAAGGGCATTAAACCACATACATCTGGCGTTCAAATTTACGACACGTACTTCTAGGGGGTGCCGTCCGACGCAAACTATGAGTTCCCCTGCCGTTCTCGACAATAGGGCCTCAGCTACAGTCAAATACTTCATCGGGAACGGTCTTGCAAACAATAGAATATTTGTCTTCGCAATCTCCAGACGTTGGGCCATCTCGGTCGAGTCCTTCGCTGTCGAGAGTGCAAGCTTGGTGACGGAAGCGTTCAGCGTCTTGTCCATTATACGGATTACAACGTAGAGGCATTGGCGATCTTGGGCCGTAAGACCGCGCCAGACGCTAAAACCGATGTAAATTTAAGAGGATCACAGCCTTTCAGAAATGGTGGTGGTGTACTTAGCACCCGACGAAATCGAGAATCTTCATAAGGATCTCGAAGATTTCGTTGATTGCAGTACGGTTGGCGTGATAGGCATTGCTCGCAGTAGCCTGTGCCATCTGAGCGACTGAAAGGTGCATCATCGTTCTTCTGCACCAGAGGAGTGGCTGGGGGTACTTAACGTGCCATCACTCCATCTCGAGTTTCAGCCTGCCCAAAATGGAAAGTAAAAACTTCTGGTGATACATCACGTCGACTCCCTTTCAGTCCGTGGCATGCCTAACAGGTTCTGGTCTGAAATCCATTCCGTAAACCGTCACAGATCCCGACCATGAAGACGCTTGCACACGAGAACAACCTCGGCTGTCGAGCCATATTATCCCTGGGCTCTTAGCAGCATTGTTGCGACACCCCTTCCTGCCAACGAGCCGTTTCGCAAACGTGTGCGTCATGCAAGCGGCAGGTGGCGTACGTGACGTTGCCGGCCAGATCCCTCAAACATTCGCTAAGTCTGAGCAGTATCTGACCCCGCTGTCATCAGAAGACTAGGCGAAGACGGCGAGTATAGAATGTTTTAGCCTGCACGGGAAGGAGGTTTCCATACCAATATAAGAAGGGACTCGTCTGGAGACAGATAACCCATCGCCCCTCAGGCCTTACTTAGTCTTGACATCCTCGAAATAGTGACAGTCTGCGCGGTATCCACCATGACCATCCATACACAGCAATTCGACAACTCCCTCTTCAATGGCTCAGTCTCTGTGAACACCAACCTGTTCATCGATGGCGAGTTCGTTGACCCTCTGGAGCGGCACGACATAGAGTAGGCTTGTAATTCTTATCACCTGAATGCTGCTGATGATGCCATAGAGTCACCGACCCAAGTCGGGATTTTCAGACTCGATACAGATGATTGATCTGATCAGCTGCTCATCTAGCCACCGGCAGGGTCATCACCACTATAGCGGCGGGTGGCAAGAAGGATATCGACAGGGCTATCGAGGCGGCCCGAACGACCTGGGGCAAGAATGTCTCCGGGACGCAACGTTCGCATCTTCTTTTCAAACTTGGCGAACTCATGGAGAAGCATAGCGATGAGCTGGCGGCACTCGAGACGCTGGACAGTGGTGCGTTTGGTCGGTACCTTCGTGCCATGAGAGTACTGAGGGATGTGATAGGCAAACATTACATTCACGTGAAGACAGCAGACCCTGCGCAAACCATCAGCGATCTGAAGTACTATGCTGGCTGGGCTGACAAGCTGGGCGGTAAGACAATCGAGGTACGTCGGGCTACCAGCACTCCGAGACCATATCACACTCACTTATCGCACTACAGACCGACCCTACCAAATTTGTGTATACGATTCACGAGCCGATTGGTGTCGTGGGTGTGATCACTCCCTGGAACTTCCCTTGTGAATAGTCTCAGTCTGCGAGCCGCCCCGTCTGGCTGACGGTATGATAAACAGTGCTGCTTGCTTGTCGGAAACTCGGCCCTGCGCTCGCCACCGGAAATTGCGTTGTCCTCAAGCCGTCGGAAGTGGCGCCGCTTGGGACACTCAAATTGGCTGAGCTTATCCAAGAGGCAGGCTTCCCTCCTGGTGTGGTGAACATTGTCCCCGGTCTCGGCTCTGTCGCTGGCCAGGCCCTCGCAGAACATCCCGACGTTGGCACGATCGCCTTCACCGGGTCGACTCTCACGGGTCGCAAGATCATGCAATCGTCGGGGAACAGTAATCTGAAGCGTATCACGCTCGAGCTTGGTGGCAAAACGCCCAACATTATCTTCGATGATGCTGATATTGAGCAGGCTGTCAAATGGACTGATATTGGCCTCTTGTGGGTACGCCTAATGGTAGCCGTAACGATTTGTTGCTAAAGCACTACACTGCCAGCTTCCATGCCGGACAAATGTGCACGGCTGGGACCAGAATCTATATTCAGGAGGGAGTTTACGACAAGGTCATGGAGCAACTCGTCGCGGCCGCCAAGGCCTCTGCCAATCCCGGCACCGGATTCGACCTTACCCCGCAGCTTGACCCTGTCGTCTCACAGACACAGCTCGATGTAAGCTCTTTGCTATCTCTACATGTCGTACACAATCATTCAATTCCAACTCAGCGTCTCTTGGGCTACATCAGCTCTGGCAAGGACCAAGGAGCCAAGATCGCCGTGGGCGGTGGCAGGCTCGGCAAGGAAGGCTATTTCATCGAGCCGACACTGTTCACGGACGTCAAGCCAGACATGAAGATTGTCAAGGAAGAGATCTTCGGACCGGTTGGCGTTGTGATCAAGTTCAAGATTGAAGAGGAAGTCTTGCGAGCGGCGAACGACTCCGCGTACGGCCTGTCGGCGTGTATCTACACCAAGGATGTAGACCGAGCGGCGCGCTTTGTTTCTGCTCTTGAAACAAGAAGCGTTCGCGTACGATGTCATTCATCTTTCGGGCGGAGATGGCACTCATCATGCTGAACATGATCAGGTCAACATAACCTCTATAGCTTTCTCTCAAGTGTCGTCGGGTGGTTACAAGCAATCCGGCTTTGGCAAAGACCTTGGCGAGTACGCTCTCGAGGAGTGCGTAATGTCGTTTAAGCAAGAATGCTATATCCTGACCTGATCGTCTACGATAGCTACACCAGCGTCAAAGCTGTTACGATTAACCACGGCCAGAAGCTGTAAATGGGCCTTTGTCGGCCATGCTGTATTGTATGTTGTCCGTTAGCTTTGCTTGCTTCGCAACGGTTGCATATGAGGTGTATCATGTACTAAGAAAAATGGGTTTTCTGTGATAACAAAAGATGTTGAAAGCCTAAAATGGAAGTGCGGCGGGCCTATATGATCACTGGACTCCGAAGCCTTTCCCATCCGTCACCGTGTCCGTTCTAGATGCACTGCAGTGAAAGACTGCTAGCACCCTGATATTGGGTTCATGACAGCTGCGTGGACTCGCTCGTTCTGGTGATACAGCCATTATTTCGATCTCGACGCCTCGAAAGGGAGAGCCCTCTTGCCCTGAGGCCAGCTGTCATGGTGGCGAGTTCGAGGAGCCTTCGGTAGCTATAGATCGTGTATACAAGAGGCCGCTTCGCTGCGCTCCGCGACTGCTGTCCTCGTGGATGTGGTTCTGCGGGCGGGAAATTTAAGCTCAAACTATGTTCGATTTTACTCGCTGCGATGAATAGATAGGGCTGCAGCATAGCCGCGCTGCGCGCGGCGTAAGCAAAGGAGAGCGGAAGCAACGATTGGGCCCAATCAAGGAGAATGACGAAATAGGGGCAGTCGAAAGGAACAGGCAATGACCACACTCAGTATACGCCAATAAGTCAATGTAAGTATGCAACGTTAACCAGTAGCATAGATGATTGTACATTGCGTACACTGCTAAAATGGAGCGACACTTATAGTTCTGCGGCGGTAGGCAGGCCGAACACTGCAGGGCGCAAACAAACAGCAGGAGAGTGAGTGTGCTAGAGGTGGAAAGCAGAGATTCTAAGTATAAAATACAGACAGGAATGAGGTAGGAGAGCGTCGCCAACAAAGGAGGTAGAAATCATACGAACTCATCAAGTCCTGTGAGACAGCGGCTCAAAGAATATTATACACGCGAACAAGCCCGTTCTGTTTATTATGCCTACGAGGAGCTCGTGCTCGCGCTGCGCTCGATGGCGCCGGAAGCGTGCGGAGGCATCGATGGTGAGTCTAGTAGGGGCTTCTGTGCTAGTGAGGACGTAGATGAACCCGGCGAGGATGGCAGATAATCATACGATTCGCCGTCCGTCCGTGGGTCAATGGACGATGTGAAGGACATGTTCCGCTGAACTGGCAACGGTTGGGTTGATCTTGTCGGTGTGTCTTCTGGTCGTGCACCATCGTCCTCTGGCGTGGTTACGGGCAGGTCAATTGTGTTGCCCTCCGGAGGTGTAATCGTAAAGATCGCTGCCGAGTCGTTTGTATGGTTAGCCGGAAGCTCAAGCCTCGCCAAATCAGGGGACGCGACCTCCGGTGATGAGACTTGGGACGCAACCAGCCCGGGGACTTCATGCTCTCTGGGCGGAGAACTAACGGCACTGGCAGTATTCGTTGCACTCCGAATAGCGGCACCAATTGCGCTCGCGGGGGAATGTGATCGCTGGCTGCCTGGCCCAGAGGATGGTTCCCCTGAGCGGCGCGAATCAGATGAGGAAGAACGAGGACGACTGATTGGGCCACCAGACGTTGGCAAGAGTAATCCAGGCGAGGTTTGCGCTGGTGGTGTAGTACTAGTAGTAGATGCGGCTGTGGATGATGAGCCCAGTCCAGAGCCTTCTGTCGTCAGCTCAGCTGTACCGCCCTGCTCTCTACGCTTCTTTTCTTCCTCTTCCCTCTGTTTACGTTGTCGCTCCTCTTCTTCAAGAAGTGACAACCTCATCGCTTCCATAACCATGAGCTAAATTCAACAAGGTTGAGCTAAATTGGAGAAAGTAGACAGATATTTCCAAGCGTACCTCTTCAAGATCCTGACCAGCGAGGCCCATTTGACCGAGATATTGGTTAAGATCTGGATTTTGATTCCGCCGCCTAGACCGCCTGCCACCGCGCTCATTATTTCCGCCTTCTCCCTCCGCTCCGGCAACTTCTTCGGGATTGAGGGCGTGTATACGCCCACTGCTGATTCCGACAGGAATGAGTCTATCCCCAACTTGGCGCATGATGATCCTCCGGTTCGCGCGACGGGCTACCGCTGCCCGCACAGCCGCCAATTTCGCCTCCCAGTCTGGGCGAATTTGATCTGTGGGGTGCGTCAGCGAGAGTAAGATACCGAGTGATGTCCACTGACCGATTGTGACGACTTCTGGACTGTCTGCGCCTAAACTCTTGCGTCGCCGTTTCATGGAGGTATGAGGGGATTCCTGCGCTTGTTGTTGCTGACCGCCAGACATCGACCACGGTGGAGGCGGCTGTACGGCGGATGCGTCAGAAGTGTGATCATTATCAAATTATTCTAAGAGAAGCTGTCAAGACAACTAACCCAGCCTTCACTGTTCATGCCAGCGCGCCAAGACGGTAGGATGTAAACGATACCAAAGTTCTCCTGCACGCAGTACGGACATGATGCGGGTTCCGAGACAAGATGTGTGGTGGTCGGGTCTGCACGCTTTATCTGCACAAAGCATTCTGTGCAGATAGCTTGGTCACAACAACGAGAGTGGTTGATATTAGGAGGATAGTACTGAGCACATCGTATCGTTCAGGCAGGTATTACACGATGGAAGGGCATGGCGACATACCAGGAAACAAATAGGGCATTCGATCGCTCCACGGTAAACACCAGCTTCCAAATGACGGGCTTGCTGCTCTTTCGCAGTAGCACTTGGTCGTTTATGGTGCGTGCGGGACGTAGTAGAATGAAGTGAGCCTGAGTCCGCTCGCGTGCTGGATTCGCTGCCGTCGGCACCCTCAGCCTGGGGCGGTTCTTTCATAGCCGCAAGAATTTGCTCGTCATCCCAGGATTCATCGTAATCTTCAAGCGGTCTGTAAAATGGCGCTAGCTTCCTGTCAATGATGAGTTGGGTGACGACAGCCTGGTTCCAGTCCCTAGGCCCGGTGTAGATGCCCTGAGGGGTGAGGTAGCCGAAGTCGACGGTCTCATCGTGGTGGCTTCGTCCCGACGACGAAGCATTGCCCATGATTGCCTCAGATTGCGATTAGCGACGTCCAAGGATGTGGTTCTGAGTCAAGTACAAGAGCGTCACCGTTGGACGAGCGCAAACACCTCGGGCACGCCGGCGCTTACGGCACTGCGGCTCTCCCTCCGACCGATTGTCGTCACTTTACTCCCGCCGTCGGCTCACTCATCCCTGCGCTTTTTGCGCTTAGCTTTCGACCGTTTTATGTAGCATAAGATACCGCACAGCTATATATACATATCTACAGGTCCCGGGGAGCCAAAAGGTTTGGAGCGAACTAAAGTCCAGCTCCGGAGAGACCGAGCACAATGAGCCAGGTTTTCGAGTTGCTACGTGAACTATACGTCATGCTCTCGATGCATATATGTACCTGGCGGGAAACCAAGAAAGCGCGGCCCATAAGTTTAACCTCCCTAACTGGTCGCTGACGCTCGGGACGTGCTGTTCACCCTTCACTCGTCGCATGCGCTCCTTCCGGCTCAGCGTTGAATTAATGGCGAACCAGGATCACTCGTGGAACGTTAGCTTCAAGCCTGTCTTTAGGGGACGAAGACTTCAAGGTACTGGTTTTCTTCCCTATGTTGCTTGCAAGATCCTCTGTAACTGTTCGTTGGTTTGCCCGCTCTTCTTCAACGCTATGGCATTAGCTTTAACGTACTTTAGATGGATGTTGTTGTCGTGCAGGGGGCCGCAGAAGTAGACCCGGGACCTGTTGACTGGACGAACAGCGGTTGTTTGCACGCTGCATCTAGTCACCCGTGACGACAGTAAAATCAATAAGAGCTGCCTGCTCAGTGGCGACGCAAATGCTAAGCTGAAGGTGGCGGAGATTCTTTCAGCGCGCATTGTTGCATATCACTGTCGTATTCGGCTAGGTCTGGCTATATTTTTGACTCTGTGCTACCGTAGGATCAACGCTAGTATATATATAACAATACGTTGTAAAGTCAGTCCCATGCTCACCTCTACCAGTGGTGTATGAGTCTTCCAAACTTCGATTCTGCTTGGTGTCTGTATCAATGCTACGTGCCGTTACAGCTAAGAAGCTGTCCAACAATTTTTCGCTGCGCGACGTTGGGTGTGTCCCGGGCGTGGTTTCTCACCTTCGGCACTGATCAGCTAGGATCAATACCGTCGTGGTCCAAGACGTTTTTCACAGTATGTCAGTCGGTTGTACGGGTATCCCACGGTCTAGAGAAAAGACCAGTGCAGCAGTGAGAACAAGTACTCGCATAGTCGAGGACGGGCTAAGCGTACGAATGAATTGCGTGATCTTCTTGACGTCGTTCGAAAACTGACCACAGCGTTCGTTTACTGGAGCGTTCCTGTCTTTGTCCGCATGCCTCCTTTGCACTCGACGTCGTCGTTCGTACCACTATCAAACACTGTTCTCATTGCCCCGCCTGCAACGCTCCCGCCAACGTGAGAACATGTGCACCGGATGTGCCCTCAGGCACCCAAGGCCGGGAATTTGCCACGTCAGCTTCTCGGGCAAAAAGTTCGAGTGATCGTACATATACACGCGCGCTCGACTTGTTTTTGCCCCGCGGGCGACACTTTTGTATTCTGCTGTATCCTCTCCACCACCACCTCGGTCTGGGATTGTATATTTCTACTTCCTCGCAACGACGACGCAATGTCGATCCTGGGGGAACCCTGGACAAAAACTCCGGAGGAGATCTTCCAGCACTTCTCCGTTGACTCAACACGTGGACTTACCTCCGACCTCGCTGCAAAACATGCTGAGCTGTATGGAAAGAATGGTTCGCACCTCCATGGGCCGTCTTGTCAATGCTTGACTCTCTGACGTCGTACATCAGAACTGCCGGAAGACCCGCCGACTCCACTGTGGGAACTCATCCTCGAGCAGTTCAAGGACCAGCTAGTCCTCATACTACTCGCTTCTGCGGTCATATCCTTCGTGCTTGCACTGTTGGAAGACAACTCAGGTGCAAGTTGGTGGAGCGCATTTGTAGAGCCCTTGGTCATTCTCCTCATTCTGGTCGCGAATGCTGCTGTCGGTGTCATTCAAGAAACTAGCGCGGAGAAGGCAATAGACGTGTGTGACCTCACCCTCCGACGCACGCAGCTACTAACTTGCTTGCAGGCTTTGAAGGAATACTCCCCAGACGAGGCCAAAGTTCTGCGCAATGGCCAAATCGCTCGTATTCACGCTTCAGAACTGGTCCCTGGAGATATTATTACTGTCTCGGTAGGAGACAAGATCCCAGCCGACTGCAGGATCGTTTCCGTCTCGTCGAGCAGCTTCCGAATTGACCAAGCTATCCTCACCGGCGAGAGTATCAGTGTGCACAAGTCCGTCAACGTCGTACAAGACTTGAAGGCGGTTAAGCAGGATATGACGAACATGCTCTTCTCTGTAAGAAAGACTTCCGTGCTCGCTGGAGGTTTGCTAACTGTATTGCACAGGGAACTAGCGTTGTCAACGGTAGTGCGCGCGCGATTGTGATCTTCACTGGTGAACGCACCGCCATTGGTGATATTCACAAGTCCATTACCTCCCAAATCAGCGAGAAGACTCCACTCAAGCGGAAGCTCGACGACTTTGGTGACATGCTCGCTAAGGTCATCACCGTCATCTGTGTCTTAGTCTGGCTTGTCAACATTCGACACTTCTGGGACCCTGCGCATCACGGAGCCCTCAAGGGCGCTATATACTACTTCAAGATTGCCGTTGCGCTCGCTGTTGCTGCCATTCCCGAGGGTCTGGCCGCAGTCATCACTGCATGTTTGGCTTTGGGTACGAAGAAGATGGCGCAGAAGAACGCGATTGTCAGGAACCTCCCGAGTGTAGAGACCCTGGGTTGCACCAACGTGATCTGCTCGGACAAGACTGGAACGCTCACTACCAACCAGATGAGCGTTTCGAAGGCAAGTAGCACAAAGATACGCCGAGAGCAATTTAAACTCATCTTCAACTATAGTTCTTCACCGTCGACCCTTCTGGTGTCCCCAAGGAGTACCTTGTTGAAGGCACCACCTTCTCGCCTATTGGGTCGGTCAGGTCTGCTGATGGCAAAGACGCCTCTGCTGAACTTCGTTCAGAGCCGCTCTTGCGCTTGGCTGAGATTAGCTCTATCTGCAACGACTCTCGTATCGTGTATCATGCGGTACGTCGACTTTGCTTTGGTTACAGACTTTATACGACTAATTTTTCGCAGGATAAGGGCATGTATTCTAATGTTGGCGAACCGACGGAGGCGGCTCTCAAAGTCCTTGCGGAGAAGCTCCCATGTCCTGATCCTGAACTTGCCAAGACGTTATCTACTCTTGCCCCGGCCGTCCGTGCCAATGCCGTCAACGAGCATTACGAACGTACACTCCCAAGACTGATGACCTTTGAATTTTCTCGTGACCGCAAGATGATGTCTGTTCTCATCCGCCGTAACGGTATCGGAGCTTTGTTTGCTAAGGGTGCCCCCGAGTCTGTCCTCGAACGCTGCAACTCTGTCTTGGTCGATGGTTCTACCATCCCGCTCTCCGCGGAGCTCCGCTCGGCTCTCCTTCAAAAAACTCTGGCATACGGTTCGCAAGGCCTTCGCACGCTCGCATTGGCGTACTCCGAACAGGCCGACGTCGACCCATCGCACTACCAGACGGAGAGTACGGCAGACTACGCGCGCTTTGAGCGCGACTTGACTTTCGTGTCGCTGGTCGGTATGCTCGACCCACCGCGCCCTGAGGTGCGCGAGGCAGTTGCGAACTGCAGGGCTGCTGGCATCCGCGTTATCTGCATCACGGGCGACAACAAGCGCACGGCGGAGACGATCTGCAGGCAAATTGGCATCTTTGGTGATAACGAGGACCTGGAGGGCAAGAGCTACACCGGACGTGAACTCGATGCACTCAGCCAAGAAGAGAAGCTTCAGGCAGTTATGCGCGCAAGCTTGTTCAGTCGCACTGAGCCTGGACACAAGAGTCAGCTCGTTGATCTACTGCAAAGCCAAGGATTAGTTGTCGCTATGGTAAGTTGTATCCCACGTCAATACTTTTGCAGGTCATTTAACGTCCTGTGCATAGACTGGTGACGGCGTCAATGATGCACCTGCGCTCAAGAAGGCTGATATCGGTGTTGCGATGGGCAGTGGAACTGACGTCGCAAAGCTCGCGGCGGACATGGTCCTCGCCGACTCCAACTTTGCAACTATCGAGCAGGCTGTTGAGGAAGGGCGTCTGATTTACAACAACACAAAGCAGTTCATTCGCTACCTCAGTAAGTCCCCTTACATTTTAATCTGGCATTCATGACTCACTATTTGCAGTCTCCTCGAACATCGGTGAAGTAGTCAGTATCTTCTTGACGGTCCTCTTGGGCATGCCCGAGGCTCTCATCCCGGTGCAACTTCTTTGGGTCAACCTCGTCACGGATTCGCTCCCTGCGACTGCCCTCGGTTTCAACCCACCGGACCACAGCATCATGCGTACGCCGCCCCGTAACAGTCGTGAGCCCCTCGTCGGCAAGTGGCTTTTCTTCCGATACATGGTGATCGGCACGTATGTCGGCGTTGCGACAGTCGCTGGCTATGCTTGGTGGTTCATCTACTATGAGGGCGGCCCGCAGATTACTTTCTGGCAGCTGGTGCGTGTATTGGCGTAGTTGAGCAATGACGTGTGCTGATGACAGTTTTTTGCAGACGCACTTCCACCAGTGCAACCAGCTGTTCCCCAGTGTTGGGTGCGAGATGTTCACGAACGTCATGGCACATCGCGCAACAACAATGAGTCTCTCCATCCTGGTGACCATCGAGATGTTCAACGCGATGAATTCACTCTCTGAGAACGAGAGCTTGCTCCGGCTGCCGGTGTGGAAAAACCCGTTCCTGGTTGGCGCCGTCGCGTTGAGTATGGCGCTCCACTTTGCTATTCTTTACATCCCGTTCTTCACGGTGCGTCTCACGTTGCAGGGGTTTGGTGACCGATGCTGACTCACTGTACTGCAGACACTCTTTGCGATCACTCCGCTCAACTGGACGGAATGGAAGGCTGTATTGTACTTCAGCGTGCCTGTCATCTTAATCGACGAGGTGCTGAAATTTGTTACTGTGCGTGTCTTTTTGTCTTGGCATTGCGTTCCGTGTGCTGCAGGTGTCTAACCCGTTCTACTTCTAGGCGACTTTTGTTGCACCGCCGTCTAAAATCAAGGTCGACTGAAGTAGAGACACTTGTTAGAGTGTAGTAGTTAGATAGCTCGGGGATGTATCATGTTGAATTTTTTCTTGGAGTGGGTCAAGAATGCGCTCGAGGGCGGATCAGAAGAAGCACGCGAGTACCGTGACGATGAGCCCAATGAGGTAATATCGGGTAATACGATTGGTCTGATTGGCGCCTGGGCGGCGGGACTGGATCTGGGCTCTTCGGCGGCTGTCTCGTCTTGTGTCCTGCGGTGAACGACCCTCTTTTCTTCGCCAGCAAGCGCAAGTTCTCCCCGCTTGTCCTCCCTGCGGGTCTCTTCCTTTCCTTTGGATCTGCTCTCGTTACCTCGCTCGCTCCCCCTCTGTCTCTACTCCCATCCTCGTAAATAATCCGTAACCAGTATGGTCGCCTTTGCAAGCCTCTCTTTCTTGTCGGCTCTCGTCCTCTCGCTTTCACTCTTTACAGCTGCTGCCGTTGGCTCTCATGAGACTCCGCGTCGTCGTCACCCTGGCACTAATTTCCTCGGCCAGAACCACACGCTATCTAAGCGGTTCGACGATGCCCGCTTCTCTTACTACGAAGCTGGCCAGGGCGCTTGTGGTGCAACTAACAGTGACTCGGACTCTGTAAGTCTTCTAGTTGTGAACTGCATCAGTTGAAGCTGACATGCCTATTAGATCGTCGCGCTGAACTCTGCGGTGGGTGTTACGTCCAATCTCGCGCCGTGGTCGGTATTAACGCGTCATTCACGCTAGCAATTTGCCGGAGGCTCTAATTGTTTCCAAATGATCACTATTTCGTACAATGGCAAGAGCACACAAGCGCAGATCACGGACGAGGTGTGTACATACAGCTCGCTCCCGTGGCTGAACACGGTCGTTGACTACGCGCGTTGTAGTGTCCAGGCTGTCCATATGGTGGCCTTGATCTTACACCGGGCCTGTTCTCGTTTTTTGCATCAGAGGACGCAGGTATCATATACGGCACCTGGAATTTCGGTAGCGGCGCTGCTCCGTCGCCGTCGCCGTCGCCAACACCCGCGCCCACGCCTACGCCAACTCCAACGCCCACCTCGGTATGGACGCCACCGGTGATTGTGGTTACGACTTCGTCCTCTACGTCGTCTCCGCCCCCGCCCCCGCCGACGACTTCGTCGTCCACCGAGGCGCAGAAGTCGTCCTCCGCCACCTCGTCTACGCCGACGCCTTCGACGTCTTCGACGTCGAGTGCCAGCTCTGCTCCCCCGTCGAGCTCATCAAGCGCGGCATCGTCCATGGCATCGAGCACTAGCTCAGCCGTGGCGGCCGCGCCCAGTGGCAACATCAACCAGCTGAACAGTGTCATCCTCAGGCTGGCTGCGCTCGCGGCAGCTGCCGAGCAATCGCAATAGAATCGCACTGTCTCTATCCTGCACATGTTTTTCAAGGACGAGATACCCTCTCCTTACGCATCTTCATGGTACAGATCGTATAATATACCTTTGCGCATATCTTTAGACGAATGATCGCACGTTCTCCGAATGCAAACCTTTGCTACTTAAATTAGTTTGTCGTACTTAGACGTGCCTGTTCATTGCCTTACGGACCATGTTACCATCGTGTCGATCTGTCTGTCATTCTGGAGTGTTACATTCACGCTTTTTGTCACCTGCGCTGCTCGAACACGAAGGGACAGATGTGGTCGAAAATATTGATATCGTCGTGATTGTTGGTCGCCAACATGCTGTTCTTGGACACCTGCCTTGTATGGAACTTCGGTCTGGCGCGTTGTTAGGCTGCGACAAACAAAACGAGTTCGGGGCACGGCTGGTCGTCGCCGGCTTTTTTTCTTTCCCCATCGTCGCCTCTGTCCTCGTGCATACTGGGCCCACTGCTGCCAGCGTCGCTCTCTGCCCCTTCACACTCCTTGCAGTCCCCCCCTTCGTTTCCTCCGAAAACGACTCTATTTCCTCCGTAATTTGCCAATAATCGGCCATGCGCCTTTCTTCGGCCATAGGCCTCTCCCTGCTCGGTCTGAGCGCGCCCTTTGTCGCTCAAGCTGCCTCCCACGGCGAGCCCGGTCGTCGCCACAACGATCTTGCGCGCCGCGCTCGTGGCGACATCGATATCTTCCAAAAACGGGACACGTTCAGTAACGCGCGCCTCACCTTCTACGCTGTTGGCCTGTGAGTGGTACCGGTGTTTCAATCCCCCCAGCTAACGATATCTTGTAGGGGAGCCTGTGGCCAGCAGAATGTTCCTAGTGATTTTGTGGGTTTCTATACGCGTTGATATACAAGGGATGCGTACTTATTCGTCTCGCTTTAGATCGTCGCTTTGAACACACCGGTGCGTTGCGATCAGCGTCTTCGTGAAAGCGCGTCGAGACTCATGCGCCTTTTCTTAGCAATTCGGTAGTGGCTATCCTGGCCCTTATTGCTTCGAGACCATTACGATTTCTTATAACGGCATGACTGCCCAGGCAACCATCATGGACGAGGTACGAGTACCTGCATATCGTGGTGTTGGATAATATTGACCGGTAACAGTGTCCCGGATGCCCATACGGTGGACTTGACTTGTCCACTGGTCTTTTCACGTACTTCGCACCTGAGTCTGTCGGTGTCCTCACCGCCGAATGGTGGTTCAATGACGGCTCTCCGGCTCCTACCACGACCGCCGCGCCGCCACCTCCGCCACCGAGTCCTACCCCACCACCCCCTCCGCCGCCGCCGCCGCCTCCGCCCCCATCTCCTTCTCCTCCACCCCCTCCGCCGCCGCCCCCGCCGCCGCCCCCGACAACTTCCTGGACTCCGCCAGTCCAGATCAGCGTCTCAACACCTGCTCCCAGCCCCACCACGTCGAGTCCGCCGCCTCCGCCGCCTCCTTCGACCTCCAGCACCTGGAGTTCCAGCTCAGTCTGGTCCTCGAGCTCGAGTTCCAGCGCTATACCCTCGCCCTCCTCGTCCTCTGGCAGTGCCGAGCTGTCGTCTTCTGCCGCTCCTTCGCCGTCGAGCAGCGCTGCGCCCACGCCCACACTCGATACGATCAACGCCGCCAATCAGGCCTTCCTCGGCCTCACTGGTCTGCTTGTCGCCGGGGCCGGTGCCGGTGATGCCGCTCAGTAAACTAGTCCACTCGCTAGGCTTTGGCTTCACTTGACACTTGAACTCTGTTTCCAAAGCCTTACTTATTTGGGCCAGCAGCGTATACCCTTCTTAACTAGACAGTTATATGATTTTTTCGCCGAGCTTACAGTTTATCCATTCCTGTCCTATCTTCGCCCTCTCGCGTACAAGCCTTTTGTATGTACGTGGTCAATACCCCGTGAACCCTTTTGTGTGTGTATGTGGCGTGATGCCTTGTAGGTACTGTGAAAGTCGGTAGACGATCTACGTCGATAGTCAGGTACGTCGGGGTAAGACTGATAGACAGCAACCTGATACGCGGGCGAGGGGCGAGAAGGTAGTTTTATTCCCCCCGTCTGGCAGCTGAAAGTGATAACAAATATTGTTGTTTGGACAGTGTTGGCTGCCCAGGCCTGCACACTATTAATTTATGTCAACCTAGTTCCTCTTCGTTCGTCGTTTATCAATGTGGGGCCATCTTCTATTGGCGTTCTGAAGCTAGATATGCGACGAAAAAGGATGAAGGACAAGGACACATCATTTCCGGCCAGCCTTCTTTCGATGCTGGCGGCCTTGTTTATTCTTGGCAGGGCGAGGCGGTTCGGCCTCAGCCTCAGCTTCCGCTTCGTCATCCGACTCCTCCAAATCGATGTACACGGCAGCACCCCTCTTAAACTCACTCTCTGCAACCTTCTTCTCGCTGGTGCGGAGCGCTTCGGATACAAGATACACCTCGGGTCTGCCGTCCGTGAATGCACGAGCGGACAAGCAGTAATAGTCCCGTTCAGCATCGGGAGCTTCAATCTGGTGCCTGCGAGACAAGACTATCAGCATCTTTGCAAGGCTAGCTGCACATCGGGGGTGCTCACTTCTGCTGCACATGTTCTACAACCCTGGCCTTGGAATACCGGCCAGACCAAGTATCACCACATCTCTCCAGCGTCGGACAGAGCCCGCAGAGCCACCAATCCCGATCGTTCACACTGCCCACACTGTCTTTCTCGGCCGTGCGCTCGAGCAAACGTGCTGCTTCGGCCTGGTGTTCGGAAAGGGCGTCGATATAACAGCCCTTGGCCTTCCAAGTGTCGCTGCCCTCCCTCTTCCACTGTCTGTACTCTTCTTCTGTCATCCGTTCGCTCCATAGCAACGAGTAGTGCTCGTACTGCGACACGCCGTGGTGAGCTACATGGCATTCACTAAAGTCAGCGGAATGCAGACTTACTGCCGAGGCCCAGTTCAGGACACGAATTACGCCGTCCGTGTCACACGTCTTGCACGCCAGCCTTTTCGGCGAAGCGTCCATGTCAGCTCTGGTGGCGCGCCGGTAATTGAGTCCGAGCAGCTCAACGAGCGGCCTCATCGTGTTCGTATCCGCGGAGAACTTGAAGACGCGCGGGTCCCAGTGAACGAGTCCGTTGCTGGGGTATCTCGACTCGGGCTTGAACTGTTGGAGGATGATATGTCTGTACAGGTCGCCTTTCTCTTCGTCATCACCAAACGCGTGCCTTTCGCACGCGTGTGAAAGCACTTCGGGGTACTTCTCGACATGGTCGCAGAGTTGACAGCGAAAGGTAGCTCCGACCGCGAGTTCCATTGGGTCGACGCCCTTGGGAAGCTTGCCCACTTGCGCCCGCACCAGGCCCCCAAGGTAGGCTTCAGCCTCTCGCCGCCACTGGGTGCGGAAGGCAGGGAGGACGTCGCGCAAGAAGGCAAAGCTCTCCGCATTGATAGTCTCCCTGGGCGGACGGTTGACGACTTCGCGGACTTCGGGCATTCCCAGTGCAATGTCCACGCGTGAGGGCTCGCCAAGACGATATGGGCATATGGCTCCCAGGGCGCGATCAAAGACTCTGAGCCGCACGCGGGTGACGCGCACAAGTTCCTCTTGTATCATCTGTTCCCTCGTCTCCTCCAGCCATTGCACGAGCGTGTCCCTGATGTTGGCCCACGCTGTACGTTGTTAGCTTGACAGGGATCGAGAAATAAACATGGACCGCTCACTTCTGTCGGTCAGCAGCCGAGGCTCCTTTACACAAGGGAGGTTTGTGAATATATCATGCGCAGTCTCGGAGTTCATGACCCGGCGAAGTTCTTCCTCCCAGCCCAGTTCGCGAAGCCTGTCCATGATGCTGGCGACGAGCGGGAAGGAGGTCAGCACCTATATCCAAGCTGTTAACCCTCGCCACTTCTCACCCGGCGTATCTATCGCTTCTTATAGCTCTAAGCTCTTCTTCGCGAGCCTTCAGTTTCTGGTCGTACCAACCCTGCATAACCGAAATGCACTATAAGGCGCATTGTGAACATTTAGGAGCCTTGAGAGCTTCATAAAGCGGGCGCACCGCTCTTATCTGCCGCATTCTCTTCAGTCGCTCTTCGAGGACTTCTTTGTACTTTTCAGGTCTCTCTCTGAGAGCGTCCCGCAGCTCGTTTATCTCTGACTCTCGAAATTTGTAGTCTATTCTTGTGTCAATGCACGAAGCTATCCAGATATCTGATCACATGCCTTTCATCCAGTCTTTGCCCAGACTGAAGCTAGGAATGAAGAACCATAGAGCAAGCTGCCTCTCGTTAAGCTCTGGTATTGTATCGGGGAGAGCTTGCTTGAACAAGTAGCGGAGGGTCATCATGCCTTCGAGCCTAGGGCACATACAGTCAGTTATCATGATTGACATTTCAATGAAAAGACGTACGATGGCCCCAGCTCTACTGCACAGCTTTTGCAGTAGCGGGCGCGAAGATCCCAGTATATCCACTTGACGTTGGGTTTGAGGCAGCGCTACACAACGTTGAGCCAGTGCCGCCGCGCCACACAATGACAGGGGTACTCACGGAACAGTAGTTTGTGTACAGAAAGCTCGCGAGAGCGGGCTCGTTCATGTCCTCAGGACAGGGAGGGTAGCCCTCGAGGTTGTCGCGTGCCGCCGTCCACAGAAACGCAGAGCTGTTGCTCATGAGGAACTGCCGGAATATCTTGGTCGTCCGTGCGAGGCTGAGCAAGTCGTACGGCTCGAGGTGCATGACAACCTGAACGAAATGTAAACCAAGTCTAGGGCAGCAAGGACTATAGACTACCTCAATAACAACGTCGAGAGGCATACTAGTCAGGCCGGAAAGTTTTCCGCGCTTTCGTCGTGGCTTCGTGCCTTTTGCCACAGCGACCTTAGTCGCGGAATTAGCTGCGGCGGCCTCCGTAGGTGCATCCTCTGAGGGATGCGTCAACTTGATCCTCTTAGAACGGCGAGGTGGCATGGTGCACTAGACGGGTGGTAGGAGAGGTGAGATTGAGTCGAGTGATGGCGGTTTGCATAACAGATCGTAGTGAGCCACTTGGTCTTATATTTGGGGGAGTTGGGGCGCTCGTGCCACTCCGAGGAGTATCGCGAGGCTGGAACAATTGAAAAGAGTTATTATCATTGATGTCAAGCATCGAATATGCCAAATCTAAGGGGCGAACGATGAGCGAAATGCCAGCTAAGTTAGAACGACTCGAACTCTCGTAAAAATTGCGATGCGCCGTCGGGACGGCACGCCGCTTACCGGTGACAGTGACATAGTGACACTACCCGTGACGTAACGCGATTTATGAAGCACGACAGCAGAGTCGCCTCTCTGCTCTCGACCAGACCTCGGGGTCATAAATGGCACGCAAGGTCGAGACCGTGGACGCCTCAGACGCGCAGACTGCGTCCTCTCCGAAGCGGGAAAAGGGCAAGGACGCGTTTCCCCTCACCAGGTTTCCGCTAGACGTGATATGCGAGGCGCGTTCCCATCCCAGCAACCTGCCCCCCCCCCCGGCGCTCGGGACTGACATTCCCCTCAGATCGTTCAGCACCTTCGTCCAGCGGACCTCCTCAATCTCTCTCGGACAAGCAAAGCGTTCAGAGCGTTGCTCATGCGGCGCGGCGCTCGGACGCTCTGGCAAATTGCTATCAAGAACGAGCGAAAGTTGCCCCAGTGCCCCGAAGATGTTTCTGAGCCGGCATGATTAATTTGCTGTTCTCTTATTGCTGTCACGTACGTCGTTGACTTTATACGCGTTCGCATCCTTGACTGACGCTACACTGTTTCTTAGAATTGCCTCAAAAGGGGCCCCACTTCCCGCACTGGGAGTTGCGCACCCGGCTGTGCGCAGCATGCAGGAAGGAAATGTAAGTAGTAATGCCTATGAATGCACACCTTAGGTACTGACTGCACTTTAAGGAGCTCACGTTTGAACCTGGCCCCCACCACAGTCTAAAGGATCACTTCCCCATGCTGGATTTTGAGGACGGCATAGGTGAAATAAGTCTCTTTTGAATCATGCCTGTGCTCGCGAAAAGTTCTTCTGACGGTATGTGTAGCTTCTATTGCTGACTATGGAGGCTAATTTGTTTCCAGAGGAATGCTCTGGTTCGGCATGTGTCCTTTCCGTCGCGAAGAGTGGCGGGATGTCAGAAAAGCATTGCGGCAGGCCAATGCCGCACAGGAGCTCACCGAGATCATTAGAGCGGAAGAAGCATTTAGATGCCATAAGAAAGGTAACGTCTTTCGCGCCATCCCGCGCCACACGAAAGCTCGTCTGAGCGCGTCTCTGACGTCCACTACTACTAATGCAGCAAGTCAATAATAAGCTTCTTGATTGGGACTCGAACCAACGACACGCTCGCTCACATGAAAAATGGTCGATACAGAATGAACGGCAGAAAGCGTAAGTAGCCGCGTCGATTCTCTGCATCGGGCGCCGTAGCGTCCAGTTATTTTGGCTCACTCGCCGTCCGTTCATAGGATACTTGCTAAGCTGCACAACCTCGCCTACGCCTACGATATATGTTGCATGTCGCGCTGCACGAGTTTCATCAGCTGCGGGAGGTCAACCAGCTCCTCCCACTCACTGACAGGAGTACGTTTGTTTCCCCAGTCATACCATCTGCGCATTTGCAGATGACACCGCTGACATGACATCCCGTCGGCAGTATGGAACAGTATCAAGGGTGCCGTCGTCGAGTTCATGAACAGAGTTCGTGCAGAAAGGATCCGGTGCGAAGAGCTTTGGGGGAACGAGGATGAAGACGAAGACGAAGACGGGGACGAAGGTGAAAACGAAGACGAAGGTGCAGGTGAAGACGAAGACGAAGACGTAGGTGAAGGTGAAGGTGAAGGTGAAGGTGAAGTCGAAGTCGAATAGTAGGCTATCTTGCTTCGGCATCCGCCATGCCCGATTGCATGGGCAGCCTTGCAAAGAGGCGCTATGGATTACAGGCATGTCACAAAATATCCTACAACCTTTGTCAATCGAAGATGTCGCCAGGAAAGCACTTACCACGGGAAGAGCGTGATCTCGCGGCTGTTTCGTCCCTATGTACCGGCGATCCTCGCTTTGCCGGCTGAGTCTGGCTGCTCTGCAACGGAGACTAACCATGGGCACGACGGACATCGCCGGACACCTTTGGCTGTGGAGCGCAGCGGTCCCAGCTTGCGGTGCCATCTGGACCACTTCAGGGAGTACTGGCGCCCCGCCCGCTTCACCGACTTTCCCGCAGATCGCTGTGCGAATGTGCAGCGGTAACAGCCTTGCACTACCTGAGGCCAAGACTGGCGGCGGCGATCACCCGCAAGCCCAGCCTCGGCGTCGTCGCTCAATGCACAAGAAGGCCGCGAAAAGAACCCTGAGCCGAAAAGGGTCCGCGCGTGTTCTTTCCCAGACACGGATCTACGCACCCTCGAGGTGCTGCTACCGCTGCAGCATCGGCACCGAAAACCACAGACGGCCGCCGTCAGCAAGCTTCTTTTCCCCCGCGAGCCGCGCCGCGACGCGCAGCACTTCCTTTGAATGTTTACTATCGGTACCGAGCCGAGTGGAAAGAACCCACGGAGCGCATTCTGTGCCCGCTTGGACCGCACCCGCCCCAAGTGGAATACAAAGGCTGACGGGAAACGCGCGTGTGAATGTGTGCATTTGCTGCCGCTGCCGCTGGCTGCGCCCCGTCCGCCCGTGCCAAAGCTGCCCAAGCATATCTATTATCGAGCCGGGTCCCGCGCGTGGGTATCACATGCCGCCTGTCCGAGCATGTCGAGCCCGGCGTGCCCGAGCAGCCTTCTCAAGGCCCGCCTGTGCTCGACGCGGAGGGAAGAGAAAGAGATGCCCAAGCGAGCAGCCACCCCGTGCACTCGCGCGAAAACGCTCCCGCACCGAGACACGTTTTGAGAGATCCGTCGGCGAGCTTTTGGGATTGCGCTCGAGCACCGCTTGTGGGCTCGACCCGGGACGGTCTCCCCCAAAATCTGCACAATCTGCGCAATCTGCATCTCGTCGACGCCGGCACGCTGGCTCGCCAAAAGATCGCGCGCGCGTCGTCTATTATCGCGTCGCGTGGTCCGAAACATTTCAACCAAGCAGCACGGATGCGATCTAGAACGCTGGATGGGCTGCGAGACCCTCGGGCGCGGCCTGCTCGCCGACGGGCGAAAGTAGCAGCAACGAGACACGCCGGCCTGCGAGGACAACGGGATTACATACGCAAAAAGAAAGCACAGCCTCGCGAAGTGGGGGAACAGCGGAGGAAAGCCGGAAGAATCACGCTCGGGCCGACGTCTTCGCTGGGCTAGATCCCAGCTGGCGATGCTGTACTAAGACGAGGTTACAAAGCGATGACTACAATATGACGACTGTGCTGGGCAGCTGGATATCTCGATGAGCATGTGGGGATTACGTGGTAGAGCTACAATGGCAGGGTGCGAGGTGCGTGAGATGAGATGAGACTGCAGGATGAAGCGTGGGATGTGTGCAGAGCTTGTCCATACTGTAACACAACGGCGACAAGACGAATAAGAGCGTGTGCAGGTAGTACGAATATAATAAATATATGGCCTTCACGGGAGATAAGCGCACGAGGCCTTTCCCCCAAAGCTGAGAATAGAAGGAAGCGAAGCGAACACAGCGAGGATATGAGAAGACACGGAAGTTCCCGGCGGACTGCACGATCCACATCCTCGTGTGTGCGCAGCACGCGAAGAAGCCGCAATATGGGCTTCGCTTGCGCCCACTGGCAAGACCGAGAAGAACGCGCCACCACCACTCGCCCCATGCGTGTGTCGCACTGGGAAGCCCCGATCAAGAGCGGAGGGAAGCAAGCTCCATGGCTCGCCGTCCGGGCGATGCGCTGCGGTGAACAGAAGATGCGCCATGCCAGCCGAATGACGCGTACGTGTGTCCAAGGACATCGAGCAAGAAGGCGCATGCAACGTTCGAAGCATTCGCTTCACGTCGCGATGCGCTCCCGCTTGAACTGCTCCTTCGGCTTATCGCGTTTACGCCAGAAGGCGAGCACGTTGCTGCCCCGACGGGTCGCCTTCTCGATCTTGGCAAGCTCCTCCTCCCATACCCGAATCAGCTCCGTCTTTTCCTTTGTCCGACCCCGTCGCTCGCTCTCGCCCTCACGGGACGGGTGTGGCGACACGCCGTTAAGCTGGACCTTGTCCATGCGCACCCCCGCACAGACCTCCGTGTTCAGGAGCAGACCGTCGCGGTCGTGGTGAGACATCGAAGAGCTGCGAGGCGGCGGGCTGACTGGGCCGGCTGGAGATGCGGACACAAAGCTTGTACTGACAACGCTGCTCATCCGCGGGGACACAGGCTTGGAACGAATGGTGTCGCCACTATTCCGCGCGCCCCCTGCCGAGACTTCAGAGCTGCGACGAGTCAGGAATGGCAGACCATCTTTGAGAGGCTGTCTTGGACCGCGATCGCTTTCGTTTTGCTTGTCCGGAGAACTGGAGGGTGTCGATGCATAGCCGTGGGTGGGCACAGGCAACGGGACGGGGACAGGGATGGCGCCGGCAACCTGAACGTCGGCACTGTCTCGAGGACCCGCCGATGTATGCGGCCGACGCGGCTTCTTGGTCTTCCTCTGGCCCTTTTCAGCTGACGGCGGATGAGAATATTCAGCGGTAGGCGACGCCGGGGGTACAGGCGAACGCGTCGAGATGCTTGCGGGGGGTGCCCGACCCGAGGCTGTTGTCCCGGCACTCTTCGGTGGAGTGTAGACGGGAGCTGATCCGTCTGGCGTTGGCGACGACGGCGCGGCGTCAGTCGAAGTACCGGGTCGAGAAGAAGAGTTCCTCCCCTTCGACGCCGAACGCGCCTCAGCGAAGACGGCAAGTGCATGTCGGCGCTCGGCATCGTTTGTCAAGACGACCACAAGCTCTCTCGGGGCGAGATCTATCGATTCGGTCCCGGATGGTGACGTTACGATGACCTACTCGAGTTTAGCGGCGTATAGTCATCTCGGCAAGTTGAACATACCTTGACCCGGACCCAGAAGCTCACAGCCCCGAGACTCCCCCGCATAGTCTCGCCCATTGCCCATCTCGAGTGGCTCCGCGCCGCGGGCCATTGCAGTGAGATCGTCTTGTTCCACACACCGGTACCCTTGTCGAATGCAAAAGACGTGCCCTCAGCAAGAGCAACGGCAGACGTGAGAGTTTTATGATGATGTGAGCTCTCTCCTGGGGTAGAAGGAGAGGCATAAGAAAATGGCGAAGGCGAAACGGGTGTCGATGGAGGACTCGAAGTCGTCGACGAAGATGCGGAAGTGGTTTGAGGGATCAGGGGCGTCCTAGACGTGACAGTGCTTGTAGACACTGCCGAGTCCAACGTTGATGAACTCTGTAATGGTGCAAGATATGCAAAAGCCGTCGTGTTCAATAGGCTCGCGTTCCGGCAAGCTGCTGGATGTAGCTATCCGCGGACCGTAGCTGGAACCACCCGGAGTCAACGGCGGAAGCTCGAGGTCATGGAGGTCTATTCGCCGTTCAACGAGAAGCGACGCGCTTCGAACCGTCACTGATGGATCGAGAGGGCGAATGAAAAGGGACGTAATGAGGAGGTCCGACGGGCCAATTGGACAGGTGGGTGTGGAGAGGTTGTAGTGCAGGACGGGTGCCCGCGGCTTGTTCGTCGCAAGTAATAGCGCCGGCGTCAAGCTCGAGGATGAAGACGCGACCAAAGCAGCATGTGACGGAGACGGCGGCGGCAATGGAGGAGGTATGTCATGTCGGATGAGAAGAATGTCGAGCTGTTTCAGCAATCTCGTGCCGACCGAAGCTAATGGGACGTGTTCGAGAACTGGATGCCGTCAGCGCGCATATAACGAGGCCGATCAAACACAGAGTACGCAGCGGGCCGATCGTCGTCGCATGCACCGGGGAAAGGATTGTCAGATTTGAATTGACAGATGAGCGCACGAGAAGGGCAGATGGATCAGAGTGCCGATTAGTGAGAGAGCGCGGCAGGTGAGACGGCAACATACCAGCTTCGACCCTCCAGTAAGTCCTATAATCCTGATAGTTGGCTGTACTAAAACCCGCGACGCGCCTCGGGAGCACAATGCGGAAGGGCGATTCGAATTCGCCCACGTCGGCGTATGGCTGGTCGTCAGGCTTCTTCCAGAGTGTCTGGCTGTAGTCGACCAGTAGACGGGTGTGGGTCGCACCCATGCGAGTCTGGCGGGACTCGTACGCGCGAACCGAGACGGTGATGGACTTGGCTTGCATCGGCTTTTGGTCCTCGTCGAGACGAGTACGTACAATGCCCTCTATGCGGACAGGTGTGAGGCCGAGGTAGCCTTGGAAGGGGAAGTGTCGGGATCCGGCATTGCCCTTGAGGGTGGTAAGGCAGAGCTGAACCATGGTGGGAGGCAGCGACCGGAGCGGTCGGGAAATGTACGTCGCGCCGAGAGGAGATGCGAAGTTAGCGACACGGACGACGCGGGCGACGTGGAGGACGACAGCAGGGGCCGGGAGGATGGGGTGGAGAAGAGAGGAGGGAGATTGGATATGGGCAGGAAGGGTTCATGTGGATGTAGCTTTGTATGGAGAAAATATGGAATAGCGTTTGTTGGAAAGAAGCTCAGAAGACGCATCGACCGCTCATGATGGGTCTGATCACTTGCCCCGCTTCCTAGGGAGCATAATTATTTGTGTTCCGCTGCGGTCTCGACTGACGTCTTCTGGGGAATACATCGCTGCCACGGTCCCGGGTCGCGAGGTGCGACAGAGACCCTGGAACAGAGACAGCGACTAGAAAGACACGCACACGGCGGACAAGGACAGGCTTGGCGGGGACAGACGATGAAACCAGAGCCTGTCACGCTTTTGCTTCTCCCGGTCACGGGCCTTCGAGTACGCGCCACCAAGCCCGGCGTGCAGCATTGCATCCGGCCATTCCCCAATCCGGGCGTATTTCCCACGGTGCCAATAGCCTCGCCCCGTCCCAATTGGGGGATGCCCACGCAGACGCCCGCTTCCCCCGCTTCCAACTCGCCCCTGCGTGCGCTTCCACATCCGACCTCACGCCGTCACTCGACCACCGACGGCGACGATGCCTTCCTCTCTCTATGTCCCGGTGCTCATCGCTGGGATGCTCATCACGGTGCGTATATCGCCCATCAAGCCACCAACAGGCGCTGAGTATTCCGCAGGGCTCCAGCAACTCCCTATGGAGCAAGTGGCAGGCAAGTTCAACCTCAACCATCAGGCGAGCTCGCATCCGCTTACCGCAGTCCTTAGGACATGCAATGCGTCGAGAACTGTGGTGATCCTAATCCGCGGAAACACGTCCTGTACGAACAGCCGGTCTGGCAGACTCTGCAGATGTTTCGTATGTCTTTGCCTTCCGCTGTGCTCCGAACTACGGGCCGATTACTAACTTGTCCTCTCCATTCCTGCTGCAGTCGGAGAGATGTTATGTACGTATCCGCTTGCTGTCCGCTGGCCTCGCGCTTATCTCATCTCCCATGTCATATGATGCTACATTCCTATCTTGGATGCCTCCCGAATTGCACGCAATCACCATCCCTAACAACAAACAGGCTTCCTTCCCGTCATAGTCGCTCTAATCAATGACCGCCGCAAACGTGCCCATCCACCTGTCCATCTCCCCACGGAAGCCAGCGCCCAGCAAGATCTCCTGGATGCACCGCCTCTGACGTCCACAGAGGACGCTCCGGCAGACGATATCCCCTTTCAATCCAAGGACGGTGAGCCCAAACCTATGCACGGTTGGGCATATTTACTCTTGTGGCTTCCCGCCGCATGTGACCTCACCGGTACCACGGTGAGTTTCATCCTCCGCGCTCCCTTCGCATTACCGGCGGCACAATTGGTCGAAGCACGGGACGTCGTCTATTTCAGCCACATGAATTGTTCTTCCGCGGCTCTATCTCCTGCACTCAGCCCTAAAGTCTGCTTCGGAAGCGATAGCTCAGCCCAGGCTTGAGACTTTTGTTCCAGTTGTGGAGCACAGCTTTCCAGAGTCCCTTCCAGCATCGCATTGAGTCTGCTACCCTGTTCGCCACCGCAGCGTGTGTTTTCTCGATCGCATTGGTCGGTTCCTTCCAGCGCCGCGCGTGTGTTTCGCTTCCGAGCTCCCCGAACGAAGCACAGACTAGCCGCTTCTCCCTGTATCGATTGCCTCTTTCCGCTTAGGACTTCGTATTGTCGTTATGTGCGGCGTAAACCATCCCTACCATAGCTTGTGCTAGCATCTTTCGCTGACACGATTCTAACGCCCTTGTGACCCCATAGCTCATGAATGTCGGCTTGCTGTATACACCCGTATCCATCTACCAAATGACGCGAGGTGCCCTAGTGTTATTCGTGGGTGTCCTCAGCGTATTATTTCTCAGCCGCAGGCTTTGGCTCTACCAGTACGTGATTTCGGTCCCGCAGTGAAGTGTGTAAACCTCACCCATCCTTTCCCTCGGCAGATGGCTTTCGCTGGTGACCGTTATGGCCGGCGTGTCTCTCGTGGGATTTAGCGGCTCGATGGTCAAGGACGCCGTGAAAGATAGTTCCTTCCAGTTGCTCTCTTCGTTCGTGAGTTCGGCGATGAATGAGACTTCACCGGGCGCACCGGTCCCCCCTCCGGAGCCTATTGAGGAGCCAGAGGTTACGAAAGTTCTGCTTGGTGAGTAGTAACGACGCTTCCCGCTCTGCAAATAGCATCCTCAGCTGCATGTCACAGGCGTATTCTTTGTTCTTTTTGCCCAAATCTTGTGAGTAACCGCCTGGTATTCGCTCCATTCATTCCTGCTTTCTCCGCGCGCGTTCTATTCCGTATTCGCTCTTCCTTTTTGCCTCGTGTCTTCGAGGACACTCTTCTCAGGAGCACGAGGCGCGCTACTGGGTCATATAGGCTCGGCTCCTTCCCTTTCCGTTCATGTTCGGTGCAAGCTCATGCATGTGGCTACTGCTTCTTCTCCCCTACCTTTTTTGCGTGTGACATGTTGACTTATCACGACGTTCTTCTCACCACTTGTTCTCAGTACGGCAACGCAGTTCGTCGTAGAAGGTTCGTATATTATTCTCCGTGCTTGCCGTCCGACGCATGGCTGACTGCGCTGCTCCCGTACAGAGAAGATCATGTCGCGATATACCGTCGCTCCGCTTGTCGCGGTCGGCTACGAGGGCCTTTTCGGCGCGCTCAGCATCCTCATCGTGATGCCCATTCTACCGATGCTCCGCCCGTCTCTTCCGCCTTCCGCGCAGCCGTTCTTCGACCTCGATCGCGGCCTTCGCCAGATGCTCAACACGCCAACTGTCCTCTGGAGCGGCGTCGCCATCGCTATCAGCATTAGCCTGTTCAACTTCTTCGGGCTCAGTGTCACGCGACACGTCAGCGCCACGGCCCGCAGTCTGACGGATACGTGCAGGACGCTCAGTATCTGGATCATTAGTCTCGGCCTGGGATGGGAAAGACTCCTCTTCCCTATCTCGCTGCTGCAAGTCGCCGGCTTCTCGTTGTTGGTGTGCGTACCCACTCCAGCCTGCTATTCGCTCTAGATGTTGATGAATGTCGCAGATATGGCACGTTCTTGTTTAACAATCTGGTCAACCCGCCCAAGTTTCTGCTGCCTCGCGTCGCAGAGCCCGGGGATTTGGACGAGCGACGTGCCCTCCTGGCTCGCGAGGCCCTCGACGAGACGGCCGTGCTCCCTTCTGAACTTGGACGGAGCGGCTACGATGTCGTGCCTCCTCACAACAACCATCCCCACGGCCCTGCCGTTGCCCAAGGCCAGCGTCAGCGTTCTCGTTCTAGGGACGAGTAGACTGGTTACTGTTGGTACCCTCAAACCACCTTTTAATTGTGTTGAAATCTTTAGATTGCTACATCTAAATGGACTGCGCTATTTTTATTTTTTTCGTGTCTCTATACGTAGCTTGGGCGTAACACTCTTAATCGTGACAATATGGCCTCGTGAGGCATCCTCGTCCACGCTACCCCTACGCTACCGCATTGGGGGTGCGACAGCTCGCAGATTGGAAGCGTCGAAGTTTCGATGCTGTGCTATTTAAAAGAGCGTCGTCGAGCCGAGAATTCATTTATCTTCGATTCTGCAGTGCCCGTTGCTCACCTCAGCGAGCTCCGCCACCCCCTGCTGGTGGCGCACTAGAACCGTGCCCAGGGTGGCGTCGCCAAAACCGCTGTGCTTCCGCTGGAACGTCGATGCCTCCCGCTCTCTGACTCACTGATGACGTCGAGTGTCCTTCACCTCAATCTCCTCAGAGCATGATCGCCTCAATATCGCAGCACGAAACCCGATATTGGGGCTCTGTCTACACTCTCGGCTAAGCTTGCCCGTCAACTGCCCGCCTCGCAATTGTTTGTTGCGCCCTGCCGCCGGCTGCGCCTAAGTTGTGACACTTTGTGATACTGATATTACTGAAGGTGTGATATCAGCGGTGACCATCCGCAACGCCTCCCCACCGGTCTCGATTCTCTGAGCCGAGCTCTTGATTTCGGAGTCTCGCGGGTAAAGCGTCCGGGCAGTTATCTAAATCCAGCGCTATTGATTTGATGCGCCATCACACGGATCAAGATTTTGCCATTTCGGCTCCGTGGTACAAACGCCGCTCAGTCCGCTTTGGAAGGTGTGGTGTATCGACGGCGACTGGGTTCGTCATGCAAAGATTTGCCTGCAGATATAGTACGCCTCTTGGACCATAGTTTATGCTGCTGCTAACTTCAAGCCTCGACTCGCAACACTCAAATATTGAGACTAGTCTCTGCGGGGTCGGGTCGCCGGCGAAGCTCCAGTCGGACGTTGCGTTTGTGACGCGCAAAACACCTATCCAATCTCATAGAACTATTTGTCCATATTGCAGGGTGAAGCTGAGGGTCCATTTACAGCTGTGCCCTCGCCGAGTAGAGCCCGTATGCCAGTGGGATACGCGGTACCAATAACGCGATCCACATGAAGTCCGTTGTGTAGTCTAGATTCGCGGTGAGCATCCAATTTCATACAGCCCGGTCACGCTTGAAGACTTGATGTTCTACATCTGCCAGAATTTCACCCGCTGTCACACGAGGCTGGGGACCATCCAATCGTCGACCCGACCGTCTCGATGTGAGCAGAAGGATCTGTCGCCCGGTCGCAGGCAGTACTTCTGCGTTCAGTTGCCATGCATTGACAGCACCTGCCGACGCTTCCTTTGCCCACCTCAGATGACAAATAAGACAGCCTAGCCATCGGTCCAGAACATAGCGAGACGATCTTGTCGCGCACTGGCCGACGGGGACGCACAAGGCAACCGCCCGCGGTCTCAGATATCCCCTTCTAAGAGCGGCCAAAGTCCTGAGATGTATGTGGTGGGATGAAATACCACTCCAGTCGCGATCTATTCCTTCGACTCTCACTTCCGTTCACTTGAGGATCTGGCGAGCTTCGGTAGTCTAGCGTCTCTATTGGCTGCGACACAGTTCGACTCAGCAGAGCCTTGCAGATCACTTTTCATCCCAGCCTCCCGCATCGCCCGATTTTAGCAGGCCACTCCTCCCGCTAGTGGTGAGAAGGCAGGGATAGCTTCTTCGCTCAGCTTCGCGCGGTCAGGCGCATGATTGTATAGCTTCGGTAGCCATATAATTCGCTCCATTTCTTGGTGCTCCGGATCCGGATTCATAGGACGAGATTTAAGCAGAAAGACCGTCGAAAGACCGTTGTGAATACGGTGGGCCCGAAGTACCGTGGGGTATGGTGGCAGCACAAGTGTCTTCCTTGAGTCTCTATG